CCGGAGGCAATGCGTCAAATGTATTGAGGCGTGGTTGGGATATGGGGGCGTGGCTGGTGACGCCTCACCAACCCGCGCAGAAAACTCCGCTCACTACGACATTATCATAATTAATTAAAAAAGTTTTTTAAATCAATTTCCAAATGCCAAGAAGTGTCTGCAGAGATGTTTGATGAACCATGGCCAAAGAGAGCAGCTGAAAAAATTGATAACTTTGGCTTGTCATGGACAAGGACGAAGGAACCGAAGACTTTTGCGCAAAAATTCCAAACCATGAAATGACTGCCAGTTTGATCCACTCAGAAATATTCTGGTAATTCCTTGATTAGTATTTCCAAGGGGTCACAATGTCGACTAGCCCCGGCCTGGCCTGGCCAGGACTTTTCCGAAATTAATTCAAATGCATTTTGCCAGATGCATTTCAAGAGTATTTTTCGCATTTTGTAAATTTTGCTTTCATTCAAACGATTGCTGTGGGGCTCAAATTCAATGCTTCACTTAATGAGAGAAATTAAAAAAAAAAATTACAATTAAGGAGAAATTATTTTTCCATTTATTATTTTGAAGGTTAAAACCATTTTAAAGAACTTACTTCAAAGGGCCTAAAGGCTAGAAAACTAATAAAAAACGAAGGCTATTTGTTTAAAACTTTGTTTGTGCCACAGAGGTTCTACAGTCAGTGAAAAATTGTTTTTAAATTGACTTTTGGGGATGACATAAAGGTGATTAAAAGTATGCTCTTTCGTTTTGGAAAAAGCCTATATTGTTCTATTTCAGATCTTTGATGATTTTTAATCTTATCTTATCTTTTAATAAAACTGAAGACCCCAAAAATATTTACAAAATTGTTGGTTTCTGTACAAAGAATTATTTAAGGAACAAAAACTGCAATCTTTTAATCCGCCTAATACATTTTTAAGCATTCCCTGATTGCAATTCCCATACACAAGTGCAGTGGTTATAGATAAAGTTTCTCACACATATCGATTATGTGCCACCTGGAATCAATGGCAGCAAATGATTCCCATATCGGCAGCGGGAGTCTGGCTTGCCATTAAAGAAATTGAAAGTACGCCAACCAACTGGATGGTACTATGGTATACTATATAGTTGCAAGGGCTGGCAAATCAAAAACGCCAGCTATAGTGCAATGCATTTTAATTTAGCCCGCAACTCACACAAAACCAAAAGGGAAGTAAACCCAAACAAACACACACACGCTGTACACTATATGCAGGTGAAACACGCGCGGAGGCAGTACATAAATAAATACTTGAACAAATATTTACAACTCTGGCGCGGAATTATAAGCAGCGCCCGAAAGTATGCACTACAAAAATGAAGCAAGGCTCGTGTGCATGTGTAGGTGTGTGCGTTAGCTCACACCTGTTTGCGCCTGTGTGTGTGAGTGAGTGCAAGTGCGCATAAAACGCGAAGCAGCAGAAGTGAGCAGCATTTTTATTTATTTGCCGCGGTGTAGTTTTTATTTTTCTTTGCCCATTCCATACTTTTTTTTTTTGTTTTGCTGCCAAATATGTGGGTCTTGAGTTCTAGCACGGCAAAAAAAAAAGCATTAGCATTAAGAGTTTAAGTAATTCGAAATGAATAATTTAGATGTCTTCGGGAGTGCAATGATATAAAAAGGGGTTTTATTATAAATAAACCCGATATGTTAGTGAAGAAATATTACGTGACCGAAATCCTTCCTTTCTGGTTACTCCACTTAAACTTTAGAATAAAATATTAGAGAAAAAGTGATTTTCAGGAGCTTTCATGAAAACCGGATGGTGATTTGGAATAACTAAAAATGGTCATCAAATTGGCTTTCCCCGATATACAGATTTTAAGATGTGCTTGAAGTCAGTAAGTGCTTAAAGTAAGTATCTTAAAAGTATGCAACAAAATGCACTGACGCCTATTTCTTTTAACTTCTGTAAAATCAGCTACAAATCAAAATATTTCTAAGACTTTATATATTTTTAAGAAATAAACAAGAAATCAAAGTCAAATATAGTTTAGCATTTTCAAAAATATATTCATAATTATTAATGTGTTCTGTGTAAAAAACACCAGCAGCTGCATAACAAGGACGGAGGGGCGTGGTTCGCACTCACATATATTGCAGATAAGGCTTTGCAGAGTGCAGGCTTGTTTGGCAAAGCGCCTGTTTAACACTTAAGATATCGTATTTCTTGGACTCGCATGTCTGTGGATGTGTTTGTACGAGTATGCCACAAAGGAGCAGGAGGTGGAAAAAGATAAATATGCATGCGGTTGGTTTATAAGATGAGTATGTGTGTGTATGTTAGCCATTTCAACAGACGCGCCTTCTTTTTGCGCCGCCTTTCGCGCATTTGCATGCAATAAAGATGGCGGGGCGATAACTAGGTTGCCTGCCATTGTTTGCCTTTTCCCCATATTTCTCTTTGGGCATATGTATATATGTATGTATGTATGTGTTAGCCGCTTTAGTTAGCCGCCAAAAGCAGCAGCAGCAGCAGCGGCAGACAGCCGAAGCAGCCACTAAAATAAAAGGCAAAGTCCGCCAACTGGCGTATCCTGCCACTGCCACCGATTCTTCTTCTTCTGCTGCTGCTGCTGCCATGCATTATGCAGATGTACACCAGGTTCATGAATATATATGCGACTACTTTGTCTACCTACACTTGCAGGCAGCACTAGATAGTGCACTTAAAACTAAATAATTTATTTAAATAACATTTGAAGGTAAAAATAAATATTTATGTTTATTTAAAAGTAATATTGGAACAGGAAAGAACTCTTATAAAACCGAAGTTCTGCCTTTATTAGCATTATTTTGTATGATTAGATTAATTAATATAATAATAATTTAATAAGATAAATCCAAAGAATCTACATCAAGACTTAAATTAGTAAAAGAAAACCTATGGAAAAACTAACTTCCAACTATAAATCTTTGGAAAAACTCGTTTAAACTGTTATCAAAATTCTGAACCATCTTCTTATTTTAAATTTTAAAGCCGCACTTACTTTAGTAGTTACATTTTCTTACTAAATACCTATATTTTTATCAGTGCATAGCTTCATGCATTTACTATTGTGCGAAAAAAACGAAGGCACACAAAACTAACTGACAAAATGCCATATGTTTGTGCGCGATAAGCTGCACAGCCCCTACCTTCTTCCCCCCTCTCAAATCTACTTCCCAACGACCCCATTTTAACAGCTCAGACCTGTAATTATAATTTAACACCGCATCAAATCAAATGGGCTAGGCAATAAGAACAAAACACAAGCAAATCGATGTCCAGGCCATCATCTCACACGCACATTTTGCTAAGCCAAAAGCCAGAGCCAAATGCCAAATGCCCCCAACTGTATCGCTCAACCAGCTCAAACCCGCTCTAAAGCCCGTAGCTGAGTAAATCAAAAATGTGCAATAAAAATTGCAATAAAGCACGCTTCAAAGGTAGCTGGTCTGGGTGGGTTTTGTGGACAGGTTCGGGGGGAATTGGATGGCTGGAAACCTCATCTAAGCAACGATAATGATTGCAATTCATTTTTATGACCACCAACTAACCGTTTCCGGGTATTACGATTCTCAAACCCAATTTGCCGGCACGCATATAACAAAATTCAATTAAATTCTGAGATTTACAAGAGAAGACGTAATGGGTAATGTTAGCTTTTTATGCTAAACGGGTCTATTGAAATAAGAACTAATGTTCCGTTTTAGATTTATGAAATTTGCATTAATTGTAAGCTTAATTAGACGTATTTAAAGGGCCTTAGGGCAGTTTGGATTTTAGTTTCTTGATTGAAATCAGAATATATAATCAAACTGGATAAATATGTTTCTTTAAATCTATCTTATTACAGCAATTTCTTATTTTAAGGCAGAATTTCTTAAATTTTGTTTTTAAAAATCAGATACTTTTACCGCTTGGCTTCCATTTTTCCAAAGAAATCATTCTGCATTAATATCCCTGCAGCAGCAAAGATGTTTATCTAGGCATTTTCCGCATTGACTCTATAACTGAGTGCGACATTCGTGACTCTGGGAGTAAAAAGGGCATCTAAACAAACACTAGAAATGCCAGCGAGGACCGCCCTTTAGCTTATTTTTAGTCGCGTGGCCAGAAGTGGCCAGAGTGGCCAGGTTGAAATGGGCAGGTATGGGCAGGAGAGAGGGGCACCTGTCGTCGCCAATCAACCTTGACTAGGACCTGGGCGTTTCATGGTAGGAGGGTCACTGCCACTACCATAAGAGTCCGTTCTGCACAAGGTTGCCTTTTGCTGCTGCTGCACTGGGGGAAATAGTTGGAAGTAACTACTGATATGCAAGGGGTTTACCAGAAATCATCTGAGTTTTTTTTTTTAAAATTTAAAAGGTGAAGAAGGAAAAATCGATTCCGCGTTATGAGTTTTTTCTAATATAAAACCGAAGAATTATACTTAATAATGCCTTATAAATGATTTTTAAAAGATTATTCAGTAACTTTAAATATCTCACTCTACCTTTTTTCTAAAAGAGTTTACTTTATGTGGTTATTTTTCCAGTGATTTGTTACCGTTGGGTGGCTTTGGATGCGGTTTGCTTGGTTGGTTGGCCAGCGATTTTCCAATAAAGTGAAATTGCATTTGATGATGCCAGGATATGTTTTTTTTTCCAATCATTCTGATATTTTTCGCCCTTACCCGTTTTGTTTTCCCATGCTGTTTTCTTTTTACCCCTGCCATTTATAGAAAATTGAATAAAAGTGTTGGTGGCATTGCGACAAACTGGTCGACGAATGAGCGCGTGATTGGAGGCGATTTGTAGAAAGGTGAAAGCATAGCTCCTGGCCGTCGCTCCTGACGGCGAAGGAAGTGATTAGTGTAGGGCTCCTCGACGGCTTCCTTGCGTGAGTCCCGGAATCCTGGGAGCAGGACCAGGAACAAAAGCAAACACAAACGCTGAGCGGAGAAATCCAATTTGTAATGGGTAGCTGGCCAGGTTGCCTTTGATTTCATTGTTTCACCAGTTTACCTTATACCCAGACTCACACCTTACACCTTATAAAGACATTTGTAAACATTTTTTCTTAACATTTTATGCTGCCAAAAAAATCACCAAAAAGTTTAACCAACTAAGATGCATTCGACCAAGATTAAAGAGGGCGATGACAGGGTGAGTTGCGGTATCCAATTGCTAGAAGTTGGTCATTAAACGTGGTCAACTAATTTGAATGCCTTGATTAGGAGGAAATGGAGCTAAATCAAATCTGGCGAGGATGTCGTAAAATCCAGGGTGCCATTTTCCGTTATAACTTCGACATCTGTGCCGACTTAAAGCAACATGATCCCAGTTGCAGTGGCTTCGTGTCCGGTGAGCACATCCGACGGCTATATTTCCCTCTTTTTATGACATTTTTATGACCGAACCATCTTTTGCAGAACCCATTTTCACGGCCGTATTGGGCAAATATCGCAAGGTAGCCGGTATGTCGGAGTCGGAACTCCGGGATGTCACCGACTACTTTCAAATTCGAGATGGACGAGTTGCGTATCGGCAGTTCTGCAAAGTCGTGTGCAGCGAAAGTGAGCTTGAACTCAAATGTTATTTTAGTTTTGAAATCTAAACTTTCGTTTCTTAGCTCTCCATAAGACAGCCAAATCTGATTTGGCCACGGGACTGGAATGGAATGATCCCTGGCATGTGAATGTTATCCCCCAGCCGGAAGATCGTCGGCGGCTCTGCCTGATCTTGATCAAAATTGCTCAGCTATGTAACATTCCTCTCATGCCATATTTCCAGGACTATGAACTGGTAAGTTTTCAAAGAGCAGGACTTTAAATACAAATTTTTTAGTAATTAAAACGTCATAATGAAATAAGAACTATTAGTGTCCTTTCTATAAACTGGTAAAAAATCAAAATATTTTTATTTTATCAACTAATTAAACAAATTTTTAGATTGCCCAAAATGTAGGAGTAGTCACCGTTGCTCACTTTTCCCGTGTGCTACACTTCATGAAGATACCGCTTTCGGAGGCGGATTTCCTGCTCCTACTTAGGCGATACATGAAAGATGGATACCTGGTCAACTATGTGGCTTTCCTTAAGCACATCGATAGTATTATAGCCTACCTTGGAGAGCATAATCTACTGGACAACTCTCATGTAAATATAACCACCAACTAACTGTAAACAAATCAATTTCATACCATCTTTATTTAGGATATAATCAAGAACTTCCCAGGACGCCTAGTAGACCTAGAGCTATCCCAATTGCCATCTATCGATGGTTGCAAGGCGGTGCATCCTATCTTTCCTGATGCGTGTAACATGCCCAAAAAGAACCGGGATCAATGCGACATCCTTTTCTGCATACAAAACTATATCTACAAGAACCAGGTGCGGACCTCCGAGTTCCTGGAGAGCTTTGATGCCCTTAACGTGGGCAGCATCACCAAAAATCAATTCGAACGAGCTCTTTCCAATATGGGCGTTGGCAAATATCTAAGCCAAAGGGAAATGTCCATTCTGCTGCAACGCTACATTGATCCCGTGGATACCAATAAGGTGCGCTGGCGAAATTTTGCAGATGAAATCGATACAGGTGGGCAGACATGAATGCTATAGGTTCTTCTTAACAGTTCTTTGCCCTTAGTTTTCACCATCAAGAATCTTGAGAAAATGCCACAGTGTGTTGTGGAATCGCCACTTCGTCACATTCAAGATCTGCCCAGACCAGGAGCTGTGCCATGGGAGACTGTCCCGGCAAATATCCGTGACCAGTGCGAGGATGCCATGACCAAGATACGGATTCGCATTCGCAATCGCCGCCTCTATTTGCATCCTTTCTTCAGGAGTTACGACAAGTGAGTTAATATTATATATAAAATGAACCAATATTATTAACCATGTCATTTCCAGATTGAACAGTGGACATGTCCTCTGCAACATAACAAAGCAAATTTTCCGAACCAATGGCATCCTTCTATCCGATCCAGAACAGGATGCTGTGCTGCGTCGCTATGGCAACGAGTTGGGCTTTTGTTACAAAAAGTTCTTGGACGACGTCGACCCAGCAGAATATGCCATGCCGTCCATGGTCACCAAGCAGGAACTTGTTGAGTGCCCACCATTCGCAAGAGACAACTTGGAGCCGGAGGACATCAGCGAGGAGGTGATCGTGCGCATCCTTACGAACGCCAAGCGACAGGCTGCTGTCAAGAGTGTTGCTGTAATAGAGTTTATGAAGGACTACGATCGCCATCGCGAGGGAGAGATCCTTGAATCGGACTTTAAGAGAGCCTTGGACAACTCCAGTGTAATTGTCACGGAGGAGGAGGCCAACATCTTGTGTAATATGTGAGTCACCCTGACCGTTACCCTTTTAACTTCTTAAGCCTTTAAATTTATTTGGGTTTTTCCAGCTTCCGTTCACCCCAACGCGTTTGCTGCGTTCGCTATCGTGACTTTTGCAAGGCCCTCGACGAGATCTTCATCCAACTGGACACGAACCTGGGTGACCAGGTTGTGACTGCCGTGCCATTGCTCCAGCTACCCAATCTGGACTGCGTCGATTGCTTCCTGAGCTTCGACGAGCGCACCATCTGTTCCCAGGCCCTGATGAAACTAGCCCGCAGGCCGGATGAAATCTCTAATCTCAGTCAGGTGTTCAAAGACTTCGATCGGGAACAGTGTGGCTCGATTACACAGAACCAGTTCCTGCGCGGCATAACAGTGCGCGACATGCATGTAATGCTAAGTAGTCGCGAATTCCAGGCCATTTGCAAGTGCTTCGGCGTAAAGAAGGGCATGTGCATGGAGTTTAACTACCGCGAATTCCTAAAAATCCTTGATGTACTCTATTCCACTGGACAGATGAAACGCAACTATTAGAGAGAAAATCAAATCAAACCTCTTCAAAATTCTAAGTGTAATCCGAAAATTTAGTATTTTACTTAGGCAGCAACAAATAAACAACAATTTTAGGACTTTTACTTTAGGTTTTTCTTTAATGTAATAATTCACTTTAAAACTGCTTGATCTCTTATCGTTCAATTAAGTTAAATTGTAATTTGTAATTTCGGTTGAGAATGTTTTAATTTTAATGGGGGAGAAACTACACTTACACACGCATCGTATTTCGTTTTTTTCAATATATTGAATTTCTTCAAATGCTACCTAAACTCTGCTCGTCATCATCTGCACTCCTCTCAATTAGCTTTTGTCGGACGATTTCATAAAGATTTTCTTTCATATAGCTATAGTAATGTGTATATATATATAGATAGATTTGATTTAACAATTCGTATTCGGTTTTGCAATGGTCTATACAATTGTGGGGTTAAGTATAGTAGATAATGTTCTCGCTTGGTGTGGCTTTAGATTTTTATTAAAATATAAATCTCTTCCCTTTTCTTTTTAAAGAAGTGTACATAAATATAGATATATATGTATTATGTATGTATAAATGTAGTCTATGAGCGCGTAATACATATCGAAAACAAAAACATAATTAAGTTTTCGCTTTCTGCTCTGTATTTAATGGTGGTTTTGTTTGTTTGTTGTAGGTTGTTTCTGCTTGTCTTGTCGTTTTTATATAGTTGCTTTTCTTTTTTTTTTCAATCGAACGGGAGAAGAAGGCAACCCGTTGTGCCAGCCAGTCAAGACTTGTTTGCTTGGTTTGTTTGTTTTATAATTATTATTACATATTACAGTTAATTCATAATTAAAGTTAAACAAATACTTATACTCTATTGTATTGTGTATTGTGTAATGTATGAAACATTTTAGCTGTATGCATTTTGTTTTTTGTTTTCTTTTATTTTGTTTTGTTTCATAAGTATGTTTTTCTTTCTACTTTCTCATTTCCCCGATTCCCTGTTCTACTGACGCGTTAAACAATTACCTCGCATAATGTATGGTTCAACATTAGTGAAAAACAAATTAGTTTCAACACACAGACACGGACACACGTTGCACGGCATTTAGTTCTAGCAAATGTGTTGTCTGTGCGCCGCAACGTTCTCGGCAAAGGCTGTCTTGTGGTTTTCCTAGGGTTGAAGGGTTGTTGTTTGGTGGGCGGTCGGTTTGTTGGTTGGTTGGTTTGTCGGCTTAATGAGCGTGTGGCTATGAAAAATTAGCCACTTGCTGAAAAATTACATGTGTCTCTTCTCTATGCCTAACTATATTTGTGTGTTTGTGTGGTTTGGTTTGTATGGTGTATAAATGATGTTTGTTTTTCTTTTTTTTTTTCTTATTTTTGTTACTCCTCTCCTGATCTTTGCGTTGCGGGGTAGTTGATTGCTGCTTTTCTTGTTGGAATGGTGCTACACAACAAGTGTGTAAAGGTGTGTTAAGGTAGCTGATGTTGATATTATTGCTCCCAGCCAGCCAGTCTATACATGTTTCTTTTTTTTTTCTTTCTGTATATATACAACTGCGTATATATGGGGTTTTCTTTTCTTTTCTTTTCTTTTTGTAGAGGTGTGTTGTTTTTGTAGTAATGCTGCAATGGAATTAACTTTAATTAACTGGCATTAGAGAGAAAGAGAAATGCTTTCAAACTCACCATAACAAACTAAACTAGGTAAAATTCAAATAGTTTGCAGTTATCTGGAGAATGCGAGATACCCAATGCCCACGCCCCGTGCCCCATTTTAGTAGGGCTGATGCCGCTGTTGGCGTCCACCGCCGCCACGCTGTTTGCCACCGTTAAAACCGCCACCGCCGCCTATTTAAAAAATGTTCATAATTTATATTAATTACATTATTTTTCAATTAATATTAAATGCAAAAAAAGAAAGACATGCTCAACATCTGCGGGAAGAGGGGAAGGAGAAAGAGGGCATCTAAAGTTTTCTTTAACTACGCCAAACGACTTCATTTTTCTTTTTCAAAAATTTTGACCAATTTCTAAACTAAAGGGGGCGGGCGAGAGATAGCAAAACTAAAAAATTATCAACATAAGTCATGAAAAGCCAATGGAGGAGGAAAACCAAAAAACGATGATACACATCCTTTTTACTAAAAATCATATTTCGAATAGAAACTATATATAGTATAGGTTGGATGAGAGGGTACCAACAATTCGTTGGTTAGAGAATAGGCGCTTGTTGTTGTGTTAATACCTTTGGGGCCGCCGCCGCCGCGGGGTCCACCGCGACCACCGCCCATATTGCCACCACCGCCGCCGCCGTAGCCGTTACCCTCAAAGCCGCCGCCGTAGCCGTAGCCGTCTTTTTGTTGGAATAACATTGCGTTGTTGATGGATCAATTATCACACAAAAGTGTCGTTGATTTGGAGGATTAGGTCGTATAGAAATATTGATGAAAACACAAACAAAGCTTATCTTATAAAATGGTGTAAAAACGACACGAACAAAAATTAAGGTGGGTTCGGGGAGGAAGTGCTACATGATATTGCCAACTATCTTAACGAATAATATTTTAGGATTTAGAACAGTTTGTTTAACTTTTCATTTTGTTCTAAACAAAGTTTTGATTGATTTTAAAAGAATTACTTTTTTGCAATTATAAAAAAATACAATATTCTTTGGCTTTTAACAAATTTCAATCTTATTTACAAAAGGGGTTTTTTAATAGAGACGCTACAAAAGATGATCGTATTTTCCACAAGTTCGGTAAACGTGTTATCTCAATCAATCAGACAATTGGACCTCGTTAGACTATTCCCTTGGGGACTACGTCAAGTCTGTGGTCTGTGCTAACAGGCCAGCGGTGAATGATGAACTTCGTACGAATATCAAACGTTAAATTATAGCAGAATGTGAAATACTGCTGATGTCTAGACGTCTAGGCGTTGGCGTTCTTTTGAACCCACATATTGCCGAAGTTCAAATCTTCCGATTCAGCCTGGAGCGATTCCCATTCATAATAACGTGCCGGTCTTGATCATCACTCATAAACGGTGACCCATGGAGTAGGTAAGGCGGCAGGCTGACTACAATGTTGAGTCCACTGTTAAGGTCCCTTTGTTAGATAACATACATTTACAAGGCGAAATGGAACTTGTCGAAGAAAAATGTCAAAAAAGCAGGGAAAATATCGGTCAACTTTTGTAGCTTCCCTATTAAAAAATATTATTATTGTGATTATACTTTTGGTTTACATTTTTAAAAATATAAAAAGAGTTAAAAATAGTTGGCAATACTTTTGAATGGATTTGAACTAACACTATTATTTAGATCTTGGGCTTATGCTCTTTTACGTTTGGTCAAAATTTGTACTGCTTATAAACTGGGGAAGACGACGAGCCGAGGGGAGACAATTCAAATGGCACATACCGCGAGACAGCTGGAAAGGAATCACCTACTCCGGCTCCGGAGGAGATTGTGGATGTTGTTGGGTGAGATAGATATCAGGGGGAAGGTTGTGGTGGGCGGAAACTGAAATACACACAAAATTGTTGTCTGGTTTTTTGTTTTTTTTTCGTTTTTCTTTTATTTGCTCATTTCTTGTTGTGGATTTTGATTATAAGATTTTGATGGTTAAAAATGTTTCTCCGTTATTTATGCTGTAGCTCAAAAGTACAATAGGTTTTTTTTTTTGTTGTTGTAGTTGTAGTTGTTGTTGTTGTTGGTTGCTGGTACACAATAAAATTTTAAAAAACAATTTTCGCTCGCTCTCCTCTTGCTTAATTTGGCGAGGAGAAAGTGGCGCAAGGCGGCGCTCACACATACATGCGGTTGGTTGTTGTTGTTGATGTTGATGTTGCTCGGTTATATATATATATAATTAATATATATCTGGATGTTGTTGTTGTCTCAGATTTAAGTTAGTTGTCGACTTGACGCGACTCTCGACTTATTAACATGTTTCACAATGTATATTGCAATGGATTTCTCAATTGATTTCGTTTGATTTCTCATTATTTTTTACAGCACTCGTTATGCATTTTATTTTAAATTTTTACCTCATTTTCCACACAACAATTTCAGCATTTCAATTTCAAATTAGTTACTTTTAAATATTTGAAAATATTCGGAAAGAAATTTTGTAAGGTTTTATGCCAAAAAATTTGTGAATTCATTTGCTGCTCTTGTGTGTGTGTATTTTGAATGTCTCACCTCAGCAAAAAGTAATCAAATTGTTTATTTACTTAGAACTTTTTTTTTTTTTAATTTTCTTTTAATTCCTTTTGAAGGATATTCTGAGGGCCGGAAGGAGGGGGGTGTCTGGGGTAGGGAGGAAGGAAGAATGAGGATGCGGAGTTTGTCGCGAATATTATAATTCTTTTGTGTCATAGAAAACGTTTTGCGAAAAACAAAAACAAATGCAAATATATAGTCAACAAATTTTACTTTATACTTGAGTTAATATAATGGATTATTTTTACTTCTCGTGTTCATTTTGTTGTTGTTGGTTTTTTTTTTTGTAGCTGTTGTTAAAAACAAGAAAACTGGTTTTGTAGCTTAAAAATTGTCTCAGAAATGGTTTTGACAATACATATATATATGTATATATATTATATTAATTAATTCATTGTAAAATTACTTTAGTGGTTTTCATCATAATCATTATCATTATTATATCAATATAATTATTTTTTTGTAGAGTTTTTCAATGCATTTTACTAAAAACAAATATTAATTACGCTAAATTACTTGTAAATATATACGTTTTTAAATGTAATAGAAAAAGGAAGATATTTAAGTTAAAAAAATGAAAAACGTTACAGTTAAGTGAAAAGTTAACACTGTTGGTGCGGTTTTGCTTGGAGGATCGCTCGATTGCTCGATTTCTGGTCGCTTGGTTGATTGATTGCTTGATTGCTTTGTTTTGGATGTCGGTGTGGATAGTTGTAGATGGATATATAGTGCAAAGCACTATTGGTTGGTGGTGATGGTGGCGGTGTTGTTCTCACCAAAGAGCCATGGACACCGGTAATATATATACATATATATACATATATATATATATAGATCGGGCAATCGGTTAACCGCTTGCGAGAAGCTTGGACAAGACAAAGGCGCAGCTTGCGATCGTTTTTGGATATTCGCTTTTTGGGTGGTTTGGTGGCTGTGTTTTTTGAGTTCAACACTCTCATTGGGGTTTTTCTTTTACTTATGTTTTTTGGGTTCGTTTTTTAGTTTGCTTTTCTTTTTTTTCGTTTTTGTGAGGCGAAACATCGGAAAATTCGGTATTACAATCATATAATCGTATATAAATATGTTCAAAAATCATAATTACGAAAGTAATATTACATAATTAACGGATAAAAGTGCGGAAGGGGGTAACCGAAACACCCGATCTGTTTAGTTTTTAAATTATATATAATTATATATTAGAGATCAGATCTAAATCGGTGTTAAAGTTTCCGCTTTCCGCACTTTTCTATGGTTTTCGTTGATTGTTTGTTAGTTTTAGAATTTTAAGTTGTAAGAGTAACGGAATAGGAAATTATAAAGAAACTAAAAATATATTGTTGTTAAGGTTTTAATATAAAGTGAGGGGCACAAAATTATTGCTATATAATTGTAAGTAAATGTAAAGGTATACAAAAATTTTGTTTATGTCAAAATAATTTGTTTACACATTTTAAACATCATAATCAGTATAATAATTAATAAAAAAATATAGCATAAAATGTATTAAAACTTTGATTGGGTAAATTTTTAAGGTAAATGTGAATAATATTTTTTTCTTATTTTGTTTAGATTTTTTTTAGTTCGTTTTGTATGCAGACAACTTGCTAAAAACATTGAGAAACATGCAATTTCTTTGTAAAAATAATTTACTCAAAGTTTATGAATATAGACTGTGTATGTGTGTGTGTGTGTTTAAATGTACAAATGTATATATAATTGGTATACAGTCAAATTGTCGACGCACATTGACAACATTTGAAAAAGTTTTATAATTATTAGCAAAAATTTCAATTTCAATTTCGAATTCAAAGTTTATACGAATTTTAAAAAGTTTATATGTATTAGTATATATATATATATATATATATATATACATTTGCGAATAGCAATGCTTATGTATGTGTGATTTGTTGGTGTTGCTCGACTTAACATTTAAAAACCATAAGAAAAAATTATATATGTATTAATATGCTTGAATTAAAATTACTAAAATTGACGAAGTGTGTTTTTATATTTTTGTTTTGTTGGAAAAGTTTCATTTTGTTTTTTTTTTTTTCGTTTGTGGCTACAATTAAGATGTTCTTGATGTTGTTGTCTACTGTAGTATTGTATTATTTGTCTCGTTGTTCAGTAAGTTAGTTAGTTGTTTTTGTTTAGTTCTTTATCCTGGGTATCCTGGAATCAACGTATGAACATGCAGAATGCCGCAATGCGCGCTCGCGGTGCAACTATAAAAACAAGCCTTTAAAAACTTGGATTGTTTTGACATTACGTTACGTTACGTTTTTTGTTTTTATTTGTCAAGAAAGTTGTGCAGCGGAAATGCAAATAAAGCAAATAAAAGAACGATCTAACGAATTGGTGGCCGGGGTTGCTGCAGGTCAACCGGAATGATAAAAAAAAAATATTTATCCCGGATCCGCTGCGCTGACTTCTTGGGCCCCGGCCATTTCAGATCTTAAGAGCTCTCGGTACGTTGGTACTACTAACTAAGACACTCTTATTTTGTTTCGTATTTGTAGTTGTTTTTTACAAGGATTTGCCTTAAAATAATACTATCAAAAATAGTACCATAGTTAAATGTTACGTTTTATGTATAAATATATAACATTTTGTATATATTTGATATAAATATATATGGTAGGTATATTGACGTATGGTGCATACGAAAACATATGCATTGCAAAGAACGTGAATATTATCCCGTTGCCGGAATAATAATATGTATCTAAAAATATATTTATATGCTATATATAAGGTATATATAATATATTTAAATAGACATTGAATCAAAGCTTTGATTACGCGTTTCGTTTGTTTTGTTTTTTGTTTGTTGTCGTTTCTGTTCGGGTTTGTTTGTTTGTTGTTTAGTGTTTTGTTTAACAAAACAAAAGGAGAAACTATTTAAATAACTATTTTATGGGAGTGCAGAGGGGGTGGGTGCTGAGGGGATAGTTGGTGTGTGTGTGTGTGTGTTTCAACAGATTTTGGTTTCAGTTTGTTCAAACAATAACAGTTTAGTTAACAATTAAAAAAGGCACAAGTTGCAATTGCGCAAAAGGCCAAAAACGCTGGCATTTCACACAGTTTCACATAATTGGCACATATGCTCCTCGTGTGTTTTGTGTTTCTTTGTTTGTTGTCATGTCTCTGGGTTGCTGTTGCTGTTCTTGTTGTTGTTTGTTTGCTTGCTGCCCTTGCGTTTGAGGTATTTGTCATCTTTGGAAAGTCTGTTGAAGGCAACCTCGCGACAACATCTCTGCTGTTGTGAGTCTAGTTGTTGTTTGTTGTTGATTGGTTGGTCCGGTCTGGTGGTCGCATATAGAAAATACATCTATATGCCTCAACTTGAACGTCACGTCTACTTTTCTCTTCTCGCTCCTTCTCACTCTTTTAACAACACAATCTTTTTTACACACGCTTCGTCAGTTTTATGTTTAAATGCTAATCAACTAATAATTGGTAATTAAATGTTTCGTTTAAATGAATTCTCGTTTAAAAAGTACGCTTTAAAATTTAAAACATCAAATATATATGCCTTTAAAATTATACGTAGTTATTATATATGTATAAGATAGATATAAATGTGTATATAAAAATTGCGAATTTGTTTGTTATATATTAAATGAACAAAATTGTCTGTCAACATACACATTCGTTTTCTTTTTCTTTCAATATAAAATGAAATGTTTAAAATTTATATATGTTAGCAATAAAGAATCGTTTTTCTTGTTTTTATCTTTTTTTTTTTTAGTTTGTCTACAATATTTAAAAGTTTTCTTGTTTTTAGCGACGTTGCTTTTGTAGTTGTTCTTGTTGTTGTTGTTGATGATGTTGTTGTTGTTCTTTGACATCTGTATGTCATATACCAACATGGACTTATATGCAAATATGCATACGGATAATACATGCGGTATATAAGCATGAATTTATATATACATGATCTATATATATATCAAAATGCAGCAAAACTTTTTTGTTTTTGTTTTTCTCTCAGTTTTGTTTGAATGGGAAACACAACAACGTGGAAATTTTGGTTCATATCAGGTCTATGGCAAAAGTTAAGAATTTTATATATATATATATGGTGTTCTGCAGTTGTTGTTGTTTGGTTTGCTTTGTTTGTTTTGTTTCTGATTCTGGATATTTTTTTTTTTGCTAGCCAGCTTTTTGCCGCTAGGCTCTACTTAGAACTGCTGGTAGTTGTTGCTATTGTTCTTGTTTTGATGGTAATTACTCGACGTGTTGTTATTGTAATAATTGTTTTGAGCACTACTTTGTTGTTTGTTGTATTTACCATAACCGTAGTCATATCCATTATAGTAGCCGCCGGTATAGTAGTCGCCATAGCCACCGGCACCATATCCTCCATAACCGCCATATCCCGAGTAGGATCCCTGTCCGTCCCACTGGTTGTTGTAGCCTAAAATATGACAATTTTAGTAGCAACTTTTTAGGGTATACATTTAAAATGTACTAACCACCACGTCCTCCGTAGCCACCGCGTCCGCCACGCATACCACCGCGTGGTCCTCCTCGCATACCGCCCATCATTTGGTTCTCTGGCTTGGGCGTTGCCCTCTTAACATCGACCTCCTTGCCGGCGATCTTCTGTTTGGGCGTCTTAAGCAGATCCGTGACCACCTGCTCTGAATCGAAGGTGATGAAACAGAAGCCCTTGCGCTGCGACTTTTGCTTGTCGAATGGCATCTCAACCTCAACGATCTTTTAATGGGAATAATATAGATTAGTATTCAGTAAAGCTCGGTTGATTTTGGAAGTTCAACCAAAACAGATTTATAGATCCAAGTAGTATTACCACAAAGAACGTTCTTTCTTAGGGATACTTACGTTGCCGAACTGTCCGAAGTAGGTCTTGATCTCCTCATCGGTAATCTCTGTGGTCAGACCGCCGACAAAGATCTTGCCGTGCCTGGCCTTGGCCTTCTTGGGGTCGACCTTTTTGCTGTTGATTATGTGCTCATCGGCGGCGCTAACCTTGTCAATGGCCTCGGTATTTGTGAACACGATGAAGGCAAATCCTCTTGACCTTCCAGTCTGGGGATCTGTCTTAACATTGATGCTCTCAATCTCACCATATTTGCCAAAGTGATCGCGGAGTTCCTCTGCAAACATAAGAAACCAGGTGTAAATAAAGACTTCTGTAATTTATTTTTAAATTTTATACTTACTTTCAGTCGTTTCCCAGCTCAGACCACCAACAAACAGTTTTCTGCGAAAGGTTAAAGTATATATGGTTAGTTATATGGAATTTAAAATCATTTTATGATCTACGGGTAAAGACATTTTTGGGAGTTGGTGGAAATAAAGGTAAATCTGGGAAATCAGGCACGAAAATAGGTTGTGTTTAATGCGCGTGGCAAATACTTTCTTAATTTACTTTAAATTTCTCTTCTCTCACTGTTTTTCGTATTGGCTGCAAAAGAATTGATGACAGAGCAAGAATACAAAAACGAATAAAAAAAACTCACCAAATTTGAAGTGAAAAATTGCTTTAGTTACTGTATTGCAATCAAAGAATTGATCGGATAGTGTCAAAAAACTTGCAAACTCGGAAATGAGCGAAAGAGTTCGAGGAGCGAGCGAGCGATCGATCGAGAGACACAAAACGAGCGAAATATATAAATATATAATATATATATAGATATGCAAGAGTGAATTATTTAGTTTTTTTGGGTATACTTATAGTTTTTTGTTTGTACAATTAACAATTAACAATTAGTCTTTATTCAATAGGATGAGAAAAATGCAAAGGTTTTTTTTATGCTGGATTGTGGTTGGTTTTACTTTCTTTATTTTTTTGCTGTTTATTTTTATTATTATAAAAAAGAATGTTGAAAAAAGTATGCAGATTCTTAAAGTTTACTGTGACGTACGTTACTCTTATAGATTTCTGGATTTTTTTTTTAAAGATTTCTCAGCGTTCTCGGCGGATTCCCGGCAAATTTGGAACAGTCTTGTCACACGGCGGCGGAATTTAGTGATTGTGCGTCATTTTTTTTATTTGCGGCAATTCGTTACGTTACATTTGTTCTATGTGTTTCTTTCATCGGGCGATATATAATATATAGTGTCTGAGCTTCATAAAAAACAAACGAAAAAACTGCGAGTCTCTATTTTCACTCGGTCTCTCTCTGTCTCCGATTACTTGGTACTTTTTTTCATATTAGAACTTTTTTGTTTTGGTTAATTTACAAGTTATACGTTAAGATACAATACAATATATACTCGTATACAGTTTACATATGGATCCAATTTAAATCGAGATAATTTCCTGATAATTTTGTGTGTCGATAGTTCTACATATTGGCTGACTGAACTGATTGATTGTTTTAGTTTTGGATAGATAAATACCATCAGCATCAGTATCGGCGGAGCGGAGACTTTTGGAGACTGGAGTGTGGAGAGGGTTGGATATCCTCCAAGTCCATCGAATCCAAATCCGTATCCGTAACCGTTTGCCGGGGGCAGGAATACGAATCCAAATCCAAATCCAAATCCAAATCCGATTCCGAATCCATATCCGACTTGAGCATAGCTTATAACCCTGACCCTGGGCAATTCACTTCTCTCAAAACCTGCCGGAGAGGAACAAGGTTAGTTCGCTCACAAGACAACAGGATAAGCTATGATTTTGGATTTAATTTCTCCATTTCATCCTTCTTTTTTCGGGGGATTTTCCGCGTCTTCTTCAGCGCTGGTTTTGTATTATCGTTTTAAATGTACAGTATCGTGTGACTTAAGATTTAACTTAGATATTAGATGATCAGTAGGATGGGCAAATGAAGTGTATACTAGACCTAAAAACAAAAACCAAGGGGTGCAAAGGGGACCATTCTACGAGGGGACCATTCTCGTACTTTATCATCTCATAATATTGTAATCTATCACAATTTTATCACACATCAAAGTACAATTTGTTTTTAATTACTTTTTCTTTTGGCGCCTTGGTAACTCTAAAAAGACGCCGGCTGTCGTTCTCTCATAGAGAGAGTGAGAGAGGACTAGAGTTGGGGAGAGCAAACGAAGCCGGCAAGCAAAAGAGAATAAGTAAAAACTGCAAAACACGCAGCACACACATAATGAACAACGGGCGTTAGTATGTATGCATGTATGCGGCCGCCATTTTGGGCACAGAACTGGAAGAGCACAAAATAACAACGAATAGCCGAACCAAAGAGTAATGCGAATAAAAAAGAATACACTAGCAAATACAAACATAACTTTTGTTAAACTTTTTTTGTATCAATTTTTGCAAGTGAAAGGCAACCGTATGTTTCTGTGTGCGCGTTTATATTTGTGTGTGTGTTTGGGCAACGTGGGTAACAAACATAACCTCACAATGGGAAGAAAATGTGCTCCAAGCTATTGAAAACTCTAGTTTTCTTTGCAAAAACTGTGCATGTGTAGAGGAAAATTATGAAAATTTTCCATTTCTCCCGAGGCTGTGATGATGCATTTTCCCGAAGATTCTATTAATATGACTGAAGTACAGTCGCACCGACACCTCACACATACACACAAACACGCGGATACACGAGCGCAAGCGAGAGAGAACACAAAAGGGGTCAGACTTCCCCCGTAAAACCCCGTAAACACCATACAACTCGACCAACGACGTTAGCTTCGCATTTACGTAACATTATATAGAAGGAGAAAATCTAAGGGGGGCACATGATCATCAGCTGCCCGTAGCAAAATAGAACAAAAGAAAAAGTATATCCGCTGGATAATGGACATACCTGTCGTCGTCCCGCTGGCCGGATGCTCCCGATTGGTTGTCCGAACTGCCATTGGTCGAACCGGCGGCGGCGGCGGCCCCATCCCCATTTTCGGATCCAGGTCCGTCTGCCGTCACGTCCTTGGTGAAGTCCTCGCCGTTCATCTCGCTATCCACTTGCTTGTTCTCGGCCATTTTGTGTTTTTCTTTTGATTTACTAATTTAATGGGGCTAAATAGCGCAAATTTCGTTTGCTTAAAACAGAACCGTTGATTATTACACACTCGCCAAAAAGTCGCGCGAACGAATGAGATGACGACCGGAAAATGACAAATGCAAACGACAGCGTGTGTATATGGGTGCGGCCTTGCCACCTTGTCGAGTCTTACCAGTTAAGGCGTTTTGGTATTATTTTTGTTATTTACTCTTTATGCTGCCTGCACGACCTGTATTTTTTTTCATTTACAAGGTCTTACAACATATTTTCGGTATTTTTCACCCCTAAATAGCTTCAAGGATTATGGTGACTCGTGATCAGTCAGTCAGCTTATAGTACGGCATCACAGTTTTCCAGCAGTGTGTACACTCCCGAATTTAAATATATAATAATACACCAAAATTACTTTATCAATATAAATGAATTATAATTCTATGATCAATATATGTATGTATATATAATACATAGGGACAAATATATAACAGTTTTGTTAAATGTTTTACAAATTTTCCAAATAAATATATATACCAATTGATGTATTTGGAATTAAGAATAATACAGGTGTATCTGACATGATTTATATGAAATTTATATGAATATATATATTATCAAGCATTACCAACAAGGTATTTTAATTGGCAAATGTCTGAAAATTATTAAAATATGTTTTTATAAGTCAATGTAATTTATATATTCATTAAACTTTTAAGGTGCTTACAACTGCAATCTTAAAGCAAGGCAAAATTTGCTTTCCGCGGACGTCGCCGTATAAACAGCATGACCGTTTATCATTTTTAAAATAGTCTATGGTATTTTTTGATGGAAAAATGAAATATGGTATTATTCAATTTCGGCGCGGTCACGCTGTATATACATATAAACGTCGGTTCTCTTCTCGATTCAACACACTTGTCCAATTTCATTGCGTTTGCGATTATTTTCTACTCAAAGCCTATGCATCGTAACTTAATACAACAACAACTGTGATCGCCAAACATCGGAAAACAACAAAAATAAGCACGACAAGAATTGCCAAGTTAGTTATTCTCAACAAAAAGTCAAATTGCAACAAAGTAAAAAAGTGTGAGTGAGTGCGCCTGTGTGTGTTTTGAGTGCAGTTTGCAATTTTTGATTCTATTTGACAAGCTTTGCCCACTGATATCTAAACCAAAAATCCTGCATAATTTCAGCGCTCCATTGAAAATTCCACCTTCCCCGCCCCGCAGGAAGATAACCAAAAAAGAAAAGTGCAAAAAAAGTGTCGATTTTTCGGCAAATTTCAACCCAGAAGCAATACACATTGTGCATTACAAAAAAAAAAGAGGAGAAAATCGCAAAAAGGTGAGCCGGCGGCGGCCTCGTGTACGCGGTCTAGAAAAACTAGCATTTTCCATTTTCGTTGGGGTGGTGCATACTAAAAAGTAGCCGAAAAAATGAAATGTCTAGTGGGCGTGTTTTTTTTTATTAGCTGGGGACACTACTTTTTTTTTGTACATTCTAGCGGCTTTTTTTTATGATCTCTAGCGCATAACCTAAAAATGTACGAAAAAAATTGTTTTTGTAAATTTTTGTTTAAATGCTACTCTTTAACTATCCCTTTCTTTGTTCTTCCTACACACGCGGTTCGCCATCAAAAGTGAGAGAGCGGTAGCAAGAGAGAGTGGCGCGTTCATAACCGTATAGGTGTGCGTATGTATGTGTGTACCGCAACTCTTTGTGCATTATTTGTTTTATCGGCAAATATTTAAGGCTGAAAAAGGGAAAAGAACACATGCAAACTAGTTTATTTCAAATTGTTAATTCTTAACATTGGCTAACATTGATATACAATTGAATTAAAAATCAAATATAAGCTGGACCTTAATTAAAGCGGCGCCACAACCTTGAAGCGCACACATAACCTCAATTTAATTCATGCTCCCCGCTTGGCGGCTTCTTTTTTTGTTGCCCATATGTATGAGGTCATTTACTTACACACACAGACATACACATGTGCAAAGTCCTTCGAGTTAGGATCGCAGGTATAAAACTTAAAGCACGTGCAGGGTTAAATGTCCTGCAACAACAAAGCAAAATGGAACTTTTTGTGACAGCTGCAATACACTAAATTTTCCCTTTTTCCCCTGTGCCAATGTCTGTGTGGGGCAAAAAAGTGGGTCAAACTGCAACGCGCTGCGTCTTTTTTATATGCACTGCGGTAAAATGAGCTCCATTTTGGGTGGACGCTTTATCCTTTCGGCAGGGAAACTAGAGAAACTCTAGCTCCTCACAGCAGAGGTGTAGGTAGTAGGGGGATTCAATAATCATACAGATAACTCTAGAACTCTTGGTGCTCTATATCTCATGGGTTAATAGTTAATAGAAAAAATATTTTGTGTAATCAGCAAGGTCATTGACTTCTCAAAGTCAGTTATCGTCATTAATATAATAAACCAAAAATATAATATATAAATCACTGATTAAACGCTTTAACTACAATGATTGAATCTTTTATAAAAAATCTATTCCATAATCAACTTTTTTTCTGAAAATACTTTTTGGGTATGATGACTAAGCGAACTGATACAAGATAACGACCTCAGTAGGTTTTTAAGATCTTAGAAATCAAAGTAGCCCCCTGCCTTTATTTCAAAGTATTATATTGAGAAATCGACTTCGGGGCTATTCTTTTTGATTTTTGCTAGTTTTTATAATCCAAAATCCAGAAAGATCTTTATATATTTCTTTGTATATTTATATAAGTGCCTGTATATTTTTTTTTACTATTTTGCAGACGTTTGAATCACAAACGCTCGAGTGCAAAATCAATCGACGCCGATCAGACACTGTGTCGTAAAGTCCAAGAAGCGCATAAAGGGGGACACGGAATTGGAAAGGGAAACAAAGAACCCGAGTCGAGAAGCCCGTAGTTCAGAGAAGAAATAACCAATCGCCAGCTATGGTCATGGATGCGACCCAATCGCAGCAGCCTTCGCCGCAGTCTGTGGGACGCGAGTTTGTTCGCCAGTACTACACGCTGCTGAACAAGGCGCCCAACCACTTGCATCGCTTTTACAACCACAACTCGTCGTACATCCATGGAGAGTCCAAGCTGGTGGTTGGTCAACGGGAGATCCATAACAAGATCCAGCAGCTGAACTTCAATGATTGCCACGCCAAGATCAGCCAAGTTGATGCCCAGGCCACTTTGGGCAACGGTGTTGTAGTTCAAGTCACCGGTGAGCTGTCCAACGATGGGCAGCCTATGCGTCGATTCACCCAGACGTTTGTCTTGGCCGCCCAGTCACCGAAGAAGTACTACGTACACAACGACATCTTCCGCTATCAAGATCTGTACATCGAGGACGAGCAGGATGGCGAGTCGCGGTCTGAGAACGATGAGGAGCATGACGTTCAAGTGGTTGGCGGCACTGTGGATCAAGCTGTTCAGGTGGCTGGCGATGTGGTTGCTCAACAGCCGCAACAACAGGCTACTCCGCAACCACAAGCTCAGGTCGTGTTGCCCCAGCAAGTGGCTGCTGTAGCTGCTGGTGGTGCTGCCCCGCAGCAGATTTTCTATCCATTGCCAGCGGGAGCTACGGCCGGTCGTCCTGTGGCAGTTCTGCCACCAGCTCCTCAGGCAGCTGCCGTTCCACTGCCAGCGCAGTTCACCGTTCCGCCACCACAGCCCATCCAGAATGGAGTGGTGTCGCACGAGGAGCTGCAGCAGCAGGTGCTGGTCCCTCCCAGCGTGTCTCCTCTCGTGCAGCAGCAGCAGCCTAGCGGCACACCAGTGTTGCCCATCGTTCCAGTGCCAAGTGCGGGCTTCCAGCAATCGCCACTGGTGGCACCACAGCTCATCCAGCCACAGCAGCAGCAACCTCCTCAGCTGCCCCCACAGCAACAGCAGCAAACCATCCAGCAGCAGCCTCTACAACAGCAGCAGCAGCAACAATCGCTGTCGGAGCCCGAAGATGTCGAGGTACCACCACGACAGATTCAGAAGCCACCCACGCCCGTCGAGGACTTCAAGACCATCCACGAGCAGCAGCAGCAGGAGAAGTACGAGGCCGCTAAACAGCAGCAGAACGAGCCAAAGACTTATGCGAATCTGTTCAAGTCCACGTCGTCCTCGCCCAGTGGCTTTGTTAATGCCGCCCTGCAGCAGCAACAACAGCTTCAGCAGCAACAGCAGCAGCAGCAGTCGATCAGCAGCAATACCTACAGCTCATCCACGGGATCTGGAAGCGGCGGCAATGGCGGTCAGGTTAGCTACTCCACCACAGCGTCGTCCTACAACAACAGCAACGGCAACTCGCGACTGGACAACGGTGGTCCGCTGCCACAGCGCAACAATTCGATCCGGAACAACAAGGGTGGTAAGTCTGAAATCCTCCCTTAACTATTAAGGGGTCATTCCCCTTTGCTTTGCTTTTAGAGAAATGATTCAAATGCTGAAAATAGTTAATGGGATCTAGAAATAGAGGAAATTGTTAGAAAACTAATAACCAGTTTTTTCATTATTTTAGTTTTTGTTTATATAATAAACCTATTGAACATGTATCATTTTTGAAGACAAATGTGTTCAGAACACGTCATAAGCATATATTGCTTATATGTTATTTATTTATATTGATTATTATTATATTCACAGACTTTGAGCAGCGTCGCTCAAGCAACACGCAGCAGTTTGGTGATAGTCAGCAGCTTTTCCTGGGCAACATTCCTCACCACGCAAGCGAGGATGATCTGCGCGAAATCTTCTCGCGCTTCGGCAATGTCCTGGAGCTCCGCATCCTATCCAAGGCTGGCAACAAAGTGCCACCAGGCATGCGCAGCCCGCTGAACTACGGCTTCATTACCTACGATGATCCGGAGGCAGTTCAAAAGTGCCTTGCTAACTGCGTAAGTATATAAAGAAATAGGAAGAAGTAAGGTATTTCATCTGTTCATTAATTCTTATGGGGATAGAAAATATATATGGGATTATTAAAACGAATTTGTTTCCTTTCCGCAGCCTCTGTACTTCCCGGAGAACTCACCCGATGGACAGAAGTTGAATGTGGAGGAGAAGAAGCCGCGCGTCCGCAATGACATGTTGCCCCGTCAGCCGATCGGCGGCAACAACCTTAACAACAACATGGGTCGTTTGGGCGGCAACAACGGACCGCAATCTCGTCCCATGGGCAACAACAATGGCAGCGGCGGTGGCATGATGCGTAACAATGCTGGAGGCAATAATTTGCGTCAGGGAGGCGGTAGCGGTGGCGGAAACGGAGCTCCACGTTTGGGAGGCGGCGGTGGATTCGGGCAGCGCCAGGATAATCGCACCGGCGGTGGCAACAACCAGTCCAACGGACCGCTGCGCGGGGCCGGAAACGGACAGAGCGGTGGTGGCAACTACGGACGTCGCTAAAGGAAATCCTTAGCACGGCATCAGCAAAAGCAAGAGCATCAACAAGAACAGCAGCAGCAGCAGTAGCCACAACAATAACAGCAGCAGCAACAACCCAACGTTAAACAAACAAACATCGACTTCTTCCACAATGCAATCAATCAATTACATTCAAGAACATTTCATGCAATTGAAAACACACAAAGACACACAGATCACACTTAACATCAAGTAGTTGGAGCAACAAAAAAAAACTGTCAACTGTCCTTTAAATGTTCCTGAGCGCAATTCTCGGGGCGTCGAGCTGAAACAAAACACAAAAAAAAAAAAAGACGAAAAAAGTAAAATCTTGAGTCTCTTCTTAGTTTAATTGCGTTAGGCTCGCTTATTCCAGCCAGTTCGTGCCAAAATATACCGAAATTCTGTGCAAATCTCTGTTGTGAATTCAGATAAATATTGCTTCAGCTCGTTAACTGCTACTCTCTACCACCCCCTCGCGGAATCACCTTCACCTTGAAACACGTGTATTAAGTTTAAGTCTCAAACACATTTAGAACACACTCATTGAAAAACACACACACACACACAAACATAAACAGACAGAAGACACTCAATCACCCATCTTAGCATAAATGTAAACTTTAATTTCAGCTTTCGTTTGGCAAAACACTTTTAAATATCTAACTTAAGTTCGCAGGATGAAAGAATTGGTTTAAACAAAAAAAGGAAATAAGGAAAGGAGCAATGCAACACATTTTCGTTTGTTTTTTCATTGTATAACCACATTACTTAAGCTATATAAAGATTAAATTAAAAGGGAACTTAAACACAACTTAGCTAAAAAATATAAAACAAAGCAAAAAAAAAACAAACAAAAAAATGAAAAACCTTTGTAAAATGCAATAAAAAAGAGCAAAAGAAAGACTTGAAAAAATATTAATTTAAAAACTAAAAAAAAAATGAAAGTAAACTCGAGAAAAATGTAAGGCGCGGTTGAAGGCAGGCAGAAAATTAAGAACAAGCAGAAACACACTAGAACACACACCCCTTAGGAAGAAAATACATTGCAAGTGAAAGGAAAATCAATTCAGCACCAAGCCGCAAATAATAAAAAATGTGAGGAAAAACACACGCATCAACCACACGACGACGTTTAGCAGCGCCCCTTAACAGTTCGCCGCATTTTAGAGAGTCAGCCTGTAAACCTTTTGCTACTTAAATCTAATTTGCAGATTATTTTAGCTAGTCTACTGTATACTAGGGAATCGGATGTAAAAGATTGTGGAGATGACAGAGATCGTGTGAAGGGGGAAATGCGGTGCCGGCGCCGCAGCAGAAGGGGGGCGTGGTCGAGGGACAGATAGACGGACTGTGTTTATGCTTCTTTTTTTGTTCTGTGTAATGAGTTCAAGGTCGTAAACCAAACTAAGTCAAGCAACTTAAACGATTTGGTGTTTCCAACGCAGTTGTGAACTAAAATTTAGTACATATTTTTTAAATAAAATCAAGAAAAGCCCAAAAAAATAAGAAAGATGAGAATCATATAAAAAAACACAAACCTATTATAATAGTTGGAGGACGAAACACAAGCTACTAACATTTTTCTCAAGGTAAAAACAAGCAAAACATGTAACAAGAAATATATACAAATATATATATATATATAAAAATAAATAAAACAAAAACTCATATAATTTAATGTTAACTTTTAGACTTACCAGAAATCTAAATATACATAAATATATATTTATATAACTGCTGCAGCAAAAAAAGAAAAGCGGAGAGGGAAACTAAAAAGAGAAACATTTATTAACGTGTGAAAATCTTTTGAATTTTTTCGCAGGCGTCCAAGTATATATATTTGCCTAAGTTATTCTTGTTTTGTTAAAGCTTAAAGACTTTTGATTCGTTGGAAACATATCATTTGTTTTTGTTGTACGACGCCTGCCCTAGAGAATCAATTGCTAAATCAATTACTTTTTACAAGAATTTCTAATACACACACATAAACACGTACAGCATTTTTAGCACTGTGAACCAGGGTCTAAAGCAATTTTAGTACATTTTTTGTAAAACGAAAATGTTAGTGTTCAAATCTTAGCTCAACGATCAGTGCTGAAGAAGCTTCGTAAACACCAACAAAAAACAAAAAAAAAACAGCATCTAAACAATACAATACAAATCAGAGGTACTAACTAAATCTATGTAAGAGTAACGAAAAAACAATTAGAGTTCATGCTCATTTCTAAGTAAACCGATGAAATCACAATACTGCAGTTTGTAAAGAGCAAAAAGAAACGGAAACACTTAATTATAATTTAATTTATATGTATACAACTACAAAATAATTATAATAATAAAAACAACCACAAAGATTCAGCGTGTTTACCAGAAAACTTATCATTTGTTTTATTTCAACTTCTTAAATATACAAAACTTATATGAAAACTATTTACACATATATGATCAGATCGATTGCTTTATCCTTTCTGGTAAATATGCGATAAACTCCTGAAGAAAACACCAATTAAAAATCGTGAATTAGATTATCTTAAAAATAACTTCATATAGAGTTTATTTTTTACTTATCAAGGCGATTCCTGCGACTGAATCCGATTTCCATTTGCCTTTGCGTTGATGCAACTGAGAGCATTCAGCATTTAAATGAAATTGATGCGCACAAAGCTAAGCAATTGAATGCAATTTGCATAACTAATTAATCACAAAAGCGAGTCAAGAAAATAATAATGATTTCCAAAACTCTCCAAATCCCCAAAAGTCTCAAACATAATTCAGTGGTGCGTTTTATAGCGTTTCAGATATAAAACATTTACGCAAAATCAATTCACTCCTGCAATATAATTTAAATGAAAACCAAAAAACCAACAGAAATAGTTTAAATAAAGAACAAAAGTTTTCGATTTTAAGTCAAAAAAAAAATGTTTTTTTTTTTATTTTAGATTCTTGTTATAAAGCTGTGCGGGTGTTTTTTGATATCAGTTTTCCTAAAGGAATCATAAAAATCGTAAGAATTCGGGAAGTTCCTTTAGAATTTTATGTTGACCCAATCCTCAATTCTTTTAGACGCCTGTAATAAATAAAGGGAATTTTTTAATCAAAGTTTTTTTTTTTAATATTCTTTATTTAACTTACCATAAGCTGGTGATGAACGATCACTGCTCATCTTCGTATTGAGGCATTGGGTTGAATTTGCAGCGGGCTTAAAAATCTTAAAGTCCGCAGTGGGCCATTTCTTTATTGCCCCAATTCCAACGGGTGATCCTGGGCTTATTCCCAGTCCAACTCCCGATCGTCCATCTGCATCACCTCGGGCCCCCAAATCCATCGTAGCAATCGTAGGAGTCGACTGGGCACACTTATAATCGTTCCTGGGACGATCGGTGGTCGACGTTTGGGCATGTTTGTGGCCAGCCTTGGGTGGATATTCAGCCAGCTTGCTGGGTGTCCATTCTTCAGCTGGATATTTTCCATGCTTTGGATAGTAGGACCATAAATCTTGAGCATTAGCATCAGTTAGCATCTGCACCGGCTTATGATGAGGATGCCAGGGTCCAGGCAATGGTGTCACATACGCAGCCCAACCGTTGCTGAATGCCGATGGCGGCAAGACAGATTGCGTCAGGTAGGGATTAAAGTTTATGCTGTTGCAGTTATAGCTATCCAACGGGGGCATGTAGGAGTCTCGGGTTGATTCGATTATGGGGAACCGCTGTCGCTTGCCGTGATCAGGATTCTGGGTTGACTTCTTCACCACCACCGCGCCCATATTAATTAAATGCTTCTCTTGGGCTGCAAATAAGAATTCGGTGCTGAATTTTAATTGAGTTTTCTAAATGATCTATATTTTGTAGGACTAGGTGAGGTTTTTTCAAAGGATTAGGGAGGTAAGTCTCGTTTTACAAAGGACATTTAATAATTATTTTTTATTATTATTTATTTATTAAACGTAGAAAACTCACCCAAAGCTTTTTCGGCACTTGCTGGATTCTCAAAATCCAGGAATCCAAATCCTCGCTTACGACCTGTCTCATTGTCCAAAATCAATTTCACAGTGGAGACTTTGCCAAACTGTGAAAAGTATTCGCCAATGTTATCATTATTATGGCATTCCTTTAAACCACCCAGGAAGATTCTTTTGACCGCGCCACCAGTTCCAACGCCAGAAGCAGCAGTACCTCCACCTCCCGGTTTGGTAAACTCGCGACGTGGCTGAGCAGGTTTGGTTTCCACAGCTCTGGGATTAATCCAAAATTAATAAATCAATGTGTAAAATATTTTTTTGAATAGTACTTGGAGTACTTATACGAGTATATGCTTGAGAATATCAATTTATGAAAAATTTCAAATAAAGTATTGCAACTATATTTCCGTTTGAAACTCACTTATTATCAATAGTATGTGGTCCTGACTCTTGGACATATTCGATGGACTTGGGATCCACATAGGTGACAAACCCAAAGCCCCTGGACCAACCGGTAACAAGATCTCGCAAGACCACCGCATCGGTTACTTCTCCAAACTTTTGGAAAAATTCACGCAAGGACTCCACAGTCGTTTGATTGGATAAGCCACCAACAAATATCTTGCGTAAGTGCTCATTGCTTTCATTTCCAGTGGACACAGGATTGGAGCTACCGTTCCTGACTATTTTACACTATATAAAGAAGTGGCTTTATCAGACCTGGACTAGATAACCTAGGGAAATATCCTACCGCTGGCTGGCACGATGGGGTGGCACAATTATTAGTATCCATAATTCACAAGAAAAATCAGCTGAATGATTCAGAGTTACGGCACAGAATCGAAAAATGAAGACCGGACACAGTTTAAATGACAGTCGGAAAATTTTTCAAATGTCAATTACTTAGATATGGACTATCGACCGGTTCTATAAATATTATTGCCACCTAGAAATGACACATTAACTTTAAACAATGCTGCCAATTTGATTTCATGAATTCCTTAAACCGGAACCTCCTAACTTTTCAGGTTATCGAGCTGGGAATAGTTTATCCCTCTCCCTGGTTAAATATATTTTGGGAAGAATATGGACCAGTGTTAGTAGAAGCCTAATATAATCCTGATAGTCCTTGTTCCTTTTCGTAGAAATTAGTTCCTATTTCATACTAATATCAATCATTTAATCATCTCTGATCTATGAAAAATATCCACAAAAATGTGAAAACTGTATGACCTAAGCCCATGGAGCCATAGCGATTTGAAAAAACTAAATATTCCACTAAAATCAAAAACAGTTTGAATTTATATTAAAATAATCAATTCTTTATTGAGAAATTTAAAAAGATATAGTAGCTTTTAGTAAAATACCGTGTAGTTACCTTCACTTACCTCCGAGTACCGACCAAGTCAGCCAGAACTGCCACCAACCAAGGTCCAAAGTGGACACTCTTTTTCTGGAAACGAACCGGTGCGAAGAGCATAGCAGATGACGTATCCGGCCCCGGAAGCATCCGTCCGTAGCCCGGCCAGTCTTGCAAAGAAATAGTCAGTGCATTAGTACGCGGTTTGCCCGGGGGATTATTATTTTTGGGGATCTCTAATGACGGTAACTAGCCCTGCTTGCTACCCTGCCTCCAATCCCGGTCGTATCGGATTACCCCGTGATTGATTGCTGCTGATCCTGTGCTCCTTATCGCAAAGGATTTTTGCACCTGTTATTGTTTCGGGTGGGTAACATTAGGACTTTATTTTTCGTTTGAATCTCACGTCGCTTTAGTTTCTGTTTTAACGAACTAATTACAGAACATTTGTGATTTTAGTTATGTGGATTTCTTTTTAGTTTTCTGGGCTTAGCGTAGCATCTACTTCTTAGGGTCTAACAGAGTTGGTATGTTTCGTATATATGGATTTCGCTTGCTAGGACAATAGCGCAAAGTTGCCAAAAGGGCCAGTCTGTCACGTATAAATTAATAGTTTTCCTCTTTTTTAGGAAGGTATTAATTTATATCTGCCAAATTGATCATTTAGACCACTGTGCAGCGCATGTAGACAATTCTGCGGAGGCGTTCGCCTTTGTATTGCAATAAATCATAATATGTATATAAGTTCTTAAATGTACAAAAAAGTGATTACAAAATATGGTTCTATTTGATTTTATACATTTCTCGCTGAATCGCTATATAAAATAAAATCAATTGAAAATACAACTAGCTGTGGGCCACATCCCGTCATGAATAAAGTTCAAGGTACTCTACCTTATTAACACCCTTATAAACAACTGGTTATCAAAGAGCATCAGGCGCTCATCAATTGGTTTCTGTTGTTCGGTAATCAATTTTATAAAATAAAATTGTATAATTTTTATTTTGGTGGTTGGTTTGTGTTTTTCTTTCTTTCTTATCGTTTCGTTTCTTTTAGTTTGTTTAGATTGATAATATAGTTAAAACTAAGCGTTCAGGGTTTCTTAAAATCCTAAACATGAATTGATCAGCGAATTAATGGTTACAAAAGAGAGATAGTAGCATTCAAAACTGTGGACAATTTGGCGTCGGGTTCGATTTGCTTTCTTGGCTGTTTTGCTTTGCATACACACATTTGGCTTATTTTCTTGTTGCTTTTCGCCTTCAGGTTTCAGACTGGCCCAAAAACTGATTGCTTGCACTTGCACTTGACTCGGCCTGGTTTTCTCGATCTGGATTTCTTGGATCTGATCTTGTCTGCCTGGTCTGAGAGACACCTGCTACTAGTTGCCTGCCTGTGCCTGGGTCTGAGATTGTGATTGGGATTGTGCTTGTGCCTCTGCATCTGCCTGCCTAGACTGCCTGCTTGTCGTCTAGCTTGAACTGACTCTCTCTCTCTCTCTCTCTATGTGTGTTTACCTAGTTGCAAAAAAAGGAGAAAATTTTGAATTAGCTTCGGTTCGATCTGATAAATATTGATTGTTTGTTTGGCTTTCAACTAGCTGCCAATAACGACCAAAGATCCGAGCGAATTAAAACCTACTGTGGGCTTAGGACCTGGATCTTGAATATACATTTACCTTGTCTAGTAACGTCTATTGCCGCCGCCCATGTTTCCACCCTGGCCGCCGCCTCCGGAGTTGTAGTTGTTACCGCCAAATCCTTGTCCTCCACCCTGGTTACCTAAATACGAGATTTAAAAAGTTAAAATTATACGCCTTTTAGACAACTTTCAACTATCAATCTATTATCTTAGAACCTTACCCTTGTTAAAACCTCCTCCACTGCCTCCTTGGCTATATGGGGCTGGGCGGTTGTTGCCAAAGTTGTTATTACGCTGTGGTCCACCGCCGTAGCTCTGCTGGTAGTCGTTGCCGAAGCCACCACCACCACCTCCGTTACCGCCCCAGCTTCCATTGCTGCCGCCGCCGTAACCACCTCCACTGCCGCCACCATTGTTCCAGCCACTGTTGCCGCCACCCTGGTTCCACGGACTGCCGCCGCCGCTACCTCCCTGTTGGTTCCAACCACCCGAGCCTCCGCCCTGACCGCCTCCAAAGTTGCCACCGCTGTTGCCGAAACCACCGCCGCCAGCTCCTCCCCAATTGCCACCGCCGTTTTGCCTGTTCTGTCCTCCCCAGCCACCGCCGCCGCCTCCCTGGCCGCGATCACCCTGACCCCCTCGTCCGCCAATCCGAGGACCACCTCGTCCACCGCCTTGACCACCTCCACCACCACCGCCGCCGCCCTGGCGGTCCATGTCCTGCTTGGCAATCGCCTTCTTTACATCCAAGCTTTTGTTCTTGATGGTGTGGTTCTTCTGGAGTATGATCTTGTCCACTGGATCGTAATCATCGAACTCGATGAAGGCGAAACCGCGCTTCTTGCCCGTATCTTTGTCGACAACAATGTTTACGCCCACAATCTGACCAAAGTCCTTGAAGTACTCGCGCAGGCAATCCTCATCGTGATCGTCACGAAGACCGCCCACAAAGAGCTTCTTCACCGTGGCACCGGCATTCGGAGCATCGATCTCCTGGCGCGGCACAGCCCTCTTGGGCTCTACGGTGCGACCATCGATCTTGTGTGGGCGCGCATTCTGGGCATTGTCGATCATATAAGACTGGGAATATGTGATGAACCCAAAACCACGTGAACGCTTCGTCTTGGGGTCCTTCATTACCACCACATCCACAATGTTGCCCCATTTCTCGAAATGCGCCTTAAGACCGTCGTCTGTGGTGCGGTAGTCCAGTCCGCCGATGAACAGCTTGCCGCAACTGCTCTGGCTCGGTGATCTGTAGGCGAATTAAAAGGGGAGTCAGAAGTCAGTAAAGTGACACAAACCCATACATTTACATAAACCCGAATGCATAAGTAACGATATTATCTTCCGAAAATAAATTTCAAAGAAACCTTGTATAAAAATGTTTTAGTATTCATTAAATTAACCTTTAACAATGTTTTCGTTTGTTTCAAAATCAACCCAAAAATCGAATAGACTTTTTGTAAAGAAGTAAATAAAATATTTTTGAAAATGTATTCAGATTATCGAAGAAAATAAAATAGTAACTTCAAAGTATAAACATAAAATATTTTTTTTCCTAATATCAAAAGGTAATATTATCATAATTAAATAATAAAAATAAAGAGTACAAAATTGGGCTTTTATTAGAAATATCGAAATCAATCTCGATTTTGTAAAATTAATGCCTTCATAATCTTGCTTACACTTTAAATATATTAATCAGGAGATTAAACAATTTTAATTTATTTTCTTTAAATACAGTTTCAGATTACGAATAATTGCAATAATGACTCATCAAATAAATGCAATTATAGATAAACTATGATCTTCGGTCGGAATTGTTTATGATAATTATTGTGATACCTGGCGAGTGAAATGCTGCCCGCCATTTTCTTTTTATTACTATTTGCACCGCCATGACAGCCTGTTTATGTGTGTATGTGATTTCGTTTTCTTTTTCCTGAAAGGCGGCCGGCAATTTTTTTTTTTGTAATAATTATACATACGTTTTCCCCGATAAGGGTTATTAAACTTTTTTAGTGCCATTAACCGGTTGAAAGCGAATAAAGACCGAAGACCTGTTTAATTCCACGTACTTAATTGGCCGAGAAAAAAAAGCCGCGTGCTACATTGTCGGCGTCGACATTTTGCACTTTTCCACGCGATTACATTTGGAAATTAATCTCATTAAACTCACCTCGTCACCATCGTCGTAGTTTCCATTGGAATCGTTCAGATCCGCCATTATTGTTTTGCTTTTATGTAGAAATCGAACAACCTCGAAGTTAAGCACAATTTGTCAGATTTTCACTCTTTCTCCAGCAGACGCCCGAAAATATAAGGTGTACAGCACTCACAAAGGAATTGGGGAGCAGTGTGACCAATATGTCGGATGTGGTAGAACGCTAAAGTATCGTGAACTTGCAAAGTGGGAAAACAATGTTTCAAGGAACACGGAATTGTAACGATAGTTTTATAACAAGGCTTTTCTCTTTAACTATTTTATTGATTATAACTATTTGTTAGTTATCATAACCACAATTATCTTATACAGCTGAACAAAAATTTTGGGAAATATATTGAGCCATGCACTTAAACACTAGATAACATAAAAAAAATAAATTAAAACCATTACATAACAAATAAAGAAAATTCAAAAAATTGTTTGTGGCTAGAAGATGTATTATAGAAAACAATTCGTATTTTTTTGCAAGAGAACTCGAATTATTTTTTCTTATATATAGTTCATAAATGAATTCAACATGTTAAGTAGCCAATATATTTTATTTACATATTACGTTTTTCTTCGTTATAAATTAAAAAAGGAATACCCCATACATCTAAAAACGCCTTGCCCGCCCAAAATATCGGCCAACTAAAAACTATCGTTTCATTCCGCCAACGAAAAGATTGTCGAACATCGTTTCGGGCTGTCACTTTCACTTCCGTTTGTGTCGAGTAGCTTGCGTTTTTTTCGTGTGGAAAAGAAGCTGGAAAAATATAGTGTGTAGAGAGCGAGTAAATTGTAAATTTACCACAAATAATCTTTAATAAACGGTATGTGCTAGTGAATACGATTAAATTATTAACAACATTGATTTGCAACGTAAAATATATTGATTTTTTTCGCTAATGTTCTGTACACCCGGTACATTGTGCGCGTGTGTGTGTGGGGTGGTCTGTGTATGGTGTCCGCCATCTTGGCAAAACACATCCACACGCGCGCATCATAGTGTGTTTTTTTTTCGTTTCGAAAGGACAGACGAGCAAAATAGAAGCTGAAAAATACGTTTTATTTAATTATTATAACATATTCTAGCACCTGCTTGAGATACGTAAATAACCTTAATCATGGTGGGATCTCGAGTGTACGTGGGCGGTCTGCCGTATGGAGTGCGCGAGCGCGATTTGGAGCGCTTCTTCAAAGGCTATGGCCGAACTCGCGACATTCTCATCAAGAATGGCTATGGCTTCGTGGTGAGTATTAAAAAAAAATACAGTTAGTTAATATATAATATGTAAAATATATGTTTGGGTAATCAGGCGTACTTACAAAATTGTATAAAATAATTTTTGGCAAGGCAATGCTTAAATGCATTTGCAAACACAAAATTAGTTTATATATATCGATTATGCCTTCTATTGACCAGTTTCTTTTAAATTTAATGTTAAAATTATTCCATTAGTCCATAAATATCGTAAAAATGTACAACTGTTGTCATGGTACCAAAAAGTATCACTAAATTAGTTATACCACCTAAAAGCTTATACAAACTGAAGGTAAACCTGATAGTAATTCCATAATCAATACTAATCACTAATTGAATTTTCAGGAGTTCGAAGATTACCGTGATGCCGACGATGCCGTCTATGAACTGAATGGCAAAGAGCTGTTGGGCGAGCGGTAAGTTATTAAAACTATAAAAGAAGAAGCCCGCCAAATAGTGATTCACGTTTTTCTATTCTATATTTTTGCAGCGTGGTTGTTGAACCCGCCAGGGGTACCGCTCGAGGCAGCAACCGCGACCGCTACGACGATCGATACGGCGGTCGGCGAGGCGGCGGCGGCGGTCGCTACAACGATAAGTAAGTACAGGCTATACAGGCCATAAAACCGGACCAAAGTAGTTGCGACCATGCCGTCCTCTAACTTTGTTTGCGTTGAAATTTGCCCCAGAAAATTAGCATTGCCTAAATTATTTTCATTTAAAAGCCAATCCACACAGATGTGATCGATATTAATTGTATGCTTGATATATTATTGCAATTACCTTTTGAATTCTTGTTACCATGCTTATACATATATTAATGTGTATATTTTATTTTAAAGTTTTATTAATATTTAAAATTTTCTATAAAACTAAATATAAATTTTTGGATCTAATGTATTAACTATCGTTTAAAAATAACTATAAATCAATGTTATACCATTTTTTTCTATGTAATTGATGTAATAACAATAATATTACATTTTGAATCAGTTTTAATTTCATAATAGAAAGAACTTATTCAATTGAATTCAAAAAGCAACGATTTAAACAGCTTTACTCTGTGTGGAAGGCACCTACCTAAAAGACACTGACTTGCTGTTAATCTTATTATTTCCCAAATGCTCCGTTTTCCTATGCATATTATGATTTTCTTATGTCTGCACGTAACCTTAACCGAATAGTTTGTAAATCGTTTCGTTTCGTTTCGTTACGCATTAAACCAAGTATAAATATGCATATGCTTGAATATTCATCAATCAGCGTTGAGTTTTGTGATGGAGCAGCGGAAGCAGCAGCAGCGCAGTGTCAATACTAATTAGCGAATCCATTCAATTATTCACCAGAAACAAAAATTCCAGATCATCCTCCCGTTATGGACCACCCTTGCGCACTGAATACCGCCTGATTGTGGAGAATTTGTCTAGCCGCGTTAGCTGGCAGGTAAGTGAGCATGGATCGATAATATATCAGGCAATGGGCCCGATATTCACTGTAGTTTAGATTCGAGGAGTGTAGAATTAGCATTTAATAAAGGCTAACCGATTGAAATGGATATCTATATATTAAACACCCACTAATCTTCAACTTACCTATCCTTCAAAAGAAAACCCCCCACTTTCGAGCACCCCTTTTTGATTTCAAATTATTACCCCCGGTGTCTCACTGTCCTGTTTTGTGTTTAACTCCTCCTCCACTCTGACTCCAGCCATCTCTAATCTATAAATTAGTTATAAGCTGTACAGTTGACCTAGGCTTAAGTGAAACGAAAAAAAAACAAAGAAATATTGCTAAAACCCTAGTACTGATCGGTGTAATCTACCCACCATTACTTTCTCTCGCACACACCAACCGAAACCGATAAAAAAGAGTTTGATGTGCTTTGACTGAGAGATTCCCTACTCGGCTTGGGCCAATACTATAACCGAATCGGGACCAAAATCCGATAGAGAATCAAATCTTATTGAATCGCCGTGAGAGAAAGATAAATCTAGTGACCGACCGAGCGGTTCTGAGTGTTTCCCAAATAAAACCATGAAGTGTGGTGGAAGACAGAGAGGTAGTACCCAGAGCAGCCCCCAGATGGGTTTCGATTCGTGATCTACGATCTGCGACCTACGACCAACCACCACGATGCGCCATCGCCGCCGCCACATCCATCCGTCTTATTCCGAAATACGAAAACAAAAAATCATAAGAACAAATCGATCAGAATCGAGCCTAAGAACACTAGAAAACACCAAACTAAAACCGAAAATCAGAAAGCAGACGATGACGATGGACGATGATGAGCTGCCCGGGTCAAAAAGGCCAGCCTACGTAAGCTGATTATGAAAAGACGTAGGCTGGCCTCTTGCGTTAGGTATTTAATTTTCTCTGCTAAAAAAAACATTCACAATTTTTTACTATAAACAATATTATATAAAGAATTGTCAAATTCCTTATAGCCAATTGTGAGTGTGAGGGCGTAAATCGAAACAATCGAGTACGGTTTAGAGATGAGAGAAGCTTGCGTTCGCTAATTCTGAGATGAGGATGTGATGGTCTTGGCGACGATGATGAGATGGGAGATGAGCATATTACGATGATCGATCGATGATGATGACGAATGCTGATCGCGCGTTTTGTTACCAACTTCGGCTAGTGCCTCCGAACTTAGTCCTTCCCCCCAATTCCCGGTTCTTCTTCTGGCTACCGGCTACCGGCTATCGGCTCTGGCTCTGGCTTACGGCTAACGGCTCCCGGCTTCCGTCTCCGGCTGAGACTACCGACTAGACAACCAACCTGTTGGAGCAGCAAGAGAGCAGCGTCTCGAAACGTATTTCTTATTTTTGCAGTTCGTTTGTGCGTGAGGCGCCGAAGCCGCTGGTTGTTGTCCGCCACTGCCCGGCAAAACTGCTTCAAATGCTCCACTCTCCGGCTCTCTGGTGCGGTGGTTCTGGCCAGCGATGTCTGCCTCTGTAATCTGATCTGACCTCCTGACTGTATCCGGTGTGTGGCAGGCTCCCCCGAAACATAAAACCGAAATCGCTACCGCAACACTTGAATACTCTTTTTTTTGCCATTTATAATATGATTCTGTTGTACATGGAAAAACATATAACAAAATACTAAGTACCAAAACCAAAACACAAAACCAAAGTAATGAAACGAAACGTAAACGAGGTCTGGCCATCAATCCTCTCATCCGCCTGACTGGCCACTGGTTCACTGGCTGCCTAGGTGCCTGGCTGCCTGGTTGAGTTAACGATGTTCGATCGGACTTTCGATGGGAGGTCATGAGGTGTCTTGGTGTCATTGGCCCACAGTTACTAGGCAGACAATCTAAACTCTCGGTGTAGAAACGATGTGTGTGTCCTCCTCTCTCTGAAAGCGCATTAAGTAAGAATTCAATTACAAATATTTTGTTTTACTTAATTTATTTCCAAACCAAATCAACTATATCTATAATTAACTATCTATTGCCAACCACTGTTACCTCTGATTGTTTATGCTTAAGTTTTTGTGCTCGTGCAGCGTGGAGTGTTTGAATGTTCGGTGCTGGGCACCTTCTCGGCCATACCCGATCAAAACGAATCCTTTGTCCGGCGAGAGGTTTTCGTTTAACGTCCGTAGGCAGGCACGACAGCAGGAGCACAGGATAGACGACCAACAGGGCACTGAAAGTGAGGGACTTGTGAGAGAGACTTGAGACTTGGTTGGGAGCCCAATTCCGCCGGAACCATTCAAAATGCTCCATTTGCTGCACAAGCTGTCCTTTAGTTGCAACCACTGCCATTGTCGGATGCAAAAATGTGCGAGATTTATGCCAAAACTTAATTTTACTAATTTATGTCATTATCTTCCGACTTTGTGCGTCCCCTGCAGGATCTTAAGGATTACATGCGTCAGGCTGGCGAGGTCACCTATGCTGATGCTCACAAGCAGCGCCGCAATGAAGGGTAAGTTATAACTTAATGTAATTTTTTAGCTAGGTATTGAAACTAATAAAATGATTTTCTTTTTGCAGCGTGGTTGAGTTTGCCTCGTTGTCAGATATGAAAACGGCCATTGAGAAGTTGGATGATACCGAGCTAAATGGTAGGCGCATTCACCTGGTCGAGGACCGTCGTGGAGGACGCAGCGGTGGTGGTGGTGGCGGAGGACGTGGACGCTCTCGTTCATCTAGCTCGCGTTCGCGATCTCGTTCCCGCAGGCGCTCTCGTTCCCGCCGTTCGTCGCACTCGCGCTCCAAGTCGCGCAGCCGCTCCAAGTCCCGTGGCGGACGATCCAAGTCCAAGTCGCCAGTCAAGTCTCGTTCTCGTTCCCGCTCGCGTTCAAAGTAAGTGAAGGTTTTAATATTTTAATAGGGATCGTACTTAAAAAATATTAATATAAAAAAAATAGTTTTGTTTTATTTGCTAATAGAGATTCTTAATATGAAAAATGCTTAAATAGAAATCTAAAAAATTAAATGCGATCCCTTAGGTTTGATAGTTTCTTATGCTTACCCACCTAATTGATTTCTCCTCTTGTGCTGCAGCAAATCACGCGACGTATCCAAGTCCAAATCGAAGTCCCACTCCCGCACACGCTCCCGTTCACCCAAACGTGAGCGTGACTCCCGTTCCCGCTCACGCTCTGTTTCCAAGCGCGAGTCTCGTTCCCGCTCACGTTCCAAGTCCAATCGCCGCGACTCTCGTTCACGGTAAGTTAAGCTACTAGACCCGCTGTTCACGGCTCTATATAGACAGTTCACGATTCTTTCTTTCGTGCTTTCTTTGGTTTTGTTTGGATGCACCTGTTGTTTGTAGCCCTCCAACTGTGGTCGTTCAAAAGCTTGTACTGTAGTTTATTATAATATATTTCTATTACAGCGATCGATCTGCATCGGCTGACAACAAGTCGCGTTCACGTTCTCGATCCCGTTCGGCCTCGCCCAAAAATGGAAACGCATCACCGGACCGCAATAACGAGAGCATGGACGATTAGATTAGTTATTAGCTGTCCCCCCATTAATTATAAAACACTTGATTTTAGACTTCTACTATAAACTATTCTACGAACATCAAACAACACTCAGACACCCTACTTATTTACACTGCGTCACACTCTTAAACCAAATCTAATGAAAAAAATGAAATCATATAAAAATCCACAACTATTAGGCCTCGTCATTTTTTAGTACGTAAAAAGAAAATATTGTTCTAAGTCTTATGGAGAATCCCACTCTGGCGGCGCTCTGGTGTGTGGGCTATAAGCTGGAAAATGACAGGGATCCTGTTGGCCGAGCAATAAATATGCTATATAGTTGGATTCAATAAGTACATATAGGCCATGAAATTACTGCGACATGTACACCGGAAAACTCTTCAAATTGTCTATAGGATTGAGTAATTTCAATAAATACGGATAAAATTAAATTAAAAACTGTGTTTGATTGAGCCTTATAAAATATAGGATTAAACCAAATAATATATATCAGATTTAATCATATAAATTTAGTTTTATTGGTTTTTTTTTTTTTTTGTTGTAATTTTGGAATATAAGTATATTACAAAGTCTTATTTTCACTATTTCGCATTATTTGCCAGAATTAAAAATACAATTTTATTTATGTTGAATTTAAAGAGAATTCCATTGGTAATTTTAACTAACCCCATTGGCGGAAATATATTATAGTTAAATATTTAAAATTTGGAAATTAATTAGCATTTTAAAAATCGTCAATTTAAATCAAATACGTAACTAAGTTTTATAAACTGACAAAGTTTTGGTATTAACAATATATTTGTTTTTCTTTTTAAAGTAATTAATTTTATTAAGTATACTATTATATACAAAGCACATAAGGATAAAAAGAGAGATTTCCTTGAAGCGTTTGACGTCTCGAGTGAGCAATGGGCCTTGAAAAATGCATCGACTAACTAGAAACATATTATTGATAATCCTATTTTTTTAAATGCAAATGCAAATCTAAAACAATATGCACGGGGGAATGCTTAAATTAAGTGTGTGTGTAGGGGAATTCGGTTCGAGATTATCTACAACTATAACTAAATGCATTCTTTGCATAAATGCGATAGGGGTAGGTCATTTTGGGTCTGAGACGGTATGTCTATATGTCTAGCTCACGTACGGTGGAAAACATTTGAATGTCATTAGCATAATAACTAATGTTAGCAGCACGTACTAAGTGAGTTACATATTAGTATATATTTTTTTGGCACATCGCGGAGTCACTTGAGCACTGGATTGGCCAGAAATGGTTTTTGGGCTTCTAGCTAAGTATTTCCTGACACTTGGTTTTAGATTTAGATCGAAAGATGTCGCCTTTTAGTTGCAGCTACTAACTACATGCGCATCGTAATCGTAAACTAATATCAAGTTTATTCTTTAATCGTTACGTAATCATAATAAGTCTGAATAAAATGGATTCACTTGAACGTTAGCTAACATTAATCGGCTATAGAGTATTTACAGCATTAATTTGACACTTTCATTGCGTTATTTTGGCTCCTGGAATGTATTCTACGTTTATAAGAACTGATTAAATTTAAATTAAGTTAATAACTAGTTAAGAATTATTAAGAAAAAGGAAGCAAAAAACATTTCGGAACTGCTTGAACTATCCTTTAATTTACTTATGAATATTAGAGGCAGTTAGTCGCGTTATCTGCTCTAGAAGTATGTAAGGCTTTGATGGTTTAAAATTTGATAATACTCTTTAAAGTTCCTAAACCGACGCTTTAGAATTCTAAGACCCTTTCTATGATATAATATGGATCTAAAATGTTTAATCAAATAAGTTCTTAATTACACTTAGCTGCTCTATAAACGTAGTAATACTCAGGTTGATTTTGGCTCGAGGTTATCGGATTCGGTCTATTTACTTCTACGGATGACTGGATGTTAATTGGTGTTAAAATAGAAAGACTACAAGTGAGTGTTGCCGTTCCATAATCTTCTAGTATCGCTTGTAGGTTCTATCGCTCGGAAATGGCAGTGGTTTACATTCAATTGTATAGTGCCCTAGTTGTAAGTGTTTTCCTTTTGTATATATATATAGGTTTTAGTCTCTAGCATATGCCGACTACATGTTGTATAGATTTATGCACTAGTTCACATTGTAAATGCATACACACACACATATCGCGCGGGGGATCCTACATAAATTGCATAGCACACTATCCAAACGCCCAAAAGTCGTTAATCGTCAATCATTAATTATCAATGGCGTGTCCTACATTCAGTTTGCGAGTCTATATAAGTATTTAAGTACTATTAGAGCCTTGTTATCACTTTCGATTTTGTAAGTCGTTTTTGGCGAGGGCAGGTCCACAGGACAGGGCTGAGGGGGCCGCCACTTCGTTGTTCCAGCAACCCGCTAATCCTCCCAATATATATACTATATATATTTATATAGCGCCTTCCTAACTCCTAGATGCGAATGGATAAAAGTGATACATTGCGCTTGAGCAATGTGTGTGGCCGCAGTTCCATGCTTGCCGTATCCCCCATGTCCACCATGTCCACGCCCATATAGCTGCTGTCCATGGTCCCACGATCGGCCAATGTGTGCAGGCTCTGGGTGTCGTAGTCGTAGTTCAAAACCTGCATGGGCACCACTTCCGGCAGTAGGTGTCGGATGTGTGTGGGCGATCGCCTCAATTTGTATTGATTTCTGTGGGTGTAAGATGTTAAGTTATCAGTTAAGAAGTCTATCTAATGAAGGTTGGTTACTGTAGACATGCATGATATAGCCTGATTTTACCAAGATATATACTATATAAATGTGTAAAATCAGACTTTGAAGCTAATTGGATGAAATGGAAAGCTTACTCTGCATCGTTGTTCTTTCCCAAGTTGTTACTTCTGCAGATGTGCAAAACATAAAGTGTCATAAAAACAAAAATGAGTAAACACATAACACAATATTTAGTCAAAGAGGCAAGGGAGTAAGGCACTTCGTACTAAAGTTTATTAGTTTAGTGTTGAATCAGTGACCCAAGATCGAAGAACAGTCCTTAGTTAAAGAATAACATTCAAAATCAATATAATTGCTATATATATTGGAAATATCGTTCCTAGAATGACACTTGAAAAAAGATAATCCCATAAAATTTAAGAATACCTCTTCCAGGGAATGTAACTATGACATTTAAAGTCCTTTACCCTTAAAATCTAATTAGTATCTTTTCTTTGCATAACTAATTCCAAAGCTGCCAAAGTCAAACACACACTTTCAGTTTCCCATATTGTGCCAATTAGCTGGACTAAAAAAAAGGAAATATTAAAGGTCCATCCCAGCAAAGAGCTTTCGAAAGCCCTCAGACACTTGTGAGACCAACGTCCTATCTCACTATGCACATTAGCCACTCTCTGTGGATAATAAGAGCAGGAAAATCCTGGCAAATACTTAGTGAACTAGCCTATCCCTCCTGAGCCTCTTTTTCTTTTCCTTAAACGTGCGATTACGTACTTTTTATGTCGGTTGCCATTGAGACACATGCAATGGCACGAGCACATGGACGAGGTGTTGCTTCCGTTCAGAGATTGGCCATCGTGTCCCTCGTAGCCGCTCAGAATGGATCCATTGGATGTTATCACATCACCCTCCAGCTTCACAGCCACTTGCAGCGCCTGCAAGGGGTTATCAAAGGCGTTAGATATATCTCATGTTTTTAGTGATTCATGGGTTGGGTGTTTTGAATGCCGAGTGGGTGGGAGTATAGCGTTGAAGACTGAGGAACGGTATTCGTGTGGTTGTGGTGATTGGTTAATCAGTGGTTTTTTGTTAAGTGTCGTAGAGAAAGCCAGATGGTTAAGTATTCGGTTGTTTTAGTTTTTTTTTTTTTGTTAGGGGTGGTGATAGTAGGTGTTGGTCAAAAGTATTGGAATCTGAAAAACCGCAATCACCTCGTTGGTCCATAAACTGGACTTGGACATAAACTAAGCTCGCGTTTTGCATTTGATTTCGTTTCGTTAAGTCAAGGGCAACCGAAAATATATGCGAAAAAAGAAAATATTTATTCGATTTATATTTATTTTGGGTAGCTCTCGCATTTTGGGCCTGCATTGAATAGATTGTTATAAATTAATTTGTTTCAAAACATTGGTATTATATGTAAATATCGAAAAATGGAACCGGAAGGTGCAAGATCAAGAGTTAGCCAAGTGTGCAGCAAAGTGGCAAGCAGATATACGTATATAAAAACTATATTTAACAAATTTTGGTCAAAAAGGTACGAGTACAAGGTAAGTATGAGACAGATGGAAGTTATACGAAAAAAGTTTACAAAAATTTGTTAGCATTATGGAATCTAGGGTACAGTGAAGCGTTTGATATTAAGGATAAAACTTTAGAGAGATAAGCGTTTGAGACTACCAAAACGGGGGGGAAATAAGCCTCAAGTTTTGGAATGTACGATAGTAATAAAAATCCAAAGAAAACAGTCCTCAAGTCTACGGTAATTAAATGGCATGAGTTGCTCTCGAAATCACTTCCGAAATGGAAGGACTCCGGATCTCACCTGCATGGCCTGGGCCTCGTCGCGTCGCTCATCTTCGGTATTCATTGTAACAAACCTAAGTACTAACAAGTTCAGCGAGGCGGCCACGATGGCCAGGCCAAATAGTATAAATATCAGTGCGAACATCACGTATTCGGGCTTCCTGTTCAGTGCATTGTCCCGCTGCAGGGCTACCATGTCGCCAAAGCCTATAGAATATCAATAAAAATATAGTATGTAGATCGGAAAACTTATTACGTTTACGCTTACCTATTGTGGTTAAAGTAATAAAACAGTAATATACTGAATCGAAGTAGCTCCAGCCCTCAAATTTTGAAAAGGCCGCAGCACCGCCTGCTATCGTCAGCGAACTGAGTGTGGTCACAACACATATAAGGTCCACCTCCGAGGCGACGGTCCTTTTGCAGCGCAGCGAGGAGCGGACCGCTTTGATAACATAGCTGTAGATAGATATATTATGATTTTATAGTTACAAAAGGCCATGTTAGACCATTCAGGGTAGCAAACCCACCTGCTCAGTCTATTCACTCTTTCTCCGATGCTCTGGAACATAACGAGACCCAGGGGAATCCCCACAATGGCATAGCACATAGTGAAGAGCTTACCGCCCACCGTACTGGGCGTCGAGTGTCCGTAGCCTAAGAAGGTGGTCCATAGTCAGCACATATACCATATAGTATAGTACAGCGGTTAGATAACTTACCTATAGTAGTAAGCACCGTGGTTGCATAATAAAATGCACCGGTGAATTTCCACTGCTGGCCGGCCTTGTGCGATTCCGATTTGAGCACCACAGTCTCCATGACTTTGAAGTCCTCCTGTGAGATATTGTATTTGCGTATTATCATGTCCTCGGCATCTGCAATTAGTGGCAAGAAAGGCGAGAGTGTTAATGACTATGACGCAACAAAACACACACACGAATCTCTCATCGGCAGGTAATGGTCGTCATGTTCTTCAGTTTAAATGCCATTAAGCACTGGGAAAATTTGGGGGGAGTTTCTTAAGATATTCTTTTATGGAAAAACTGTACATACATATGTATAAACATTCTCGAACATTAATTGGACTTTCTATTCGTATTCTCACGAAATAGAATTCATTTGTAAACATATTTTTTCTAAGTGCATACTGTGGCTGCACTTCAGGTTGCGTTTGCCACTTACCTTGCAGCGCCTCCCAACGACGCTTTTCCGTTTCCGATTCGAGGGCGTCAAAGACGGCGGCACCGACTAGCAAGTAGGTAAATGTACACACGATCAAGGATATCGTGCGCACATTTTGTTTCTTCATTCTTCATTTAGGCGAGTATTGGGGCAATGTTGATCGTTGGTTCAGTGGCGTCGCCTCCGTTTGCGGTACAGTTTGCAGAGCTTTTCCTGACTGCTGCTGCTCACCTGGCTAACCGGGCTGCACCTACCGTTGTCCATATGAATCCTGCACGTCCTTACCGGGATGGCGACTCGCTCTCAAAGGACAAACTTCCCAAATTGGGTTAAGACCTGAACTCTCACTCTGCTCTGCCTTGCTCTAGTTTTGTAGTCTCTTCTCTGCTTCTTTTTTTTTTTGGCAAACTCACTTAGCACTTTGATTGCATTAAAAATAATATCACTCGGGAAGAAGGGGGGCGAGGGCGTGGTGTGGTGTGTGCTGGGTTTACGTCGTTTTAGTCGGTTAGCTTTTGGCGAGGAGGTGGTGGCGTTTATTTCTGTCACAGGCCGTGGGCCTTTGTCCTCGTCGCGTTCGTTGCGCCGTCCATGTCCTTGCGTTATTTATGCTGCTGCTACTGCTGCTGCCAGTGAACGTAGACGTGAGTGTTGTGCATATGCATGTGCGGGCCATGCTGCAATCCTTCATCGGGCGGCGGCGCTTCTCTCAAGGATTATTATGCCACTGCTGCTCCTGCGGGTGACGGGCGCCATTGCGCTGCTAGTTGTTTTTGTAGTTTCTGCCGCCGTGTCCTTCCTGCGTGGAATGGCTTGAATTAGGTTTTATGGTTGATCTAAAAATAACGCCTGCAACTAATCTGTCATCATCAATACGAGGCCCTCTTCCCCACTACACACTTTTTCTCTCACAGGAAGTTTTGCTAACAGTCGGGGGCAAATTAATAGCAATTAAAATAAAAATTAACTCAGGAAACTTGGTTTAATTAATAATTTAATATTGATTTTAAAGATTTGATTTTCCAGCTTCGAAATCTCATGAAAACATGTCAAGAAATATGCTTTAAAAAGGATAAGTTTCGTTGAAAACAATTTAAATGCATCTAATAGTATGCAACACATTTTGTAAACAACGATTTCAAACCTCCAAAGATTCCTCTGCAATTTCAACCTATTAAAATTCCCATTGATTGCAGTTTTTAGCTATGCTCTTGACCGCCGCTGTGTGTACACTTCATCTCACCTTACTCACACACACTCGCCCACCACACAAACATGCAAATGAATTTTTCATTTGCATGTGTCCTTCGCCCAATGAGCGTAAGGATTTGTGGACACACTGGCGAAACTGGAATTTTGGTAACGTGTGAAGCTGCCAAATCTCAGCTGTAATTGTTGAATAATTCAGTTAACACGCGGGATAATGAGACGACAAAAAACTGAAAATGAAAGCTCATCTGTAGAGTGCTTATGTGCGTGTGTGTGTGCAAGTCTGTTTGGCCATCTAACGGCAATATATTGATGAACAATGAGGCAGCATTGCAGTGTCTCTGAATTATTTAAGTGTGTGTGTGTATGAGTATATAGATAGAAGTATGTGTTTGTGTGAGAGGTTCAAAGCGCGTTGAAGTGTACGGACACACAAACGCAGAGCAGACACACAGGCTTTTTTTAATTCATCGAGTATAGTAGCCGAAATGTTGGTCCTTCGGTGCGGATTGTGGGGGTTGGTTTTCCATCTCTTTCTCCGTTTCCCCTCATACACCAGCACTTACGCACACACGCGAAAAGGATGCCCGCCCTTAGTTAACTTTTTTGTTAGTTTCCTTGCTTCTTGTTTGTTGTGCTATTTCGCGCAGCTTTCTATGCCCCCTCCCCTCATTCTCTTGCAGATTCCTCCACAATTCCCATGCACTGGCAATGACAGTGACACTATCAAGAGAATACCCTCTGCCCCCTTCCTGCTCCTTCTACTTCGCGAAAAAAAAAGAAACGGGACGAGAAAGGAGAGTCCTCACATTTGAATTGTTCCATTATATAAAGCCTGCACACATACACATCCTTTCCGCTGAATAGGAGAATCGTGAACGGTTCCCAATTTTCTCTCAGTTGACGCACAGAACAGAGATCCTTTTTGATTGCGTTAACTATAATTGCACACACACAACAAATTTGTTTTAGCGGCGCCACAAAATTTCTTTTTTCACTACCGTAATTTAGCTACGTTTGGGCCGCACTTTTGTCCTGTCGCCACTCGGATTCGCATCCGTAATGCTCTCGAATTGACGGCTGCGGAAGCTTTGCTCCGGCGCACAAAACAGTCGGCTGCTGCTGCTGTTTCACAGGGTTGTTGGGGATATTATATTCTTGCTGGGAATCTTTATAAATGTTCTTTAGGAATAAACAGTAACACGTTTGTTCTTTCAATAATTTTAATTACTTTTCTTTTTAAATGGCAATCGGATGCTGCGGCGCGGGTGAAAAAATTTTAAAACTTTTTGGGTGCGTGTTGCTTAAATAGATTTTCGGGCGAAAGCTCGTTCTGCTAAGTCTGTGGAAAATCTCTCTCACTGTTAAGTCTCTCTTGGTGTTAGAATTTCCTTTTCTGTTAGGATAATCCTGCAGGCTGTTTGGGTTTGAGTCCGGACTTAAGACATGTCAAGAATATAAATTGACATATGCTTATTACATCCTTTAAATTTAAATTCAAAAGATTGAAAAATAAAAGATTTTATTATTAAAAATGTTAGTATGTTTAGAAAATAAAATTGTCGTTCAATATTTGTCTAAAATTAAACTAAAAATAATAAAATAAAGTAAAAGAAATACTAAACAAGCACAGTTTTGAAACCATTGTGTTGAGACTAAGCTGGTGGGAAATTCTACTTAGTGGTTCAAAAACTGGATCCTAAATATCCTTATATTTACAAAACTGTTATTTTTTGTTTTCCTCTTTTCTTAACAGATCTAACAGCTCCACAGCTGAATGTTAGATTTAAACGTTACTGCAAAACATTTCCATTTATTTTTTTATGAAATAATTCGACTACATATTAGGAAAAACTGGACTTTACAAAATAAATATTTATTTTTTTGTAATTCATGTAGCTTTTTTTTAACAATAAATTAACAAATAAATTATATAAACATTTCTTGATTAATATCAAAAAAAGCAACTAAAAGGCTTTTTTATAAAATTACAACTTTAGTACCATTCTAAACTGTATTTAAAAAAACATTTCTTGGTTTTAGTTTTAAAGATTTTATCTTCCAAATATTAGTTTCTTTTTGTTACATATTAGTTAGTATGTAGTATTTAAATAACTAAACTAATAAAAAAAAGAATGAAAATTCCCCAGCAATTACTCATCTCCCCTGAATAAGCTACCATGCTCCATACTTAGTTGCTCCTTGGCACAGTGACCCACCTGTCAGTCAGAAAGATGGCTCTTGTTAAATTGGTCTGAAAACCCTTCCGAAATCAGGTTACAAATCCAAAAATCAATTTCTACAATTTAGAGCAAACTTGTTCCGTGGCTGGCCATGATCTGATAATAAAAATGCAGAGCAAATGTACACTGGTAATTCCGTATAAAAAAAAAAACTTAAAAGTTAGCATTATCAGTGCTCCATGGCCTCGGGAGGCAGGACGATGTTGCAGCCGAGGAGTCCGCGTCCACTCCAGGTCTTTGGTACCAAGATGAGGTCCAACTGCTGCTCGCCGCGCTTCACTTTCAGCTGGACATTCTGGTTCTGCATGTTGCGCACCACCTCGCCAATCTGACCAAGATCTCCCTTAAAATTGTTGCTATTGATGGAGCCAAAACGGAGGATGGCATCGCCCACACAAAGACCCTAAAATAATTGACAAAATAAAGTTAATGTATGTTAAAATAGCTTGATGCAACGCCACTCACAGCTTTCTCTGCGGGTGAATCGGGACTGACTAGATTGACCACCACAATTGTGCGAGTAGGTGCAAGATCAGATATATTAGCTCCTCCTGGAGTACGATCACTGTCCAAATCCAGAGCAGAGGCACGGTTAACCAGCTCTGGATCTGTGGTGGCTATCTCGCTGTGATATTGGTTAAGCATGGTCTGGATCTGGTTCATTAGTTCCTTGTGATCGTTCTGCAAGCATATGATTGTCTGTCGTGCCTGACGCACTTGGTAGATGTCGATGTCATTACGTGGAAAACCCTCGGAGTCCACCAAAGGTCCGGTCATGCCTACATTGTCGTTCTAAAATAGAGGAATATATGGTTAATATATTTAAAGGGGATTTACAAATATTCAAACTTAATTACCATCTTGGATCCCTGAAGTTATAGAATCTTAAATGGTGATATGATATTATGGGTAATATCTAGTATTGAAGTACATATGATATGTACATAGCCACTTTCAGAACTTTTTCAAGTAGTTTATGATTTTAAGCTTAATCGCCAAAATCAAAATTTAAGAATATTTAGACTTTAACGCGTATATAGACTTCCTATATAATGTGTTACAATATCATTCCCTTTGATCCTATACGAGAAAAACTTTTCAAGGGTATTTACAAGTCGTGACCCCTAAGCTGTTTGTCAAAGGGATGTTCTCTATCTTATTCCTCTTGATCTAAATACGACCGGTAATCTTACATAGATAGTTTCAATATGTAAGACACACAAAAAATCACTTTCAATCAGCTCTTTCAAAAGCATATATACCCCAACTTAAAGTTATGGGTTTCAAGAATGAGCGTGCGACTTTACTTACGGCGGCTAGGATCTGTCCATTTTTGCTGATCTGCGCCTCCAGCTGATTTTTTGCGTTTATTAGCCGTTCCAGGCGCTCCTTGGTAGTGATCCCCGCGGCCATGATTTCCAATTCTATTCGAAATATTTGAGAGTTTTGTTTAAAAATAAAAATTTGTTATTTTTTGTTACTGTTCTAGCCAGCAGCAGCAAAAACAAAAACAATTGATTGAGCTACGTAGCCCTGGTTGCTCGTGACAGTGTGACCGTATTGCGTTAAACTAAATTTGACCAACAAAAAATTGTTAAACAATTTTCGGAAGGGGAAAAGAACAAATTAAACACAGGAATTAACAAATTTATATGAAAAATAGACCCTAGAAGTGTTAGAAACGGCCAGGGGGATATCCAGGGAACTTCGCGTAAACGACGAACGACGAGAGACCTCGAGAAAAAACGCCGAGCAAACAATTCAAGTGTGTTTGTGCGAATTGATTACAAAAATAAAGGTATTTCGAGAGGTGAGCGATAAAAACGCGTGTGTGCCTGGAGAGGATTAGATATCCCCAATTAGTAACCACACAATTCGGAAGACCCAGGCTGATACCTCAACTCCAATCCGCCGGAGTGGGGCCGCCACCTACGATATGTGATCAGTGCGGCTCTCCGGAGGTTTATGCAATGTTCTAGCTCTCGGCGAGACGGAGGAGTAGTAGCCGGAGAAGCCTGTCCAGATGACCGGAACCACTATGGAGGCACAGGTCAAGGCAGCACATCATCATCATCTACACCATCCAACGGGCGGAGGAGCCCAGCACAAGGAGGAAGAGGATCCAGATCCCGTCGAGGACGAAATGACTGTACTGCTGGCTAACAAAAACTATCACTATGACGCAGCCTCTGAGCTGGACGACGAGGCCTTTGTGGAGCTCAAAGAGGACACCACCCAAGACGAAGCAGCCGGTGCAGTTGGCTTCTACAATCCGGATGACCTGTTGCCTGAGGAGCAACCACATTCGCAGGTCACCTGGTTGGATGACGACGAGATCGAAACACTGGATCGAGTAACCCTCGACATGGGCAACATGTTCTTTAATCGTGTCGACAGTCAGGACATCATATATCAACAGAAAAAAAAGAACATCAAGATGGTGGGAAAGTACATCATGGGCGATGTCCTGGGCGAGGGATCCTACGGCAAGGTGAAGGAGGCTATGAACTCGGAGAACCTCTGCCGGCTGGCCGTCAAGATCCTGACGAAGCGGAAGTTGCGTAGGATTCCCAATGGCGAGCAGAACGTAACGCGGGAAATCGCCCTGCTGAAGCAGCTGAAGCACACGAATGTCGTGCAGCTGGTGGATGTTTTGTACAACGAGGAGAAGCAGAAGATGTACCTGGTCATGGAGTACTGTGTCGGTGGACTGCAGGAAATGGTTGACTATCAGCCGGACAAGCGGATGCCACTGTTCCAGGCTCATGGTTACTTCCGGCAACTAGTCGACGGTTTGGAGTACCTGCACAGCTGCCGAGTGATTCACAAGGACATTAAGCCAGGCAACTTGCTGCTGTCCCTCGATCAGACGCTTAAGATATCCGACTTTGGAGTGGCCGAGCAACTGGATCTGTTCTCGCCGGACGACACGTGTACGACGGGCCAGGGATCTCCAGCTTTTCAACCACCTGAGATCGCTAACGGACACGAGACCTTTGCTGGCTTCAAGGTGGACATCTGGAGCAGTGGAGTGACACTGTAAGGTTTTAATATCTCATATATAATATTTTTTGTAAATATTCCAAATCCAACTACAGCTACAATTTGGCTACTGGACAGTATCCCTTCGAGGGGGACAATATTTACCGACTGCTAGAGAACATCGGGCGTGGTCAGTGGGAGGCGCCCGAATGGCTCTACGAGATGGACGCAGAATTCGCCAAGCTGATTCTGGGCATGCTGCAGGCTGATCCCAGTAAACGCCTTTCTCTGCAGGAAATACGCCACGACACGTGAGTGGGAGTTCCCCCATAACAGAATGATTACCTAATTTGGAACTCCATCTTATAGTTGGTTCAGATCAGCACCGATTGTGACTGGCCCACCGATACCCATTCCCCCGCTGAAGGGCGACAAATACCGGAACTCAACGGTGATACCTTACCTGGAAGCTTACCACTATGGCGATCAAGACCAGGAGGATGTGTACTTTACCGAGCACGACGTGAATCGTAAAGTCCACTTAGGATTCTTCTCCTTCAAACCATTTAATTATTTTTCTTGCAGAAGAGCTCGCCCGCCAAGCGGCTGCTGCAGCGTCCGAAATCCGGGCCAAGCAGTCAGCAGCGGCACATGCCGCTTGCCACGCCTACGAGCCGCCTTCCACAAGTGCTGCCGCCGCAGCCGCCTCCGGAAATTCCGTGGGCAACGGCAGCAGAGAAGAAGCGCCGGTGAAGAAGAAGGGATCAGCGCTTAAAGCGTCGCGCTAAGAAGCTAACGTCTTGCATCTCCGTGCGCAAACTGAGCCACTGCCGGACTTCATAGGCACATTTGTTGCCGCCACTAAAACATAGATGCTAAGTGTAATCGAAGGAATAACTTTGTTAACAAATTGTGAGGAACTTTTTGGTTTTGTTTTCCCCGTTTTTGTTGTCCTACATTCGCCAAGTATTTGTAACCATAGAACCATGTAGGAATGCCAGAAGCTCCCTGGACGCCCACGCAGTAGCAGCATCAGCAAAGACTTAAAGTAAGCTGATGTGGGCGGTTTTTTTCTTGGGGCGTGGAAGCGATCGGTAGACACGAAAGCTATATATATCCATGTGACAATACTGTGTATTATATGAAACAAATGAAAGCGTAAATTAGTCGTTAATATATATATGATGTACTGAAGGCAGCCGAGGATTGCTGAAGGAGACGGTGCCCATCGGTTCGCACACATAAAGAAACATGTTCAAATGAAATTGTTGTTGGCTTCGTTATATTCTAAACTCTACAATCAAATTATGCGATTTTCAGGCGCCGTCGGTACAATAACTGCTGGACAGTATTTGCAAAGGCCTAGGTTGAGATTTTAATTTTTACAAACCAATGAAACGAAAATAAAAGAAACCCATTGAAGATCAAAATACAAACACTGCATTTAGTTCGCACATTCCACACACTTAACATTTCAGACTCTCCATTCCATCCACACGCTCATGCTCACACAACATTAGGCTAGCTAACTACGGATGCTTAATCTAGTTCTACGATCTGCAATCGGGCCGTTGGATCTGGCTCGGAGCTCTCCTCCATCAGTTCGCCCATGATGAACATTTGATGGTAGTGCGGCCCCAATGTAGACAGCTTACGCTGCATCAAATGGCGCAACGTGTCCACATACTGTGGTGCCACCTTAGCCATCGGTGTATTCGTGTTGCGCCAGTGCAGCCCGTTGTTGTCCACGTGGAATAGCGCCGGGGAGGGCACGTGATCTTTAAGGTAGTTCCATATGCACTCTCGCAGCAGAAGTGCGATCTATTAATGGGAAATACTCTAGTTAGTAAGGTAGAAAAAATATAGATTAAACTAGCTACTTTTACCTCTGCTGACTCGAAGTGCTCGATAATAAGATGTAGATTGGTAAGTGGTGGCGGAATCAGTTGGCTCATAGCCAGCAGTTGCAGCATTTTCTTGGTGCAGAGCATCAGCTCGTCATTGGCAGCCGTGGGCTGGAATCTATTGACTGGAAAATGCAATAAGTTTGTTACAATTTGGAATTTGGAAAATAAGAGTGTATCTTACCATTCTTTCCCCGCCAGTGATGCAAACAGGTGGCGCAGAGCGCCCGCAGTAACACGGAGGAATAACAAAGGGCCGGTCTATGACCGGCGATCAGTCCCAAAACTGCCCAGAGCACTGGGGAGGTAATAAACGCCCTTCTAATCTGCATGTCCCTCTCCATTGTCACCCTGGTGAACTCTTCATCAGGAAAGGGCAGGCCGTTGTACATGACATCCGTGGATACCAGTTCAACCAGCAGCAGAGATACCAACGAATAGCCTTCCACATTATTTGGCTTCTCTAGATCAGCGCAGCAGGCATTCAATGCCTTAAGATACAGTGCCTGCTTTTCCGCATCGCAGTTTCTATCGTTGGTGGGCAGTACAGGTCGCAGACCCCGACCAATAATCCCGGAATGCAGCACAGATCGATTTGAGTTGACACCAGAATTGGTGTGAAGGTTCTGCAGGATGAGTAGTTCGTGCTCAGGAATTTTCAGCTCATCAAGTTCATATTCTTCTAGCTGGCCGAGTAGATGTCCATGATAAAAGAGGGCACCTTCCACTAGCTCCCGCAGACACACGGTTCTCGCAATTTTACGAGCGGAACACTGTCTCTGCAACAGGGCGTATGACCGATGCGATGCTGCCGCTCGACGAATCATAGCTGCAAGAAATTATATATTTGATTAAATATGAAAAAAAGCTAATTTAAAATCTATTTAAACTTACTCTGCTCGGTTAAACCCACAAAAAAATACTTTACGCTAAGCGTGGCCAACTTCAAAACCAGTGGAGTTCGCAAGATATTGGTGCGACTGCCAGCTTCTATATTGTTCAGCAGATCCACAATTAGGTGAGCTAAACGCATACGGGTGACGTCCTCTTCATCCACCTTGTCTTCTTCCGTCTCCAACTTTGTCCGTTTTCCGTAATCCTTGCCATTGCACATGTCGTTATTGTTGTTATTATTACACTGCTGCATCCTAAATTTCTCCGCACTCCGCTCTGCTGCATCCCTGTCCATCTTGAGTACCAACTTGTTGACGGTGCAATCAAAGATTTGAATGATTTTGGGCAGGCATTCGTTGAGTGCTTGGTTTAATTGTTGCGCTTTGATATAGGGAGAAACATTTTTGCTCTTGTGCATCCTGAAAGAGATAATTAAATAAAATTATTACTAGTGAAAGTTTAAAAGACATCATCATCATACCTGGCCAGTATATTGAGGTTGGAAAAAGTGTTGAAGGCTTCTGTGGGCGTGCCCGGTGGCACTGGCAACCGATTGTTAACCTGAACATTCAGCGTTATGTCTTCCAAAACCATTTTGAAACCTGGTGTGAATCCGGGAAAGTTTACCATTCCATTTTGGCCGCCCAGCAGACGGATGAGGGCGCCAATGCCATTGGGATTCTGAGCATACGACTTTTTCAAAAGCTCGGATATGGTCTGGTAGTAAATGTGTGGGTGCTGAGAAGCTAAAAATATTATTTCATTGTGAGTTTGATCTTCCTGAATCAACCATTAAAACTAATCTAGTGGCAATTTTTAATTAGATTTAACACTTACAGACAACTAATAACAATCGCACTGCCGTTTGCTGCTCGAACAGATTGGTGCTGAGACAGCTTTTCCACAGCGTATACTTTGTTTCCTGAAAGGCTAAATCTGCTAGCAGCGGGAAGTTCCTTTGGTTAAGCACCCACTGTTCCAGCTCCTGCATAGAATTATCCAAGAAGTCCTGGCACCAAACATACTTCTCGGCCATCTTGGCAGCCGTAAGTAGCAATGTGGCACCGTGTTCATTTAACCGCAGAACGGCGTTGTTTAGCGTGGGCTGCATCCCAGCAAACATCTTGTTGCTCAACCAAAGCGGCGACTTCTGCACAATTACCTCGCACATGTCCTCGGAATCTGCAGGATTGGATAGGATATTTCTGATAGATCGTATAAAATAGGAAAATATTATATTAACACTCACAGATTTCCACCAGCACATTGACCAGGCTCTGCAGGATCGTATCCGAGTAGTTGGTGGTGATGAGCAGAAAAGGAACCACAGCCACGTCCAGCTGATTTTTTGGAGCAAACCCCTCCCTGAGCATCTCACGGAAGGCGGCTCTCAGATGTTGTTCATGGCACGAGGTCATATAGTCGAGGATTCCCGCCTCTGAGTCAAGATGACAGCGATAGTCATCGACGAACCGCTTAATGCCGCACTGCAGGATCTGCATGATGATCTTGTATGGAAAGCAGCCGCCCAACCTAGCGACAATCCAGTCGAAGGTCATGGGGAATCGGTGGAAGGCGTTCAGCATGATCTCCACACAGGCTTCCTCTTCCGGTTGGGTTAACTTCCGGAAGCAACTATTTATGAGAGTCATCAGGCCGTGCATAGCACTGCATTCCAGCCAATAGTTACAACTAGCCGTAATGGTCATCCGTCGCTGGGTATACTTATCAGATAGCTTGGCCACCAGCTCCAAACTCCAGTTGGCGATGAGAGGCGACCACGCAGGTGGGCCTTTCCACACTAGACTTTGTAACGCCGTCTTGACCAAATTAAAGCTCTCGTATTCCGGGGCACGCAGCTGCTGCTGCCGATTCCCGGCCTGCTTCACCTGAGACACCGGCATTCCGGTCTTAGCGTCCGCCATCTCCGGCGACACATACAGCTGTACACTAATCTCGGCCAGCAGGCCAAAATACTCAAACACTATGTCCCGCGTGGCGGGCAGCTCCTCCAGGAAACCCAGCCTGCAAAGATTAAGAGATTTGTTTACTACGGCTTTTTCGGATATTTACTTAACCCTTTCGGCTGCTACTCACGCGAGCTTGATGAGATTGGGGTTGGTCAGCAGCTGGGGACAACTTTGGCCATTGCTCACCGTCTCTATGAAGTGCTTAAGCTGATCCAACAGGTTCTGGCGCAGCATTTTGTCGTTTTAGGCATCGGGAAGGTAGAGTCGAAGTTGGCCAAGTGAGCAGAAGCATCGGGTATTGTGGCTGCCGCGTTTTTCGTTCGAAATACCAAAATTGTCCGCAATAATAGGTTATATTTTTAATGCACCTACAGATGGTCACACTGAACGGGCTTGAAATTAAATTTATGCTAGATGCTTAATTTAAATTCGTTTCTTATAATCTAGTTTTCTCGGTGATGTAATTCGAATTAAAACTTGGTATTCATCAAAAAATCTATAAAATAGTGTCGTATCGCTTTATATCTGTGTCCAGCAATTATAAACTTTCCTCGGTAAATTCGGTCGAGACACACCGCGAAGTTCCTGTAGGTTACAAAAATAACTTTTGAAATTACGAAAAACTTAAATCTAATAAAATATCCAGACAGTACAGGAGAACCTTTGAAAGAATCCGAAGAAGATTTAAACCGAGAAGATTACCTCTTAAATAAAACTAGAACAAACGCTGTTAATTCGGTAATAATAATAATACTTATATTTAAAAGATTATTAATTTCTAAATCTTTTCCATTAAAAAAAAAACTTTGAATAGAGAGCGCGATGACTCTTGAAAGAGTTGTATTTATTTTTGGCATAAATAAAGAACATTATTTAGTACTTAATTATTATCCTGAATTAAATCATTAGTTTCATTGTCTTTATTTTTGTTCAGTCAGTTAAATGTACCGCAATAATGATGGCGTCCTAGAGCTGCAAGATAATGTTATCGATGTTACCTCATATATTCGTTGCACTAAACAATCGCTGCCGAGAATCGATATTTTGAGCGTGTTCCGGTACATATACAAATACATCTTGTTTCGGTCAGACCAACGCTCTAGCGTCGGTCCGCGGAAAATAGAAAAATCACAATTATCCGGGAAGTTAGATTAGTGGAAAATCAAAACGCGTATCCCCCAATAAATATGCGCAAGCGTAAATTGTACATAAACTGAATGCAGCCAGCGTGCGAAGCACTAAAAAGAAAAAATATAACGCCAGAAACAGAAACAAGGAATTGCAGCGTGAGTGTATAACTTTTTGGTTTTTGCCCCCGCGCTCTCTCTCTTTTACTTTGGTGCTATTGCTGCTGCTCTCTCTCCCGCTCTCTTTTGCCCTCTTGCGGCTTCTGTGTTGTCTGCGTACGAGTGTATGCGTCCTCGTGTGCGTGTGTTTGAGATGTGACAGTGTGTTCTCACGTACCCTGTGGATGTGGATTTACGGCCTTGTCAAGGAATCGGACTATATATCCCGGCTATAGCCCATATTAGATCCCGATCTTTGTATATTACCTCCCGTATTTCCCCTCTAACTTTTATCGCACTTTATGCAACAACGCAAACCGTCGTGTTGGGTTTTTTTCGCTCTCCGCTGTGTGTAGTGTGTTGAATTTCGCGCAGTGTGGTGAGTTTACCGTCGTCTGTTTTTCTTTTCCCTGCGTCTTGTGTGCGTTTCCATTAAATGCAAAATCGCTAACGAATATTGCGGAAATGTGGTATTCCTTTGTATATAATGCGTACATAAATAAAGTATCTTATCAAAACAAATCTATTTGCAACAATAATAACACTGCGGAGTGTGGGTGTGCGCGCGTAGTGTGTGTGTGTGTGGTGGTGGGGAGACGGCATTTTTCTTTACCACACGCCTCTTCTTCCCCACAATACGCTGCAATTTGTGCGATTCTGTTTTGCGCCTGCCATTCGCAATAATTTTATTGAATGAACCGCAAAAGAGACGGCCCAAAAAGCGATGTACTTGCCAGACGTTGAGTCTGTGTGTGTGTCTGTATCACGTTGTGTGTGTATCGCGTATGAAAATACATAAACTGTTGAGGAAAAAAATAAAAACAAAAACTTTTAAAATAAATAACAGAAATTGGCTGTCATTGCAATCCCACCGGAGTGTTTATAATTGTGAAATTTTTGACTTCTACCAGTCTCTTTTACCACCCCCTACCTTCATTTCTTCATTCCTGCCAACACCACCCCAAAAAATTGCATACATGCACACACGCCTTTAGTTGTGCGATTGTGTAAGTGTGAGCGCGCGCGTATTCAGCACACATTGTCATGCATGCAAAAACAAGATACGACGCGTTCGTAATCGTCAGACTCCTTCTCCCCCTTCATCACTCTCTCCTTGTGACCCTCCAATATTCATTGCTATAGGAAGAAAGCACGAAGACAACGAAAGGGAACAGGCGCGAGTCCAATTTGGACCGCTTTTTCCGTTTCCTATAGAGTCCTGCATCCTTCGCCTTTTTCTTTCCACCTTTTCGCTCGCTCCTTTTTTTCACGCCTTCGCGGACACTTGCAGCTTCAACGCGCGTATGTGTGTTTGTGTGCAGCAAACAGGAAGAGAGCAACGAGACTCAAAATGAACATTTACAGTTGCGATTTAAATAGTGCACAGCGGAGAAAAAGATTATTTTGGGTCTAATAGCTAAAATAATTAAGCTAAACAACATTCAAGGTGTTAGACTTCTAAATAATAAATAGAATTTCAATGGTCCAATGCACTGATATTGACCTTTTAAACACCATAATTTAGAAAATGTACCTTTCCTAAAAGTAGTAGGTTTATTCGTTTTAAAACGTTTTTACAAAACTGACCGAAAATTTGGCCCTTTATTTGTATAATTTTTTTCGTTGTAAATGACATAGTTTTTGTATCTTATATATTATAACACAAACTTGGAGCGATTACAAGATTTGATTTCTTTCTAAAAAAAAAACAAAGAGAGTTTGAGACTTCAAATATATAGACATGTAGGACGAAAACTAAATCAAAGCAGTAGTTATCTTGATCAACACTGTATCTCTTACTTACTACCCAATATAAACTAATTGTTGCCAGGGCGAAAAATATTGCCAAGTTGTCATATTTGCCGGACTTTATCGATGACTCGACTCCAGGGCAATTTTTCGCATACAGATTTTCTCTCGGCACTTTGGCAACCTTCTGCTTGGTTATTAATAAAAATTAATAATAACCGAAATCTCTGGCTCTGTGCGGCACTTGAATATGATGAGCATTCTCGTGTTTTTTTTTTCGCAGCTGATTGCGTAAACTGCTCGAGACGTTTGTTTTGAATTGCTGCTTTTGTTTTGGTACCGATTCCGTTGTTCTCGGGCCTATGAGTGTGAAATCTCTGGCTCTCTCGATTCTCCGGGTGTTATCAGTTGGCCTATGGCGCTTCATTGGAACTGGTATGGGATAGTATATGTCGGTGTAGTATAGTATTTCAGTTCGTATCTGGGATCTTAATCGCTGTGCAAATCTTGTGTTGAATTGGCGTAGCACGCATTTTAAGAACGCCTTGCAACCTTGTGTGGGGTGGTGGGTGTGGGGATTTGCGGGCTTTTCGCTGTCGATCTGAGGTGACGTAAATGTTTGCGGTTTATAGCCAACTTTTGAGGTGGCGCTCTTTAACAATGACGTAGCTTTTGCTTCTTCTGTTTACTCACACATTATTTTACACTTACCCATTGATTTTCGCCTTGCACGGAAAGAAATAATCGAAGTAATGTTATCCACCTCACGCTTTTCCAACATTATGAAAAATTTTAATTGTTTGAATTTATAGATAAATTTAAATTAAAACTAAACAAGTATAACTAAGAGGTTTATATTTCACATTCTATTTATCATAGTGAAAAAAAAAGTAAGAAATAAATTAGTGAATATATATAAATAAAACCTTTTTGTTTTTCACCGTGTACGAGAATGGATAGTTTAGTGTTAGTTCCCCGCGCTCTCTCCCCCTTAAATCACCCGCTCTTCCGCTCTCGCCGCTGTTTGTTTTCTTCGCGCGCGTGTTTGCACTCGCCGTGGGGCGAAAGCGCAGCGATAATAGTTGCCCAGATATAGTATATACTATATACTAACCCTCTCATACCGAAAACCCCATCGCACAGATACATACGCACACAGCCAAAGGCCTAGATCTAATGGAAAACGCTTAATGTTTGTAAACAGACCGGGCAAAGCACATTTCTTTCTACTTTATTTTTTATTTGGCATTTTGCATCTCAGTTGGAATGGAATTCTCTTGACTTCTCTTTGAACATCATTCTCCGCCATACAATTATACATATACTACGAACGTAGCTTTCACAATTTCATTCATTGCGAAATTTCCCATGATATTTTTCAAAAACTTTAAGATATGAGCCTTAAAATGTATTTATAGCACCTTACCTAAATTTTATAAGGACTTAAGGCGCGTTTAATGAAATTCAAATCCAAAGCACTCAGAAATTTAGAACAATTGTTCGCAGATATTTATTGAGTTAGAGACTTTACTGTCACATTAAATATAAGTGTTCTAGAAACTCGACTGGTGACAAATCACTTAAAAAATATTTTTCAATATTTTAATTTTATCTGCATTATTCTCTTGCAGTGCAGTCTCGGCGTGGGCCCATCCCAACCCCATTAGATCCCACCCGGCACTGGAGTGGTAGCCTATCATGGATATAGGAGTCAAGCATAAATATTAGCCGAATCCTTTGAATTATAAATTCAAGATCCTAATTTAAATTAGCCAAGTAGCTTAGCCTAGCCTATAGCCCCCTAGCCAGAGGAACGGTTTCAAGCCGTCAGCAATCGCGTTTATAGTCCAAATCGAAACTTAACTGAACCCCAAGGACATTAGCGAGAAAATCTTAGGAATCACTCCAAGGAGCAACATTATCATGACGACCGACACCCGCCGACGTGTCAAGTTGTACGCGCTGAATGCGGAACGCCAATGGGACGATCGTGGCACTGGCCATGTGTCCTCCACCTATGTGGACAGGTTAAAAGGTAAGTCTTTCTTTCCATTAAGTTTTGGAAAGTTGCCTAAGTATTTGCGTTCCTTATCTTACTTACAGGCATCTCGCTTTTGGTTCGCGCTGAATCCGATGGGTCCCTCCTTTTGGAGAGCAAGATACAACCAGACACCGCTTACCAGAAGCAACAGGACACCTTGATTGTGTGGTCCGAGGGTGACAACTTTGACCTGGCTCTGAGTTTCCAGGAAAAAGCGGGTTGTGACGAAATATGGGAGAAGATATGTCAGGTAAGTGTTTGAATCAGGTGCAGTCGCATTAGTGCGGGTCCATGTCACTTAGTTATTATTATTTTTATTAACTCGTGGTAGTGAATGAAGCAATTATTGTTTATTTTTACCATACTTGCATATATAAGGCCTTTTCTAAAAACTTCTCTTGCTTACTTAAAATTGTGCAGGTGCAAGGCAAAGATCCGTCTGTAGAGATCACCCAGGACATTGTCGAAGAGTCGGAGGATGAGCGGTTTGAGGATATGTCGGACACGGCGCCACCGATTGAGCTGCCACCCTGCGAACTTTCCCGACTAGAGGATATTTCGGAGACGATACAAAGTTGCCTCTCTACGCCTCTTCGCAAGGAGAAGCTATCGATGGCCTTGGAGTCGGAGAGCTATATTAAGAAGCTGCTGAACTTGTTTAACGTCTGCGAGGACCTGGATAACACCGAGGGTCTGCACCATCTGTTCGAGATATTTAAGAACATTTTTTTGCTGAATAAGAACGCACTCTTCGAGATCATGTTTGCGGATGACACCATCTTTGACGTGGTCGGGTGCCTGGAGTACGATCCTAGTGTGGCTCAGCCAAAGAAGCACCGCCAGTATCTCAAGCAGTTGGCCAGATTCCGTGAGGCGGTGCCGATCAAGAACCAGGACGTGTTAGCTAAGATCCACCAAACGTTCCGGGTGCAGTACATCCAGGACATCATCCTGCCCACACCTTCGGTCTTTGTCGAGGACAACATGTTAAACACTTTGTCGAGTTTCATCTTCTTTAACAAAGTGGAGATCGTGACAATGATCCAGGACGACGAGCGCTTTCTGCTCGATGTGTTTGCGGTGCTCACTGATCCCGCCACCTGCGATGCGAAACGCCGCGACACAGTCCTCTTCCTGAAGGAGTTTTGCAACTATGCCCAGAACCTGCAACCGCAGGGCAAGGACTCGTTTTACAAAACTCTCACCTGTCTGGGCATTCTGCAGGCTCTGGAACTAACACTCGTGATGAACGACAAGAAGACCAAATCGGCCTCCATCGATATACTCACGGCCATCGTTGAGTTCTCGCCGTTGGTGGTGCGCAACTACACGCTTAACCAGGCCAACAGGCCAGAAGGGGTAAGTTAATATGCGTATGAATTAAATGTTATTACATAGTAGTGATAGAAAACATTGAATAGTATAATACAAACAACGTATCAATTTTGGTGTTCTTATTCGTGTTTTTCTTTTCAATAGGAGCGTATGCTACTAAACATTGCCATCGAACAAATGCTGAACGATTCGGAGCCGGAGTTGGGCATTGCGGTGCAGTTGATGGGTATCGTCAAGATCCTGTTGGAACCCGAGAACATGCTCACCGAGAAAGGTGATTTTCTTAACTTCTTTTACAAGTACAGCGTCCAGACGTTAGTGGGTAAGTGCAAGCGCTCTATAAACATATTTTCAGTGACTAACTGCATTATGTTTTCAGCTCCATTGATGCTTAACACGATGGGCGACCGTCCGCAGAACGAGGACTATCAGACGGCTCAGCTACTGGGCATTGTCCTAGACATTTTGTCCTTCTGTGTGGAGCACCACAGTTACCACATCAAAAACTTTTTGCTACAAAAGGATCTCCTCAAGCGAATTCTGGTGCTGATGAAGAGCACACATACGTTCCTTGTCCTCGGCGCTCTGCGATTGCTGCGCAAGATAATTGCACTCAAAGATGAGTTCTATAATAGGTATGTGCCTCTTTTCTTTAAACTAAATCATGTGAATTACAGCTAATTGGTTAATCTTATCTACAGACACATTGTCAAGTGCAATCTATTTGCCCCAGTTGTGGATGCCTTCATTCGCAACAATGGCCGTTATAACCTGCTGGAATCAGCTATCCTAGAGCTGTTTGAGTTTATAAAACTCGAAGACATCCGCACTTTATGCGTTTACTTCGTGGAGAACTTTAGCAAGATATTTGATGAAATCGAATATGTGCAGACATTCAAGTACTTGAAGAATCGTTACGATCAGTACCAGGATCGGCTCAAGGATCGCGACAAGATGGAGAACCGAACGGACGGGTAAGCTTTTCTTAACCGCCTTGTGCTCAAACACAATGTGAAAATATTTGGGTGTATTATCTTAAAGTGGCCTGCCCATCATCCGTAGCGGTGGCCGTTTTCGTCGGGATCAGCGGCAAATGGAGGAAGAGGAGGAGATGTGGTTCAATGAGGAAGATGATTTCACCGAGGAAATCGACACGTACAACAATGTAATGAAATGTAAGTATTCCTGAAATAAAAAATATATCAAACGGATATCAAACCGTATCCGATCTTTATCCTTGTTCCAAAAGTAATTTCCTTAATAAAAAATAAATATTTTCCCTTTATGACTTGCAGCCGTCAGCGAAAAGAATGGCCCGCAAACGCAAAACCAGCAGAAATCCTCTCCGCCGCACAGCACGTCACCGCATAGTGGATTGTTGGGAAACCTCAGCTCCACCGCGTCAGCCACTGCCACATCCGCCTCGTCAGGCGCACCGGTGGCCAGCGGCAGCAGTAGCCCCGAGGCAATCTCTGCCGATGAGCAGACGCAGGCGGCGGTACATTTAGCCGCCGCTGCTAATATCGCACTTCAGCACCACCAGCAGCAACAACAGCAGCAGCAGAACCCATTCCAGCAACAGACACAGCCCGAAATCGCGGAGCTGCAACAGCAGCTGAGCAGCGTGGAGGCACCACAAAGCCAGGAGTTAGAGCTGTCGCAATCAGCCGCCGCCAGCGCATCGCCCCCATCGTCATCCTCATCTCTGGAGGCTTCCACGTCCTCATCGTCGGCGTCATCATCATCCTCGTCGTCTTCGTCCTCGCCGCCCGGCTCATCAGCGGCCGCATCTCTTTGCGATTCGGCGACAGTGGCCGCCGTGGCGGCTTCACAGTTTCTCTCAACGATCGCCACGGCCATGGCTGCGTCTGTAACAGCGGCGGCGGCCACTACCAGCTCGCCCAGCCTGTCACCAGCTCCGGCTGTTTCCAGTCCGGATATCGAAAACGCCGACGCTCAGTTGCCGCCTAGTGATGATGCTAACAGCCCGGTCAGTGGGGAACAGGACGCGAACAGTACGGAAACTGCCAGCAGTGATGCGGATAAGGCGACGGCCAAAAAGGTATGTCGGTGAATTTTTTTGTCAGAAGGGCCATAAAAATGAATTTTAGTTTACCTTCTGATTTAGTATTAAAAAGCAAATTTGTATAGGAATTGTTGTAATCCTACAAACCCTAGATATGTTATTTATGTGATTCCCCATACCATTCGCAGGGTCTGGTTGACTACGAGAGTGATTCTGGTGAAGATGACTACGAGGAGGATGAGGACTCCGAGGGGCCACAAGCACAAAAGCGCGCGCGTCTGGCATAGTTGGCAGATGAAGAGCACAGCAGCGGCATCAATTATAAATTAGTACACACATAACAGAACACAACAAACCACGGCAAACAACAAAGAACACACAGACCCCCACACACCAACGAATGTTAGGATTGCATTAGCGGCAACGACAGACAGCACAGCAGACAGCCGCAGAATGTAAGATCGAACAAGAAAACATACAATTAAATTTTAGCATAAAATTTATTTTAAAGGAGAAAAGAAACGAGAAACACCTAAAGTAAACGAGAAATTATAAATCTTACTTTACTAAATTAAATAACGACATATATATATATATATATATTCAAATATATATGCATATGAAAACACAGATAAATATAACTGATCAGAGCATCCACAGGAGAGAAGATGCATATTTGAGTGCGTGTTACTGAGTTGGAAGAGCATTAACGAAACAAACCAAAACTAAATGTATTTAGTAGTTAAATCCAACAAAAGAAAGAAATACAAATGAGAAAATAAAATGCCTGCCGTCAGGTGGTGTAGGACATTTGTATACAGCTACAGCATCCTGTCGCATTGTCCCTTGTATAACAGCGGTTTAAACAATTCCTGTTAAGTTGGCTGCTGGCCAAGAATGAAAGTGTCGGTATTTGAAAGACAATTTTTATTACTATTTTTATCTTTGAGAGAACGATTCCCTGCCAATCGCACTATTACACAGCGCCGTTTTCTATTGACAATTTTAGTAAACAATTCTTATCACGGAACCTGTTTATAAAAGTTTCTATTGTAAACGGTGCTGTAACATCGCAAACAACGTAAATATATGTTATTAATTTTAATTTAACGTTTTCAAATATTATATTAAGAATTATTGTTTTTTGTTTTTGTATTTTAGCAATTGTTTTCTGAATACCAACACATGCTCATGGCCAACTTTACATAATTTGTTAACCCATTGAGTTAGAAGCAGATAACACTTGAACCCAATGAACCTTGTATATAATTTAGTCAGTCTCAATACGCGATTAGTCGATAACTAACTGCCCTTGCACCACTGACGCCGACATTTAGACAGAACACATTTGAACTTGGGGAAAAAACAAAAGTTTTGCACTTATCGAACAGATCGAAATCCGAAATTTTCGTGTTGGTAAAATCTTGAGAAGCGTTGTCTGACTGTGTAATTAAAAAGTAATCGTTGCGCTACCCCTTGCATTATTAAATCAAACTCATACACACACACACATCAATGAATAACTAATTATAATGATAACAAATAGAACGTAAATTTAAACTAAAGTGGGGCAAAACAAACATCAGCAAAAAAAAAAAAAACAATGAATTAACGTAAAAATAGTCTTCTTGAGTTTTCGAGTAAGTTTTTTTTTCATAATTAACTTTATATTCATTTGTATTAAAAAGCTAATGTTGTAGGCTCACTCGGAACCACTCCTTTCCACTCACACTCGCTGACACTCAAACCAATCGAAATCCCCACACACACATACAACCACAATGACAAAATAATAAAGTTATTTGTTAATAATCGTATTTGCCATGTGCGTTGCGTACTGTACTACATTTATTTATTTATTAGTGTTTAAAAGAACTTGTCACTGCAAACGGTTTCCCTCGAGCAACCGATCGTCCCCCCTTCCCGAAGCCCACGATCTATTACACCTATTATACACCTATAATATATATAGACGGGGAGAACGTATCCATACATTTATCCTTCCAAGTTGATGTTTTTGTTTGTTTGATTGATTGATGATTGAGCAACATTAACAAGATGCATTCGAAAAGTGCATGGACATGAATGAAGATTACCAGAAACAGAAACGAAAATAAATGATAATGAAAACTAAACGTAAACGTAAAAGCGACAACACTATAGTTTATACATAGTATTTATATGAATCGTGTATTGTATATGATATGCTGTCTAATCCCTAATCCTAACACACACATACCCACTACATCTATAATTTGAATACTTTATTTAGTTGTTTAAACATCCGTGCGTAAAATGCGATATATATAACTCTATATTATTATTATGAGTAAATTAAATAATAGTTTTTAATAGTTTTTAAACAGAAACAAATGGCTAAGCTCTCAAAGTGTTCTTTTATTTAATATTATATCAAACACCTGATTGTCAGGTGTCGGGTGGTTAATTTTTCATTGTCATGGCAACTGATTCAAGGACCAAACAAATGTTTCCTGCAAATGTTGACTAAACTTTTAGGTTTAGTCACTTCTTTGAGTTATAGCGAAAATGTCGATGGAAGACTCCTGGGTATTTGATTCGCTGGTGTGCTTTCTGCACGGACCAATTTGGAATGCTCCGCTCCAGACTTTTATCGAGCAAAAGTCCTTAGGTGAGAATCGATTCTGATCTTGAAATCAGCAGTAAGTAACACAATTGACTTGGTGCAGTCTTCGATCCCAACCTGCAGTTGGATGAGAACAACCCAGACATTCTGCAGATCCATGAGGAATACAAAAATCTGGTAGATTACATGCTGGGCAGCTTTATGGAGGAGATGCAGATTTCTCCAGAGCAATTTGAAATGGCATGTCTTGAGGGTCGGCAGCAGGGTCAGGGCGAAAATCCCTTCCAGTTCCACCAGGTGCTGTTCCAACAGGTAAGTTTATTTGTAGTTTCTTAGGGAGTAAAGTCTACGAGGAAAAATATTCCAGATTTGGGCCGCCAACGACCTTAAGATATTCATACGTATGATGACGCAACGTAATGTGGAGCTACAGTTACAGGCCCTCGATCTCATCGAGAAAAATCAATTAGCCCAAAGTGCCGCCGATGAGGGGGACGACCACAGCGCTGACGCTTGCTCGGATCCAGGGTGGGTATGGGTGACATGTCTGTAAACCCGTCTTATGCAATTGTTTTATTTTCGCACTATGCGAAAAGGTATTTCCAAGATTGTTTTAACATTTTTTTTATTGCATTTTGGTTTGATTCTACTTAAACAAATTTTGGAATACAATAATTATTTAAATATATTTGTTAACCTGTAGTGATACCGCCTCCGAGGTGGATCAAATGATAGCAAAAACGGTGGCTGACGAACTAGAGAGTCCGGAAGCGGCTTTAACCCCAGACCAGGAGCCCAACATGGAACTCGTTAATGACAAGTTTCAGCGCTTGAATCTGTTCTTCGAACAGGAGGATCATGTGGACCCCAATGATGTGGTATCGCGACAGGAGTACCTGCGCCAGCAGCGAGACAAGATTGTGGAGATAAAGAAGCAGACGCGAGCGAAGCAATTGCAAGAGACCATGTCGCGGGGTACTCCACATGCTCCAGAAGGAGCACGTCCCAGCTCCGCTTTAGTGGCCCAACAACTGCTAGAGAATGGGGGACCAGACCAAAGAACTTTCGATGCCAGCACCTCTGGAGGCGGAAGAGAACGCTGCCCTCCAACTCAGACGCAATCTTGCCAAGCGCCTGCGAAGCGAAGTGGTGGAACAGAAGTAAATAGTTACTTTATTTTCTATTCCCATTTATTGCAGATGCTCAGCCAGAATTAACAATGTGTTAGGTATTGCGACTAGTTCAGTTGGTGGATGTGACCTTATGTTGTACTTGTCTGGTCACTACTCGTCCTTGTCCACACACAACCAACCCAGAAACGATAGTGGGTTGTGTGTGGGCATGGTCGAGTGTATCTATTAATTTCCATTAAGCTTTTTGTCAAAATAAACATATTGCTAGTGAAGTGTTTCTAAAAAACTGTGTAGATTGCTCTTCTATGTGGGTATACGATCTCGTAAATAGGACATGATAGCATCCGTGCCCTTCATCAGGATCTGATGGCGGGGCTGACGAAAGGGATTGCCAACCAGTTCCAAGTGGCTGAAAGAAAGATAAATAGTTTGCAGCATATATAAATGTATTAATATTCATTCAGGGTCTTACGTTATGTTGGTTAAATTTCCCAATATTGGCGGTACACTATCAATATCATTATTACGCAAATCCAATGTACTCAAGCGAGGCATGGTTTTTAAACCCGAAACATTTAACATTTTGATGTGGTTCTCACTGGCAATGAGAATCTCCAGACCTTGCAACTCGTATACACAGTTGGGAATGAACTGAAAGCTGAAAAGGAATATAACATATTGCGTAAAGAATTGTATTAATATAATGAATAACCCATTCGTCCAAATACCCACCGATTATTCGCAATGTTTAGTTCACGCAGAGTGTTCAAGACACCGAACTCTTTGGGCAGGTCATTCAACAGATTGTTAGACAAGTTCAAAAACGAAATACGTGTAAACTGAGAGATAAACTGTGGCACATATCCGATGAGATTGTTGGACACAACAAGCTCCGTAACCAGATCTTTCATATGTTGCAGTCTAAAAAGAAATCCATATTATAGCAATGAAATTCTAGATACTGAACACACTTTATATCATACCCATTGGGCAAGGTACTCAGCTGATTGCGCGCAAAGTCCACCACATGGACTCCTTCATCTCTGGCTATCTGGAACACCTGATCGGGAACTTCAGTTAGTTCCTCCAGATTGACAGCTAATGTACGTGTATGACGCAATTTGTATCTGTAAGATAAAGGAAAGATTTAAATAAGTACTTAAAACGACACTACATAATAAGACATAAGTGTAAATCTTGGAACTTGGTGATACACTACACCCAACGTGGATGCACTGCTAAGCGAGAGGATTCATTCTGCCCATGGAAAAACTGTTGCTGTTGCTGCTGTTGCTGATACATAAAGCATTTGGGAAATGGATTTTCTAGTCGCTGCTGCTGCTGCTGAACGAAAAGAGATCGGATATTGCCATTTTGATGCTGCTGCTGGTAGCTCTCAGGTTCATATATTTGGCCCTGGGTCTGGGGATTATACTCCGGGCAATTCCTTAGCGGCTCATATACACAAAAGTTCTGCTGCATTTGCTGCTGGCATGGATATGAAAATTGGCATTCGTGTCCAAGATCTTGCTGTTGATGTTGTGGGGGATAGCTACTGCGGCGGAGATCAATGTGCTGACTGGGCTGAAAAAAAATTCTATACGCATACCTATCCGGAAAGTTTCCAGGCATTTCTCCGGAGTCCGATTCTCCACCACGCAATCGGGTAACACTGATGCCCGCTGATGAGAAGGCACCATCGGATCCACCTCCCTCCTCCCTGGACTTGGCTAGCGCTCTCTCGTGCAGCGTCTTCAAAATTCTCGACGTTCCACATTGCAGTATGTCGCGTCTGATCATCTTTATGGGATTTCCCTCAACCTGTAGGCTGATCAAGTGGGCCAACGATGACAAGGTGACTGGCAGCACGCTAATCGTATTGTTGGACACATCCAAGCGATTCAAATTCCGCAGCAGGCACAGCTCGTCGGGTAATTCTGTGATCTTGTTATCTCGCAGATCGAGTATTTTCAGGTGGGGCAAGTTGCTACACATAGCCTTCGGTATAATCTGAAATGGGTATAAGTAAGTAAATAATGTAAGTAATAATGTAAGTAAATAATTTTGATAAAGAATCTGGAGTTACCTTTATATAATTATTGCTGGCATGAAGCTCGTTCAGTGTCTCGTTCCCTTCGAAATCAGGCAGTTCCTGAATATCATTATGCTGCAGATAAAGGCACTCTAGCTTCCGCAGCAGACCCATATCTTCCGGCAGGCAGGTCAAATCATTTTGCATCAGATCAATTTTTTGTAAAGCTAAACATATATTCAATACACTTGGATTAACTAGTAGTTAAGGAGGGAGAAGCACTTACAGCGCATGTTAACAAGATCGGGCGGCAGTTCCTTGATGTGATTATAGGGCAACAAGAGCGCAGTTAGACGCACCAGGAACCCAATGCCGCCGGGCAGGGATTGAATATTGTTATGCCCGCCATCCTTTGGTTACAATTTTATGTTAGGAAGCAAGTTGGTTACAGGGGAATATATAGGATGGGATTAGTCAGATAAAACGCCACAACCAAATCGTATATAAATCTAAGGTATCTTGGACTTAATTTTTGTAAAATCCAAGAACTGTTTTTTTGACAAATAATTATTAGTTATATTGGAAGTTTAGGCATTTCTCTTCTATTACATATTAGTTTTTATAAGCTATAATGTCTCTATCGTAACTTACCAGAAATTCAAGCATGTGAAGGTCACTAATGTCTGGATCGATTTCTTTGAACTCATTGTACGAGATGTTAAGATGTCGCAGCTCTGGTAAGCTATAGATCTCACGGGGTAGCTCGCTGATCTTGTTGTGGCTAACATTCAGACGCATAAGCTTTTCCAGCTTCCCAATTTCCGGAGGTAGCTCCACTAAAGCATTATCATGCAGCTAAAATAAATGATTTAAATATTTACGGAACTGGAATTAAATAAGAAATCCTTACTGTGAGCACGGTCAGGGACTGCAGATTTTCGATCTTCGGCGATATGTGCGTTAAGGTGTTGGAGCTGAGGTCGAGGTTGTTTAATGGCACTTGGTTCCACCAGGCATCCTCCTCTTTTATCGACAGCTGCTCCAGATTTACAGCCTTGCTATCCGCATCTGCTTCGTTGATGTCGTAGAGTCGTTCGGGCACTGAAATTAAAAAGATTTGGAATCAATTAGAGAACGCATATCCTGGGAAATCACTACACTACAGGTTTCAGTACAAGGCGGAGGCTCAGGTTCATCCAGTTCCAACTCATCATCTGGATCCTCGCTCTCCAGCTCGTCCGCCGAGGAGGCCATCTGAAATTCACGAATCTGATAGTAGCGTCGTCTCCGCGGATAAGGACCGCACATGCAGAACGAGGTGAGCTTTTTCCTGGAGGACGCAATCTTGGGAGATGGTTCACTAGCGTCACACAACCGGTGTCGATCAGTTCACTGGGAAGACTGAACCGAGCTATGACTGGGTTCGTGAACGCACCCCTGAAGCACCTTTATGGGTCGTCTTGATGCGCGGATGCCGTCCAGTGAAGCGGAAAATATGTTTGATGCCTTTTTAGGTCCGCCTTCAAGGTCAAGTTCGAGATCGATATCGAGTCGCTATTACCTCACATGAACTGGAACCACAAGGCGCTGCTGTCAACGAGGCCGGGACTCCATTGTTCACACCTCTGCTGAGGTGTTCGCGGAGTGACCTTGGACTTCCAGCGACGCAGTTGGTCCTGGGTCACTACTGCTTATAAGCCCCGAAATGTAGCTACTTTTAACTGGATAATACTGTAGAAACTCTGTGACTCAAGTTATTTGTGATTTAGCCCTTATAATATAAAATAAAAATTTAAAATAAAAGATTTATTTTATACAACATAAAACCTTATTAGAAAGAAATTGAAAAATCATGATATAAAATTTTTAGATTCAACATATTTAAATATTCAATTTAACGGATTTTTAAACTTTGAGTTACAGAGTTTCAACTACATAACTTGTTCTACCTTTTGGACTTACCTCTGGCCAATCCTTTGTTGGAAAGATTCAGGGTGCCCGTTTTTCGGGCAAGTTTCCATAGCTGCTGGTTAAGAACTTGGTTATCCTCGTGATTGCTCCTCTCATGGAAAACTGGTCGAAATGAGTAGTTTGGCTTGGGTGAGTGAACTACGGGCGTTTGGCGAGGACTCTGGGCGGACCGGGGAATCCTACTGGCAGTGGAGTTGACTCTAGCGCTGGGTCGACCCCTTCCACGTCCTATCCTGTCGCTCATTTCGTCGGGACAGCTGCCGTAATGGGTGAAGCAAGAGTGGCCAATGTTAAAGTCGCCGCCGAAAGCGGATGCCTGGTCACATCCCTGGGCTCCGTGAAAAGAGCTAAAATCTACGTCCTCCGAACCTCCAAAGCTGGTAAGGATAACGGAATAAATGGGTTAGTGGAACGAGAAATAGCCACCGAAATACAGGTGAATTCGGTTTTGTCCAGGTTTTGCGTCGTTTTATTTTTGGCTCACTGTCAGCAGTCAGCTGTTCGGCGTGCGTTTTTCAACACTGGTCGGAGTGCAAAATTGATTTTGAACGGTAATTAATTTTTAAATCAAAACCGTTACTTCGTATATGTTCATTTTATGAAATTCAATATATTTAGTTAAAAACCACTTCGTACTACCTTACCTAACACAAATAATGAATCCGATATATATTTTATATCTCATCTAAAGTAAGTTTTAAACAAAAAATGGTAAATAGTTAATTATTATTATAATCAATAAAGGTTTTAAAGTTATATTTCTTAAAAAAATCATATTTTTTCTAAAATGGAAACATAAAAAACTACGCTTATTAAATAATTAAGTTTATTTTTAAAATTTCCAAAAATAAAATTCCAAGTCGTTTTAAATCAAAATTTATGAAAAATTCGAGTAAATTGCAATTATAAATAAGTGTAAACTAAGTCGTTCATTCTCTAAGCTTTCCAATGATTCAATTAAATTTCCAGCTGCAACTGCATTGGATTCAAAATTGAAATCAATTTATTACCTCAGGAAGCGGCAGCTTTTGAGAACGATGCACCTGCTCAGCCATACATTATACATCTGAATAAATGGGAATAGATAAAAAGGCCTATGTATATGTCCCCCAGAACCGTAATTGATTTGATCGTGAACTTAAGTCTGGGCAATCCGCAATCCACAAGCAGATTAAGAGCTTAGGGTAAGTCGGTACTTACTTCATCATCTCGTTTGGAGACCCGTTTGACTATCGGTTTGGCTTCTGTTTCTGTGGAAGATACAAGATACTCAGTTACTTTGGAGCAAGGTCAGTCGAAAAAGTCAGTCAGTGGGGTGTATTAGATTTCCCTGCTCGACGGCAAGCACCACAAAATGTTGGTTAGTTCTACATATAGTTTAGCCTCTAGAAACACCCTCTCCCGCTTCTGGTTTGCCGAAGCGGCAAAAATGCTGAGCCACTTGTCTTTGCACCATTTGCCCATTGCAATGGGTCTCAGTTTGTCGTCAATGGTCGTATTCCACCGGCGTGGCTACGTCGACTGTCAATCAAAATTATGAATAATGCCGGGCCGGTTGCCTCCAATTGGCCGCCTTCTCCATCCACATGGCCCATCCATCCATCCAACCCCCACCTTAAAAGTGACTAGGTGCGAACCCCGCGGAGCACTTGCCAGTTGTCGTTCGGTTCTCATTGCAAGCGGACCGGCCACGTGAAATCGTTCGTTTTGGACTATTGCATCATACACAAGTTGAACTACCTTGACTCTAGCCTAAGGAGGTCCCCGGGACTCACACTTGGATTATGGCTGCTGGTGTCTTCAAGAGCTTTATGCGCGATTTCTTTGCGGTCAGTTAATAGACAAATTATCCACAACTCGATTTCAAACTAAAGAATTTTTAAAAATTTTATAAAAGATTTCCAAAATGTTTATAAAGCTTGCTGACAGAATTTGAAATGAAACAAAACTATTTTTAATTGCAAAAAAGTGTAGATTCATTTGTGTATATAGAGTAATTTGTTATACTAAGAGACCACTGTAGTCCAGACCCAATCATGCTCCTTGAGAAAATTTTCAGCTGATGAAATGTTTGGAATGTGGGAAATGTGGGGCCTCTAGCCGGCTGGATAATCCCTGCTAATCCACGGCAAAAGAGCAGCTGGCTTAGGGCGTTCAATCAATGCAGCCAAAACCGTTAAATCCAACCCTCCTTTACCTTACAGGTGAAATACGATGACCAGCAGAATGATCCCCAATCAGAGCGACTGGATGGCAGTGGACGTCATTATCCCAATTGCTCGTCGGATGTGTGGTTGCGATCCTGCGAACGTGAGATAGTAGATCCTATCGAAGGTCATCACACTGGACACATCCCCCGATGGATTAGCGGCAGTTTGCTGCGCAATGGACCCGGAAGTTGGAAAGTGGGGGATATGACTTTTGGCCATCTATTCGATTGCTCCGCACTGCTGCATCGGTTTGCCATTAAGAATGGCCGTGTGACCTACCAAAATCGTTTTGTAGATACGGAAACCCTCAGGAAGAATCGTTCTGCTCAGAGGATTGTGGTCACGGAGTTTGGAACTGCAGCTGTCCCAGATCCTTGTCACTCAATCTTCGACAGGTTTGCAGCCATTTTTCGACCGGACAGTGGAACTGATAACTCTATGATTTCCATTTACCCATTTGGAGACCAGTATTACACATTTACTGAGACACCTTTTATGCATCGGTAACTAGAAATTATATACCTTAGTATCAGATTTAGTTATATAAAATTATACAGAAGATTGGGTAAAACGAATTTTAATATTTCAGGATAAATCCCTGCACATTGGCTACCGAGGCGCGAATCTGCACCACCGACTTTGTTGGCGTGGTGAACCACACTTCACACCCCCATGTCATGCCCAGTGGCACTGTATACAATCTGGGTACCACAATGACCAGATCTGGACCAGCTTATACTATACTCTGCTTTCCACATGGTCGTCAGATGTTTGAGGATGCTCATGTGGTGGCCACTTTGCCATGCCGCTGGAAACTGCATCCTGGTTACATGCACACATTCGGATTGACGGATCACTTCTTTGTGATTGTGGAACAACCGCTGTCCGTTTCCCTAACGGAGTATATAAAAGCTCAGTTGAATAACCAGAATCTCTCCGCCTGTCTCAAGTGGTTTGAGGATCGTCCGACGCTCTTTCACCTTATAGATAGGGTATCAGGAAAGTTAGTTCAGACCTACGAATCGGAAGCCTTCTTCTATCTTCACATCATCAACTGCTTTGAGCAGGATGGCCACGTCGTGGTGGACATTTGCAGCTACAGGAATCCCGAGATGATTAACTGCATGTACCTGGAGGCCATTGCCAATATGCAAACCAATCCCAATTATGCTACACTCTTTCGGGGACGTCCTTTGAGATTTGTCCTGCCTTTGGGCACAATACCTCCATCAAGATCTGGAAAACGTGGTCTGGTCAAGTCTTTCTCCCTGGCTGGTCTGAGTTCTCCCCAAATTTCCCGAACAATGAAGCATTCGGTTTCTCAGTATGCTGATATTACCTATATGCCCACCAATGGCAAGCAGGATAGTCCTGGCAAAGAGAGTCCCAAAAGAGATGCCAAACGGAGTCGCTACGATGAGGAGAATTTGATTAACCTAGTGACCTTAGAAGGTAGTCAAGCTGAGGCATTCCAGGAAACGAGCGGAATCTTCCTGCGTCCGGAAATGCTCTGCGATTGGGGATGTGAGACGCCCAGGATATTTTACGAAAAGTACATGGGCAAGAACTATAGATACTTCTACGCCATTAGTTCCGATGTGGATGTAGAAAATCCGGGAACTGTAAGTACTTAGATTTCTTTACTAAGACTTTCTTAAATCCTTCATTTTAACAGCTCATCAAGGTGGATGTGTGGAAGAAATCCTGTCTGACCTGGTGTGAGGACAATGTGTATCCCAGTGAACCCATTTTTGTACCATCACCAGATCCCCAATCCGAGGATGATGGTGTCATCCTGGCCTCCATGGTTGTTGGTGGACTCAATGATCGCTATGTTGGCCTTATTGTACTCTGTGCCAAAACGATGACGGAACTGGGTCGTTGTGATTTCCATACCAATGGACCAGTGCCCAAGTGCCTCCATGGATGGTTTGCCCCCAATACGGTTTAGATTCTTAGTTTACTATTTATATGGGATGAATCTTGCCAAAGAGCTTTTAACCAAGAACCCAGTATTACACCTAGACTTAGACTAGTGACTTTTATATTAATTTAGAACTTTGGATTCAAGATATTTGCAATAAACTCCTGCCATTTGCGCTGGAAAACCCGATTGATCTTGCGCCGCTCATCCGAGGTTAGAACAGAGTATTTTATGGAATTCAAGGCCAGTTGCTTGAGGAAGCGCAGATCTGCTTCCGCCGGAGCCAAGGCCATGAAGGCGTAGTAAAAATCATAGCTAAGGCCTTTGGCTCCCCAGACTCCCGGATCGTCTGAGGAGATTACAATGGGGAAGTTCTCTGCAACCAGGAAGCTAGCTGGATGATTTCGCAGATCCCAAACGAAACCCAAAACCTGGTTGGAAATGGGGTTCACTTCGATGGCAATGTTACGCTTTTTGATGGTGGACCATAACTGTGGGTGTTTGGGCAGGGCAAAGGCGTGTCCTATGCGCTTGGTATTCAGGAGAATAGCGTCCATCATATTCCAGTCCGTCCGACCATTCCAGTCTAGGGGTTTAATAATGTTAAGATATTCGAAAATTTATTTTTGGGTTACTTACTTGTCTCGCCGGCGTGGAAGAAGTAGTTGGCCGTACTGGGAAGATCGGAAAGTTGGTTTATATACTTGTTCAGTGGATCTCCAGTATCCTCTTGGCCTATCAAATCGAATCCTATCACAAAGTTTGGCTTGGCATGGCTGTGGATAAGCCAAGGTTAATATAAAATTAGAAACATAAATTTTTAAACTTACTGTAGTTGTTTAAAAGTGGTTATGCGTCTTAACATCTCCTCTTCGGTGGCTCTATTCCGCTTTGCATAAATCACTTTGACACCCACGAAATCATGGTGCTTAGCCTTGAACTCCTCCACAATCCTTTCCAGTTCGTTGGCCACCTCCAAAGTGTTTAGAGTGCGATTGTTGTCGTCATAGAGCTGAATAAAAGGTTGGTACCAAGTTAACCTCAGAATTATATAATATTTTAAATAATTTTATAACAAAAAACACTAACAGGTGACAGGGAAGCTCTAATCTCAGCATAGATAATGTTGTCCTCACACAGTTCCTCCAGGAGTCGTTTGTGGTAGGCGCAATAGGTGGGTCGGTATTTGTAGAGACGATCCACAGTGGTGAAGATGTTCTCGAAGCGTTCCCAAATCTTCTTGCGGTTTGGCAAGAGGGCTATGCAAAGGAAAACAAATTTATAGGAAAAACTATGCAGAACTAACGAAGAGTATCTTCACCTTCAGGCCTTGGTCCGTGCATATTGATGTGCTTCTCCAACTGACGCTCATATTTGCCCCGATCTTCGGCATTGATCCTCTCGGTGCACACATTCTGGACTTCGCTATGACATCCAGCTTGATCGTAGGTGAAAACTAGCAGTCCATCCACATTGCGGCAGGTGTACAGATTGTTGGTGGTGGTCAGGTTCTGGATAATCCACCGGGATGTCACCATGCCCGTGTTATGACCATGCAAAAAGGCGCCTTTAGGCATCTTCTGAATCATCCTGAAAACCTCGCTCTGACGCACATACTGTCTACCCTGGAAGAAGTGCATCGCTGGAGCGTACTTTTCCGGCGTCTTAAGACCCTCCGCAATCTCCGCCCGCTTGGCGTTCATCAGTATGCTGTTGGCCTTCTCCTCGTCGGAAGTCAACCAAATGTTGCCACCTAATGAGGCCACTCTCTCTGCTTCCATAATCTGCTCTCTTAAGGTCTCATAGGCTGCTAGATAGAATATTTAATACAATTCTTATCATGATTAGTCCTTTTGGCTAGTTCTTTAAAGGAAGCTAAGATTTCCCGGAACTCACGTAGATCTCCGGCCTGTATTCTGCCTAGTAGAAACACCATAGAGGCAAACAAAACTCCCAGCACCAACATCACCATACAGTTAATCTCAGTTCCGTTTTTTCCAGAATATACGCCGTACTTTTTTCGATCCGCGTCTCTTGGCGATCGCCAGCCTACTGATAGTGCCTCCCTCTTGAAATACTGACCCGTATACGACTTGTGCAATTTCCACGCTGATCATGATCTTGGTCGCTGTGGCAGCAGCAGAGGCATCTATCTGGTGCAGTTCAATGACGGGGATTAGTCCGCTCCGGAATGGGGCGCGAAATGTTTGAATGCCCCCGGGTTGGCACTTTCGTTGACACTGGCCCCTCAACCAATTTGCAAATAAATTTCATGACGTAGCATGGTCAGTGCCAAAATGCCCTACACAAATAGCTATACTGTATATATATTTTTAGGAAAAGCTTAACACATACTATATAGGGCATTACGAGGAACCACATTGCCGAACATCTATGCTATACTGATAAGTAATGCTATATTTTTATACACATATGTAAATACATCGGGTTAGTGGGTATATTTTTGCATATTGTTGACTAACCCAATTTGCGCTCTGTTTACCCGCCGAAATTATACTTGACATTGAACGTGAAATGGGGGCATCAGGCCATCGATCATATAAAAGAGAAATCTCCTGGAAATAAAATCTCTATCATGAGAACTTTTTAAATTCTGTAATATTTGAATACATTATTTAAAGTTGGAATCAATCATAGATATTATGGATTAACAAACTTAGTTAAGTTTAACTCGTTGATTTAATTCTAAACTATACTAGAAAAGAGGGCATCAGTTCATCGATCATTGAAAGGTAATCATGTATAATCTTGTGTAATATTTATTATTAATTATTAAGACAACATCTTCCATTACTTTTTCTTCTACTTTTATGAGAAATTTGACAATCTTATCAGTTTTTAGCACATTTTTAGGATGTTATTTGAGGAATCCAAACTTGTAACTTTAATGAATAGGTTTGTAATCTTCTACGTGTTAATTTCCTTATCACAATATTTGCTTATGAATTTGTTTCTAGTAATAACAAAAGCAGCTTGATGACAAAACAATATTATTCCCTTAACAATATAATATTGAAACAAATCAACGAAAAGTAAACATTACATGTCATTTTCGAGCAACCTTTTTTTGGTGTTTAAGCAGGGATAATTGACACATCTGTTATTACCGTAAATAAGCATCTCAAACCCCTCTATAAGGTCGGAGCACTCGAGGAACTTGTAATTCCATCGTCGTATGCTGTTAGAAACCAACAACCGCGTCCGCCAACGTCAGTGAAAATTTGCCAAAATAGCAAAAAAAAAAAAAATTAAAAATCAGTGAACTATGGGCGCGCGCGCGCTTCTTCGTTATTTTAAATCACTTAATATGCGCGGGAGGCATTCAATCACACAGCCGCAATCATAGATCTAAAACAAAAAAATGATATTCAAACAATCCAGCTATTAGAATGAATTTGTTTCGGCAATTCGCTTCGAGCGTTCGGGAGCGTTTTCAACCGTTAAGAGTCTCGCGGAGGTTTTTTGGCCCCCTAACAGCTACACCTCTGGTCTAATCTTTTAATGAGCATGGGCTTCGCTGAATGATTTTGTCACAATTATAGTTTGTTTTTTGTTTTCTTCGCCCGAACAGCAGTTGGAACACCCGCTTCCGACGATGGTATCCACAGTTCTAATCGGACACTTCGGGCGAACGGTCACAGAAAAAGAGAAAATACGTTCCCAAGTTCAGAGTCAATAAATATAAAGTCAACGTGCCTGGGTGTCAATATTTGGATAGTGAACTCATTAGCTATAAAGGACTGACAAATAAATCGTGGATATAGTAGAAATCCTTTAACATGATGAAGAGATTGCTGTTTTGTATAGTGTTCCTGGTTTTACACCTTCAAATCCAGGCACAAACCACGCTTAGTATGTTTTAAGAAAGTTATTTTTAAAGGGATTTGTTTTAAAGAACTTTATATATATATTATGATGTTTCTTATGAATCGTTGTGAAACATAAACCCCCTCCATTCCATTAATAACATAAACTTTTAAACTTATATTTGTGTTTTCATTTAAATTTTATAAAATCCTACCATAGGCTACGAACAAGCTCGCCAGGCTGTTCTCTTAGCGGAGGAGGAGCTCATGACTGGTGGACACACATATCTAAACTCCCAGGAGGCCAAAGTCGATGACATATTCATGGAGTACAAACTGGGAGAGTTGTCCCAAGGATTTCGAAATGCAGAGCAGAATGCAGCAGCCTTGCATTTCTTTAAGGCCAAGCCACTGATCGATAGAAGCGGAGTCTTTCGTTTTCTGCAGAAGATGCCTAAGGGAGCGGTGCTCCATCTTCACAATACCGCCTCCGTGAGTTCCAAGTGGGTAGTAGATGATTTATCGTACATGCCTGGATTATTGCGCTGCACTACAGCTACGGGACGGAGTGTTCTGACTTTTAGAAGGACACCTAAGGAGCACAAATGTCAGTCGGATTATGTCCGAGTGTCTGATGAGCGTCGCAACTCCTTGGATCGCCGGATCTATGATCAGAATTTCGAAAGACTGATCAACTTATATACCCCAGTTCCAGAGCGTAAGTTGGGGTAATCATTCAGTGACTAGTCCTTGATAAATCAATGTTTTTATAGTGGAGTTTCCTACAATTACCCAAGTTTGGGATCGGTTCCAGGATATGTTTGATATCATAGGCGATGCCCTAACCTATTTGCCCGCCTTTCGAGCTTATCACTGGCAAATGCTGGAGGAGCTTTACAATGATAATGTGATGTATGCTGAGATTCGCACTAGTTGCAAAACGGTTAGTAACGGATGGTATTTGGCTTAAATATGCTTATAGCCTAATGTAAGTCAAGGTATTAAAAAAGAAGACTATATTTTATAACTTCCATATAAGGTATCTGTCAAAAACAATGAGAAAGTAAAAAGCGAAATATTGGAATTTCCCACAATACTGAGTCACGCAAGAATAACGAATTCTATAGAAACTATATACCTATCATCTAGTTAGTCAAAACTAATTACTCTTCTCTTCTCTTCTTAGCTGTATGACGCCAGTGGTCGAACTTTTTCCCGAGAGCGTACCATCCGTGAACTGTACTCTCTAAATGAGAAGTTTGTGAAGCTGCATCCCGACTTTCTGGGAATCAAAATTATTGTTGCAGTCTATCGTGGCTATGAAATGGATCAGCTTAGGGAAACAGTAGAAGAATTCAGGCATTTGCAGTAAGTTGTGAAGAATAAATTAGGAATTTATACTTTCATAGACATTTTACAGCCACGCACTGCCTCACTTTGTGGTGGGTTTTGACTTGGTGGGTCAGGAGGACAAGGGAAAGCCACTATATGCTCTATTGTCTGCCCTGAGGGATTTGCCGCCAACAGCTCGTCTTTTCCTGCACGGAGGAGAGACCAGTAAGTGGTAGAATCATATAATATTCCCAAAAACATAGTGATTTTTCGTTCCAGATTGGTTCGGTGCCTCAACGGACATCAATCTTCTGGATGCGCTGCTGCTTAACACCACTCGTATTGGCCATGGTTATGCTCTGGCCAAGCATCCGATACTCCTAAATGCCGTCAAGTCCCGTCAGATTGCCGTGGAGGTTAGTCCCATTTCGAACCAGGTGCTGCATTTGGTTTGGGACCTCCGTAATCATCCAGGTGCCCAATATCTCTCTCTTGATGTGCCCATTGTGATATGCAGCGATGATCCTGGTTTCTGGAATGCCAAGGGTTTGAGTTATGATTTTTACTATGCCATCATGAGTCTGGCTCCTAACAATGCGGGCTTAAGAATTCTGAAGACTTTGGTGTGGAACTCGGTAAAGTTTTCCACGCTGACGGAGGAGGAAAAGACGCGAGCCTTCCAAATTCTGGAGCTTACCTGGTCGAGATTTATAGACAAGGTTTTGGAGGGCAGTGTATTTTAAGAGAACTTTTAATGGTAAATAAACAACCAAAGAAGTGAAGGTATTTTTGTGTGCTATTTCTTATTAAAAAAAAATTAACATATAGAATTTCAGGATCCTTATTTAAATAAAGTATATTTTGCCTAAAATGACACTGCTTTTCTAAAAGATGAATGTATTTCCAAGCAGAAACTCTTTTTAATTTATTATCTTATTTATTATCTGCAAAGTTCTGCAAAAATCGCTCGCAGCTTTCTTGAATTTGCAGAAAAGCAGTGTGAAAACCTCCCATGCCTTGACTCTGTGGAAAAGTAAACATTTTTAGTTAAACATACACAACCAAATTAAGATAATTCAAGTTACGAAATAGGGATCCTGAATGATCTCATCCTCCTTGCGTCCAATATAGCTTCCCAGCAATTGAATCTTGCACTTAGGGTTGGGACTAAGCCCAGCTGCCATTTGCTGAAGTTCCAACAGGTTGCTGTCGTCCATTGCAAAAACATAATCAAAGTCATAAAAGTCTTGGACAGTTATCTAAATAAAATAATCGAAGTATTACAAGGCTGAAGCATGATGTTGAAAGTTATTTATATTACCATGCGACCCAAATGATTGGTCTTAAGACCATGTTGCTTCAGTAATTGTTGCCCTCGTGCTTGGGGCTCTTTGCCCACATTCCAATTCCTGAGACCAGCGCTATCGACATGCCAATTCTCAAGATTCCTCTTTAGTACTAAATGCTTGAGTATAGCCTCGGCCATTGGCGAGCGACAGGTGTTCCCTTAAATATATATTTAAATTGGTGTTTTAAACATTTAATTGTTGTCACTAACCAATGCACACAAACAGAACCTTCATTTTGACACTTGGAACTGCAAGTTCCGATGAATAGTATAGCTGATTCATTTAATAATATATAAACCGGTTCACGTTTTGTATCAGCTTTTATTAGTTTATCTATATCACAAAATCATTACATATCATTTACTTCTGTAGGCGTTCTTTCATGAAAGGCGGCACAGGACACGACGCACTGCTGATAGGCGGTCTCAAAGCCTTCAGCTCCACGTTCCTGAAAGAAGAAATTTAGGGTCATACTTAGGTCGAAACTTGCAAAATAGTTTACGGATTTTTGTAGCTAAAATTCTACCATTATCATATTATATCCTATATCTCTAGCATAATATAGAATGTAAACTACGTAATTTGGAAAAATAATCTTACATAGTAAGGGTCCTCGATGATGCGGTTCTTCTTCTCCAGGCCAAAATCGCCAAGCAAAAGAAGCTCTGCCTTGGAGTCCTTGGGAGCTAGACGCCTCAGTTCGCTCATGTTATCGTCGTCCATGCCAAAAATGTAGTCAAACTCCGAGAAGTCCTGCTTCTTGATCTGACGAACGATGTGGGTGCACTTGAGGCCATGCTTTTGCAGGGTGCTAATGGCCCTGGGATCAGCACGGTTACCCACGTGCCAGCCTCCAATGGCCGCGCTGTCCACCTCTACGTCCTTGACCTTGGCCTTTTCCAGTGTGTCAACCATCACGACCTCAGCAATGGGAGATCGGCAGATGTTGCCTGCAATGTCAGAGGTTCACCTTTTTAAACTGCAAGTTATATTTCAATGAACTATATATCTTTATTACCCAAACAAATCATTAGCACTTTTTTGACCATCTTCAAAACAATTTACACTTCTTTTACAAACAAATTTTGTGTGTTGATTTTTTCCGGCTGACGAGCGAGGGTTCCGAATCTTCCAGCCCTGGATATTGATAGCAGTTGGCAACGCGAGCCACCAGCTGTTGCCGGCCGGATGACTTAACCCGTAGGTGGTTTTTGGGCGTTGATTTAAATAATTTGCTTTAGGCGCGCTTGAATCAGAAAATTCTGGCACGCTATTTTGCATTGTTGGTAAATTTTCTCAAATGCTGCTTCGCCAATATTCTGTAGTTAAAAAAATTTTTTTTTTTTAATTTTAGGAATTTTATATAATAAGCTTAAAATTAAATTGTTAACTTAATTTAAAATTAATTTTAATAAATACATATATATATTTTACCGAGTCGAAGACTCCAATGATATTATTAGTAGTTTAAATATTATTTTCTAAAAACTTTTTCTCACATAATAAGGATCTTCAATGACGCGTTCATCCGGCTTTAGTCCAAAGTCTCCCAGCATTAGCACCTTGGCAGTGGAATAATCCGGAGCCATTCTCTTCAAGGCGGCCAGATTGCTCCGATCCATGCCGAAGATATAGTCGAACTTTAGGAAATCCTCGGGAGTCAGAATTCTTGCTGCTCCACAATATTGGATATTGTGGTTAGCCAGGACATTCAGGGCTCGGTCATCTGGACTGCATCCACAATGCCATCCTTCAATGCCGGCGCTCTCCACGTGCCACTCCCCCTGCAGACCAGCCCTTTGAACGACGTCACGCATAACAGCCTCGGCAATTGGGGAGCGGCAAAGGTTGCCTGCTTGTGCAGTCCATTTGCATATTAATTAACGAAATTTTCAAGGATTATAAGGAGTAAAATTGAGTTACGCACCCACGCAAACCATAAGCACGTGGTTCTTCTGAGATCTCTTTCCCATGTCTCACAGTTGGATATTTTTGGGATTGGCCTTTAAATTCACGAATTCAATTCACTAGGAAATTTGATAGGAGTTGATGATGCAACAGTAAATATGTGTGGTTAAGTACAAAAGTGTTCAAAAAACTTCTGAAGAAAAATATGTATTTATATATACATTAATATCTAAATGACAAGAAAAACAAGTAACAATTTGTTCCAAATTTAGCTGGTTTAACTTTTTTATTACAAAACTGAATAGGAAGTTATATTTATCAAAGATATTTTAAGCAATTGTATAGAAAATTTCAAATCACAGTCTTTAAATACAAAATTCATCACCGCAATCAAGTAAACACCTCTGAGATATAAACAATCTCCGGATTAGCCTGCACCCTTTAGTCAGCCTTTAGTTTGGGAACACAGTTCCGTTGTCAAGTGATGCCTGGCTGGAGATCACACCTCTGGCACTTCCGGCTGCCTGTACTGCATGCAGCATGCAGCACATCCTTAGCTTGTTTACCTACCCTACGTATTTACTCCGAAACTCTGTCTAAAAAGTGCGCTCAAAGCAACTTTAACTATTAGCATTTAATTAAAGTTCATTTGCCGGGCGACAGCCGAGGTCACCACACCATCTACCACCCACTTTGTCTGAGGGAGAACTTTTGCCCCAGAGGAATGGTGTTTTGGTTTGCCCATGAACATGCTAGGTGGTGCACCTGCTGCTCAAAGGACAGGCTGCTTTTGTGGTCCTCAAATGTGTAATGACTGTCAAGGAGATGAGGTCCCTGGGTTGGGTGTGAACTTAAAGCGGATGACCAGGTCTCCCTCTCTCTATATAAACTTGCTTTTTAAATAAATTCGTTTAGAGTTTTATGCAAATTGTAGACAACCAACGGGAGGCAAACAAAAGCCAGACGAAATGCATGTGGACAAACTTTGGTAGTTGTTGATGTTGCTGTGGATGATGTTGTTGTTGCTGTTGCTTTTCCTGGCAGTTGGGGGCGGCTTTGATGGCATCAAAGTGAGCTTGTCGTTGTGCAGACAAATGTTACGTACTCTCGTCACACTCTTACGTATGCAAATGTCCCTTGCCGGCGCAGTGCTGCAGTGCGTCCTCCACAATTGACAATTGTTGAAAATGCAAATGGAAATGGAAATGCCAAGACATGTGCCCAACAGCCACACCAGCAATTCATACATATGGCATGGATAATGGTGGAATGGTTGTATGAATGTAGGGGGCAGGTAGGAGAGGTGGTCGTTGAGATAAAGAGGTAAAGACAAATGCAAAGGCGTTGTCTGTACTATCATCATCCGGCGACGACATCTCCTCAGATAAGATAAACGATGGCAAAGTCAACAACAACAACTAGTAAAGGGGCACATGAACTATGAAAAATGGGGTGTAAGTTCCAAAACATAAAAAAGTTTCAAATACAAAAATGCGAAATCTTAAAAAATCTTATAATAATATGGTTAATTTAAACTTACAGATCTCCATACTTTGGCTAATAGCATTTAAAACTAAGTTATTCCACTTTCTTCCTGATTTTTAATTAATTAAGCCAAAGAATTCTTAATGTTTTTGTAAGATTAACTTTTTAAAAGGCAACCAATTATTAGAAAAATTGACCATTAAATCATTTTTAAGATATTATGAAAACCAGATAGAGTTTTGTTAATTTTTATAGTTTTTTAAGTAATTAATCCTAAAAAATCATAAATAACTTAATTAGAAATCTCAAACATTTCTTTAAGTGCCCAAGGAAAGGGTCAATGTAAATAGATGAAAACGTTATTCGTAGCCCACCGCAGGCCGAAATAAATTCTCAAGTGCAAATGAGGTAAATGACAAGAGGTAACAAACCATCATAACCTCTGACCTGCCTCAATGCCTCCTAGCGACCCAAAAACTCCCACTCTGTCAAGCAGTTGACAGTCGAGAGCAAACATGTCCGAGATGAACATCCATTTTGCATTTGGCAAATGAAAAGCGGGAAAGCTACAACTGACGTAGTAGCTGGCAGACAGCTTGTCTATGCATCAAGCCATCTCTGTATATCTGAGCCTGTATCTGGTATCTGGAAGCTGGTATCTGGTCTCTGCTATCCGTATCTTTTCCTCCCTCCGTCTGCCTTTTGCAGCTTCATCAAATATTTAGCGCCAGCCAGGCGGCTTCATCTCGAGGGGCAGGGAAGGAGGGACAAATAAGCGCATTCATTGTGTTCGTTCAGTGTAAATACGAAACGGATGTAGCACTGCTTGGAAAATAACAACTTTGAAAACTAAACAGTTCCACTCGACTGCTGGAATACTGTAGAATTTAATATTATTATTTTTGTTTTTATATTTTGATATCTTAATAAATAAAAGAAAAGTCTTGAATTGATGTAGATCTATCTATAATCTTTGGACTTCATTGAACGATTCATAACATTTTTCTAAAACATTTATTATAAATATTACAATAAAATAAAACACACGTCTTGAAATTCAGGAAAATATAGAAATTTAGATAGTTAGTAACATTATTCTATGTTGTTACAGGATTAATATGTGCTATAGTAAAATATATTTTCTTAATTATAAATATCATCCATTTATCTTCAACTTAAGGTTAGGAAGATATTAATACTAATAAAATCTAATAAAAATATTGAAAAAATCTAGAAATATGTATGAGTAATATTATCTATTATTTAAAGTGACATTGGAAGTATATATTACAGATTACATAAAGCCAAATTATTATAGGAATCTTTTATAAAACAATGTGTTTTTATGTTTTTGAGGTTTCTTTGGACTTTTTTCATATAATTTCCTTTAGAACTTTATTGATTCCCAAATGATGAACAGTTCTGTTAGTTTTCTTTAAGAAATCACAACATTTTATAAGTTAAAGTGAATTTGAATATATGTTTATCAGGTTCAGGAACTGCCAAGTTACCGATCTCAAAACTAATGAATAAAACAAACTTTATGTGGAATCGATTTTAGTCCCTGTTTATACGCAAATTTAATAATCCTCCCACACCACGACATAAACTCAATATACCCCTGCAGGCAGATGCTATGTAGAGAGAGCAGGCGAACTACCCTACAACAAATTGGGGGTGTGGGCAGTGCCAACGACCAACGAGCAGCAGCAGCACCAACAACAACAACCGGCACAGCCAAAAAGCCGGCAACAACAAACGCCCGCACTCCAACGGCAACATGTATCTACCGTTTCAGCAACATTGCATTTGCCATTATGTTGTATGTGTGAGTTTTTATCTCGCCACTACTTCAATTGTTGCCAAGAAGCAATTCCCAGCAACATTACCAGCATTTCGAAAACTTGTTTTCAACGTAGTTAGTCTTAGAGCGGGAGAGCGATTGTGTAAGTATGCGTATCGTTTTATGTTCTCCTCTCCTCTCTCCTACCTGTTTGTTGATGTTGCTGATGGCTAGCAACATGTTGAGAATACACCAATAGCGCCAGTGCGGTCGAAAAGGAAAACAAACTACTTTGAGACTTCGACGCAGGTGGACGTGTCCGAGAGTGCGGGAGAATTAGAGAGTTAGAGTGTGTAAGAGAGAGGGCTAAACGCGAGCGGAAAGTAAGCGGACCGCGCTTTAAAAACAACAACATCAGCGGCAGTTCAGTGTTTGTCTTTAGTTTTATGGCGCACGCTTCGCGTCAGGTAGTTTTTCAAATACATATATATACCCCTACAAATATATATATATGTGATTTCTTGTGATTCGTCTCGCGGCAATGTTTTACGGCTGACAAAACCATCGAGCGTGTAAAGGTTGTACTAACCGTTGAAAATATAAAAGTGCTAGTGTTTACCCTTATTTTTTGCCGGGATTACTCATCATCGCATCGGCACATCGCCATCATCATCACAATCATAATCATCGTTGCTGCTTACAAGCTGCCAACTTTACGAAAACCCAAAAACCAGTATCTCCTCTGAGCCCAAGTATCTGCAAGATACGTGAGGCAGTCCAGACCACATATTGGAATTTACTTAACACGTATGCAACGAACGCACACACCAATACCACAGCAACACGCTAGTATCAACAACGAGCGGTACCCATTGGATTTTGGACAAACTACAGAGTAGGTAAGGATCGTCTGTAATCGGGATCTCTTTTCTTGAGAAACTAAAATGCTCACAAATTCACTTGCCCTTTTCCACCCTCAACGTGAAAACCCTAATGATTTCGACCTAATACAAGTTGGCTACCTGTTTCGGATTGACCCTGGATTTCCCCATTAAAGCCGCTAGAAGATTTTACTGCACATAATATCAGGAAAGCTATGGGCTATTTATAAATTTATACCCTGCCTTCTTTTTTTTTTGTTGGGGGCCCAGGCTCAAATCCGGTTTTCATACCCATATATCCCCATGTCTGCTGGCGGGGGCCAGCCATCAATTCAATTTCTACTGGCTGAGTGAGTTTTTAACTCTCGACGGCAGCCAGAAGAATCTCCATCTCCGACTTCATCTCTTCCATCTCCACCAGGTCGAGCCGAGCATATAGCATCATCTTCTCGGTGATCTCTGGTTTCTGGAGAGCTGGTTTGCCTCAAGTCGTTTTCTTTTCTTTTCCCTCGCTTTGTTTTCTTTCGTTTCGTTTTCGTTTTTTACTATTTGCCGATCGTTGTGTGTTGATCATGGGATGCTGTGCTGTGGCTATGGCTTATTGCCGCCAAGATTTCGTATTTTTTTCTTTCCCATTTTTTGTGGCTGTGCCGATTGAAGGTGCATGGCCTTATTTACCCAGTTTCCAAATCGCTCACCGATTTCTGCTTATTCTGTTTTGGAGTTTATTTTTCGAGGTATTTTGCTGAATCACACGGGGATCATTTGAATGTTTTAGCCAGACAGAGTCGTTGGTTTTTTTTTACATATTTTATTAAGAGTCACACCCCAAATCCATGGCAAAAAAAAAAGTATCCCGGTCCGGAATTGACTCACGGCCAAACAATGCGACATGCGGCGAATGGCTGTGGGGCCACTGGCACGAGAGTAAAAGAGAAAAAATCAAAATGCAAAACTTGTTGCTAATAAACAACAATTACACCAACAGCATGAACAACAACAACTACAACAAAAACAAGTTCAGCTAACCACAAAAATGCTGGCAGCTAAAACTCTAGAGTCGTTGCCCAGGAGCTTTTGCTACACCAAAACAAGTCCGGAATACAGAGCCATTGGTTGATGTTGCTGCTGTCACACTAGCCACCAACCAGCAACAGCAACAGCAATAGCAGCAGCAACACCAAGAGCAACATCGGCAATTTGTTGTTGCTGCACAGGAAAAAAATACACACCCATAACTATTATTGATTCAGTTTTTATTTCCATAACAAAAAATTGTCTTATCAGAAATCAGGAAAGTTTCTTTTATCATTTTCAACCAATCAATTTTGGATTAATATTTTATGTCTTCATGATTTTATTAAACAGCTTAAAGATGGTTTACTTTACTAAGCTGATTTTATGTTTTGGGTTGACAATGATCTCAATGGTTTATTTTTTAACTAGTTTTAAATCCTCTTTAAAGATATCAAAGAATCTTTCAGACATGGGAAAAATCGTTGAATAGGTCTCTCTCCAAAGATCAGAGGAAGTCAGTGGCACGAAAATCAGTTTCGGTTAGGTGAAGTTTTGATTCCTCTTGACATTTTTGTACTCTTTAAAAATACACCTAGATATGAATTTTAGAAATACATCTAAAGCTCTTTATTCAGAACTTTAAATTCAAAATTTAAAAGAATTTCGCTGTTTGACCAACTAATAAGTATCATAAACAAAAATCGCAAGAAACTTGGTTAAAAACTTTCAAAATATCATGAAATGAAGTGAAATTGCAACACCGATGTTACCTATGTAAAATGCCATAAAAGAAATTCTATTTTCCACCGTGCATGTGTAAATTTTTGTCGCCATGTGAAGACCATAAAAAGCGGCCACTTGGCCAGCTCACAGCTGCCTCAGCTTTCCTCTGGAAACCACAGACCAAAGAACGACGGGCCATAACTGTGTCAGTGTGCAACTAGAAGAGGTCTAAGCCTATTAAGCACACTGGCTTAAGATCGGCCAATGCCGGGAGGTAATTCCCCCGTAGCTTCCAGCCGATTAAGTGTAATTAATGCCGACAGGTGTCACTGAATTGGGCGCAAGCTCAAAGATATTGCAATGCCCTAATTGGTGACTCCAATTAGAAGATATTTCCGCCACTTCAAAGACGCAGACTTCAAAAAACTAGTTTCACTCTTTATTTACGTGATTAGCATGTATAGACCGATCCGGATCATTGTCACTGCCCAGTCTAGTACATTCCCGTGCACTTATACCTCCTCCTGACTCCGGCGAACGCATCGAGTGACCTTGCGTTTGAATTCTGCATAGTTCTCACGATACTCCTTGGCTGCGTCCACATTGGCAGCGGACTCATCATTGGGATCTGTGAGCATAGAGATCACCGAAAGGAGGATTGTTTCAACGGTGTGTACTGGTAGCCAGCGCTCCTCGGCCTTCTCATAGCCCCATTTATCATCACCGGGCTCGTGAAGGATCGAGATGCAAACGTCACCGGCCTTGTCGATATTCGGATGCCAAATCTCGGTGACGAATTTCATGCGCGGCGGACGTAATGGGTATTCCTTGGGGAAGTTCAAATGGGCCTTGAAACAACCGCCCTCGTAAAGAGTATCTGGCGGGCCAATGATCACCACTTCCCACTTAAAGATATCTGAGTCACTGATTAGGCCAGCGGAAAAGCCCTCGACGGGATTGCGCTGCAGCTCGGAAAGCTGGCGATTGAGCAGTAGCGATGCTTGCAGTTCGGACATGTCACTGGACTGGGGGAGATTACCACAAGATGGAGTGATGGATAAATCACAAGATTGAGATGCCCTAAAGTACTTACTGGAATTTTGTTCAATTATTTCGAGTCACTTTCTGGTTTACTTCTACGGCAGCTGAACTACGCTCAATGCGACCTGTCAGCCTGCCAAGATAAATTCTGCACGGACTACTCTGTTTTCATTTGATTGGGGGTTTATCTTAAAGGTGATTTAACTAGTTTGCATATTCAACTTTAACTTTTAAAATGCAGCTCCATTTTTTTAATTGATCCAACAAATCAAGCTCTGTTTTCCTTTTCAGATAACTAAAAATAGATTTTTAAGAAATAAAACAGATTTTTTTTATAACATAGGGCTAAGTTCTGAGCTTGGCAGGCTTAACAAATAAGTAAAATAATTTATAATCCAAGACATTTACTAAACCTAAAGCACACACCGCGCATTTCAAGACAAAATGCCTGAGGGCCACAAAAGATCAATTCCTTAAGTTTGGTAAAGGAATGTCTGACTGCAAACTCCTTACAATTGCAGCCTTTTGAATGCCGATGCAAAGAAACTATCGCCATAGAAATCCTCTTGAAAGAGACTTGAAAGTTGCCATTATAAGCTCTTTTGGTCTTGGCCTGGAATGGGTCCAAGGAAAGTCCCTCTTTCCTTTCCATTTCCCTCCATTTGGAGCAATTACTTGGCCGTTGCTAATGCTACTGGTGCCAGTCTTTTCCTTTTTCCTTTTTTTTTACTGTCCGTGCTGGCTGAATGGAAATTATGATGGCCGCCACATTGTAGCTAGTTGGTTTTGGCCTTTCGTAATTGCGCACAAATGTTGGCCCAGAGTTTCTTTGCTGGCCTGCAACTTCGACCACGACATGTGGCTGCCCCATCGACAATGCCGCAGCTTTTTTCGCCTTTTTTCCAATTGCATTCGACTTGGACCGTTTGGAAATCCGCAACTTTAGCCGACTATCTGGCTATCGCTAACTGAAATTATGTTGCCGCAAATGTGTGAATCGTTAATGTCTCGTTGCCAGCTGGGAAACATAGCGCTTGGTCTTTTGGCACTGCCGGTTTTTCAAGTTTTTCCATGCAGCGCGCGTTTTCACGAAAAAATTCCAAACGCGTTCGCGTCGCTTTTTTTTTGTATGCATTATTATTTTTTGTAATAATATTTACCTGGCAGGCATTGCTGCAACAGCCACATTAACATGTGGAATTTTACTTCTAACACAAAACCAAGTTGAAGATTTGAAAATTTGCTAAATTATCCAGCACATGCTGAGAGAGATAGATAGAGGGGTGTGGAGGGTATATATATGTATGTATATAGAAAAACATGTTTGGTCAGAATACACATAAGAACGACAGCTGCCGCTGGGCCGGTTCCTCCAGCTCTTTCTATATCTCCATATCCATACGACGTTGCCCATTTAAGTGCCACATGTCGTGGACGTTCCACTAGATCCCGCAGGGAAAGCGATATGACAGCGAGAGCCGGGAAACTCACACGTGCCACAGTGCACCTCCCAGTGAAACTCGATTTTCCCATTCTTTACACTCGAGAAGAAAACGCCCGCCCATTATAATTTAGTTTACACATAGCTGGGAAATTATGTGATAAACATTTCGTTACCTAATTAATTTAGACATTTGGTCTTTTGAATAAAAAGGTAAAATTTAAACAAATTAATGTCAAGTTAAGATTATATAAATCTAAACTAGATATTTTTGGCATTGTTTGAAGTTTTTGTAGTGCAGGTTATTGTTGATATTTAAGTTGCTATTTCATTTATTGATTGTTTATTGAATTTTAAACTTTATTTTTAAGGTTATTTTTATATAACCTTTTTCTTTTATCAATTAGGTGTTGAATTTAAAATTATATTGCTGTTGTGATTAATATTTTAGATTTAAGATTTAAGAAATAGATTGTGTTACGAAAAGGAATACTTATCATATGAATTTGTTTTTGAATTTTTGCCTGATTGACTTTAAAGTTGTTAGTTTAAAGGTTGAAAGCAATGTTTTCCTTTTGTTAAACTATAACGTTGCCACATATTTTATCAGTGTCCAGGACGTGACATATTTTAATATGATCTCTATTTCCCAGGCTTAAGACTCCTTGAAAGGGACGTGTGCTCTTTGTTCTTTAAAACCCCTGAATAAAAACCTGATCCCTGCTGTATCGGCTTAGAAATAAAGTATCATAATTTATTTTCCGTGTAGGAAAAGTGTCGCGCTCGTGCTCATTGGTAAAGTGATAAAGTGACGTTTGCCTCGCAGCCTTTCAACCGATTTCGGTTCACTTTGTGGAATTGATTTCCAATATTCATTAAGACGCCCACACGCAAAAGCAGACACAGCCGCGGGTTCGTTGCCATGGCAACTGATTGGTGAGCGGGGAGGGTGTCCATTAAAACGAGGGTGTCTACAGTTCATCTGTTCGTTGCTGGTTTTCCCTTAGTATTTTTTTGTTTTCGTATTTTTGGTGGGCGTGGCGGTTGCATGTGACAATTGCATTTCCGGCAATACCAGCATATTCCACTCCTCAATATTCCCTTTCGCCATCCGAAATTCTCTCCCTTTGCTCGAATAGTTCCAGCTTTTTTTTTTGGATTTTTTTCCATTTGGGTTTGGCCTCAGTTCGAAAGCAGAGCACCTGCTCTCCTGGCTGCGTGCCTCAAATTGCTGGCTCATGTTGCGTCCATCAAACAGCTGACGGCGTCGATCAATTGAAATGGCCGTTCTTGTTTTCTTTTTTTTTGTTGCCGTTTTCTCCTCATCGCCCTATAATGTTGCACCGCCACAGAGTTACTGCTGCGGGATATATTCTCTTCGCTGATGACTTCCTGGATCTAATGACGGGGCAACCTGCCGATGAATTGTCTTTCAAGTTGATCATAAAATATATTAATAGCTTCTGTAGCAGGCATGCAACATTATAAAAATGAGGGGCAGCCACAAAGAAAGTTTTATGATCAAAGTTTATAGACTAAATATGACAAAATGTTGTTAGGAAAAAGTTGTAATTTATGTCTTGAAAATCAAATTACTAAATAGGTTTGGTAAATTGATAGTTTTGGTTTGTCTAGCAACTAACTCTAAAGGTCTGACTCTTTATTATTAAAAAGTACATTTTTTATTAATTAAGGTTACGAGTTATTATAATAAATGCTTAATAAAACATGAACCAACTTGACAAGCTGTGGAAAAACACCACCTCTCTCCGCACTTCTCATAAATTCAACTTAAGTGAGTGACCAACTGGATTTTAGTGCTTTATTGGCGCTCTGAGTTATGCACTCCCATTTTGTGGGGCGTTCTACCAACACCACTCCCCCTCCTCACGGCACACAATTTCCAATTGCATGCAGAAAAATGAGGAGGAATTGCTCTGCTCGGAAAACTGGCCATTATATCGTTCCGCATAGTGGGAGCAAAACAATGCTAAAGAGAGAGAACTCAATAAATTGCAGAAAAGCGAAAAGTGGAAAGAACGAAAAAAATAAACAACAAGAACAAAACCGAAATGAAAAACAAGCTTTCCACTTGCAGTTTTAATGTGTTTTGTGCGTTATTTCTCGTTTTATAATTGAGTTGGCAGTTGCAGCTAAAGTTGGAGTTGCAGCCGTGCAGCACTCTTCATCGCTAGCCAAACTCCAGCTCCATTTCCCTGCCCAACCAAAAGATGGCCCACTGTTCCTTTTTTTCTGCCTGGTTTTCCTCCGTCTGGATAGTGGGAGTTGCCATTCGGGATTCGGGCACGTTGCCCTGTGCGCTCGTGTGCACTGAATGCGAAAAACTTCTGCACACTTTTCGACCGAAACGCGATATTATATTATACATATTCCCTTATATTTTTTTTATATTTTTATTATTATTATTTTCACAACACTCGGCCCACTGCGGACCTACCTTTGTGCGCTGCATTGAAATGGAAACGCAAACTCAAACTCAAACGCTGGGGGATCTGGGTGCAGTGCTCTGCCAGACAAAAACCACCATCCTTGCGGTGGGTTCCGTAATGAGCGTTTCCGTCAAAGCCATTTTCTTGTTTAAACACTTGGACAAAAAGGGTGGATTAGAGTGTTGGGAATTATAATTTTTATTCAGGATCTATAAATATCTTTTAATTATAACTAATAATTATGAAAAATACTTTTAATTTTTTATAATTATAACTAATTATGTTCATTTCTTTCTCTTTCAGACTTTGCCTGATTAAACGGTAAGTCTTTAAAAAATATTTAAAAAATATTTTAAATATTTATTTGGTCTACAAAATAATTCTTGGATAAGTTAACCCATTTCTTTAATCTCTTTTGGGTCATTTCCCGAGATAAAATCGATAAAAATTTCCCAAATTTCATAAGATTTTCCTTTTTGGTTCAGTGCACCTTCCTCTTAGTCCAGCGTGCCTCATTTAAAAAGGCATTTTCTTTCTATCACCACACGACGGTCTTTAAACTGGATCGACACTATATAATTGCTCAATTTCTTGCATCATTAACGGGTTTTTCTTTGCATTTGGCCAGTATAATTTGTCGGAACCAATGAAAGATCACCCAGGAAGACAGAAACTCTTAATTTGTCCGACCATAAACGCTTTGTCCCCCCTTCCAATATTTTTCATAAACCAAAAGCCAGCAAAGTGTGAAGTGTATAAAAGTGTAAAGCGTTTTGCGTATGAGTGTTTCATAACTCATTTATGAGACCGGGAAAAACAAATGAGCAAAAGTGTGCTACTGGGGTTCTTGAATCTCTGGTCTGGGTAGCCCCTTCTTCTTTTGCCAGATGATCCGTTAGACAGTGCCGACGGCGCCCTCAGAGTTCATTTACTCCGAAAGAAAATTCTATGGAAAGAAAAGGCAGGGAGCGGAAAATAAGTCACAAAAAGGCAAAAAAAACCCCAAGCAACGTTATTTGTAGTTTTTATTTCTTTTAGTTTTTTTGTACTCATCTTTTTTTTGGTTTTTTTTTTATGCTAGACCATTTCGTTTTTTAAAAGCTTTGCTAGCCGGTTGTTCTGCTGTTCCGGACTTTGAAAAAAAAAGATCCAAGCTTGGCCTGAAAAAGTGCTTATTAAATTTAATGACAGCACGTTTACTTGCGAAAAGCTATTCGACGGTTTTTTGATTTTGTTTAGTTTTTTTCCAGCTTTGTTTTTTTTTTTTTTGGAAC